ATGTTGTCATGGTTACCATGGCATCTGTGCATAGTAACCATGGCATCATGACAACTGACTCTCATCTGCCATCCATAGATAATGAGTGAGGGTCGATACACAATTGGGGACTGAGGTATAAAAGCGTTTGGGCTATGATTTTAAAACTAACAAGTGCAAATAAACTAAGCATTAATTGCAGACGTTACAGCCCGGGGAAGCGTAAACATAGATTACTTCCTCTTCTTTTGTTACCACTTTTTACAAACCCAAACCAAATTTGCAAGCGAAAGGGCCTTCTGCACAAAACTGGAAGTAGATCTTAAGAGTAACTGCACTTTTTTGGGCGGGAAAACAAAATCAAATTTATTTGAGCCCATTCATACCGGTACCTACCCTTAGTCTAGAGGCTAGACGCTGTTATTGTTTGTACGCGATAGCCCGCCGCGCCGCCGCGATAACCAGCCGCCGCGCAAGGGCGCTATCACGACCAACCAATATCGCCTGTGAACCCGTCAGAACAACGTCTAGATCACTTGATAAAATCTCCCCCTGAAAAATGGGGGAAATTAGTGCGCATGCGCGACTTCTGCAGGCAATTACGGTACATTTTCAGTCCCACACATACTACACACAACAAAAGAGCTGACCAGTGAAATTGCACAAAAGTCTTGCTGCAGTTTTTAACCTACTGGAAGAAATTTGAGAGTTTGCTTCGGAACTACTATGAATTTTTAAAATTGCGCGCTGCATATATTAGGCCAAACTGGCCGCGCGCATTACACAACCAATCTAGACGTTGCTCTGATGGGTTCGCAGGCGATATTGGTTGGTCGTGATAGCGCCCTCGCACAGCCGGTTATCGCGGTGGCGCGGCGGGCAATCGCGTACAGACCATAATAACGTCTAGCCTCTAGACTAACTACCCTAGGTTTCTACAGAGGGGAAGGAGGGATTAAGTAATGCAAGCATGTCAATTTGGTGAGTGCAAAAAATCTAACTTAGCCCCCAAAAAGGTTCATTTAGCTTAAAAAAACAGCCATGTTCAGTCAATATGTAAACATTGTTTTCCACCAAGTTTTCACGCATGCAACTTTTTAACGAATGTTTTATGAGTAGCATTCTCTGTCTAAACTTTTGGCTTCATATGAGGCAGACTGCACTTTTAGTGTTTTTTTTCTTGCCTCATAATACATTGGTCCTTGTGATTCCTTTTCAATACTGGCCTTCGACACTAGTCTGTGACATCCACGACTTTCAACAAAGATGCCCTGTCCTTGCAAATTTGAAAGCCATTTTCTTCCAAGTTGCAAGGTTTGTTTATATGCTCAAAGCCAGTAGTTGTCATTATTTTTTTAATGTTTGTTGTCTTTTCAATTTTTTTTTATACATTTGTAACAGATTTGTATAATACTTGGTCCAAGAAAGTCTAACATTTTGTAAGCCAACAACTGCTTAAAGGATCATTTGCTTTTTGCAAAGTAGGATGCATAATTACTAACCTGTTGAAGTTTCAGCTCAGTGGATACTATACATACATGTACCTTTTGGAAAAACACGTGCGCAATTTTTGGGGTCTCGCTACTGCATTTCATTGCTGATGCACGTAAAAAAAGAAGCGTGCCTTCAGGCACCCTAATTTGATATCTCCTTCAACGTTTGTTTTTTTCCCCCCGAAATATACCATTTCAGGCGGAATAATTTCACAGGGTATTTGATACCAGTCCTATCTTCACTTTGAGAAAGGTTTCTGTCTTTAATTGGTAGGCACTTTTCTGCAAATCGTCGCGTCAGTGCAACAAGGTCGTAACTCCATTGTGCAACAAAGTCGTATCTCGGGCGAAAACGCTCCGTGCAACAAGGTCGTATCTCGACATCCATTGGCTTTGTGTGTACATCCGGGTTATTTTAAGTGAGATACGACCTTTGCACATACGACCTTTGCCCATTCTCAAACTCGCATTTCACGACGAAATAATCCTACGTGGCATTGAGCGCTTTTAATAATCCTCTTAAATCGTCCACTTTGCTGGAAAAAGAAGAACTTTCCTTGAACTTAAACTTTGAAAGGCCATCAGTCACAATTAGAAAAAAAAATAATTGCCAGGCTAAATCCTACAAATTCCTCTAGAATACTCGGTCGATTTGGATTTATCCAGAGGGTTAAAAGGTAACAAGTTGAGGATAAATCACCGTCACGTGTTCCTGGTTCCAGTGACATGCAACTTTTGAGTTTTGTTTAGTCATACATTTTTAAGAAAGTAGCAGTTTCTATTAAAAATAAGCTATCAGGATGTAGTTAGGAAAAATGAGGCTCACTACTTTGTAATGTGGCCTACATGTATCACCACAGAAGGAACATGCAGTGTTTTTTTTTTTTGGGGGGGGGGAGGTGGGTTGGGGGATTAAATTGAAATTGAGATGAATTGAATGCAGGAATTTTACAGAAACAGGGCATATCCAATCTTCACAATTTGAATTTGCATTTTTTTTTTCTCTGCCAATGGTATAATCAATAAATTATGAGTTAAAAAAAACACAAGATTTAGATTAAGTACAGTCCGTAGTGAAAAGTCAAAATTCCCAGGAAAAAAAGAGGAAAATTTCAGCAACAAATGAAAACAATGGAGGAATCTTAGCATTAAAGTTCATCTGTGTTGGTGGTTAGATACAATTTAGAGGTCAACTTTTGATCACGACACTAGAGAATTTCGACACCTGTTTCAAACCCACAAATACCCTCAGACAACTACTTGTATTGATCACCTAAGGATAAAACAGCCAAGGACAACACTGGAGTGATCTACCAAATCCCTTGTCAAGGACAGATCAGGCAAGGCCAGTGCAGACTCCTACATTGGAGAGACCTAAGAGGTCCCTTTCGACTATGTTTGTGGAGCACTGTCGCCCCAGTTCATCCACTTCGGAGGTCTCTCAACATATCCATATAGAATCACCAGGCCATCATGTAGACATACATGAAGTAAACATCTTAGACAGCGCAAGGGTGGATCCACAACACAATTTTTTGGGGGTCGAAAAAAATTGTTTGGTCCCAAAATGGGGGTCCCAAATATGATGGCGTGGGTTCGGGGCCCTTTTGGTTCAGTGCCTGCCTTTACTGTGACGTCACTTAAAAGAAAAAAAAATTGGTTTCGTTTGGAGGGGGAGGGGCCATGGCCCATGTTGGCCCCCCCCCCCCTGTATCCGCCCTTGAGACAGAGACACACGACACTTCGAAAGGGGGGTGAAGGAGGCAGCGTACATATCAGAGCCAACAAATCTTCTTTAAACTGGGAGGGGGGGGGCGTCATAGACCCCCAGGAGTCTATGACGCAGTGTTGGGATCACCTGTCCGTAAGGTCAAGGATGCAAGATCCAGGTCATCTGATCCTGCTGTATGAAGACTGGAGTTTCGGTTGAAAATTACAGGTACAAATTCTCTAGTGTTGTGATCATAACTTTACCTCTAAATTGTATGGAGGAATCTTATCAAACACTGCCTAGGAGTTTTCTGACATTTCAAAACTACAGATGTTGATTCAATACGTGTATTTGGGGTTATGTTTTTGTACATAAAATTCTGTTTTTATCTCTCTTGTTGGAAATCTAGAATTGTTCATGGTCGACAGGAGACAGCTGTCTCTACTATATGTCAGTTCCTCGCGACTTTTCCCTTCAAAGAGCCTGAGTTTAGTTTAGTTTTTTAGAGTCATTCGAGTGTTTTGTCTGAGTGCGAGTTCCCCGTAGTGTGCTATTTTTCCAGGTTACACTGGCATAACTTTAAGCTGCCCATCACGCTTAAAAAGTTTCAAGTATTTACTCTACATGTAGATACCAACTGCAAGTACAATCAGGAAATAGCAATAAAGTACATTACCTGCAAAGAGAATAATTTAATGAGTTTTGAGAGGACAAACGATACGCACACAAAACAAGGAAACTCTGAAATCCATTACAAACTACATGTGTACATCCAATTGGTTTACGAAAGAACAATTGGAAAAAATTGAAGTTAAATTCACAAACCTGAAATACAAGTTATCCTTCCCAGTTTTCAAAACAAGTTTTCCAGGTGCACACAAACAATGGTATCTGACAAATAAATGTAGGACTGAAGACAAAAGTCATCCTTCAATTTATCAGAGGCTGTCCCTGTTCCCTTTTCCCATTGTTCTTCATTATTTTTTAAACAACCCATGGCACCTTGATTGGCAATTTAGCCTTGTGTGTGTGTGACATCCAAATATAGTAAATAGGTATGCACATGTAAATTTTGGGCAATTCCAGCGTTATAAAAGGAAGTGTAATGTCTGTGACAGAGCCAATTAACCATGGTATCTGATTAATGATTCAGAGAAATGATCCAAAACTCCTAGTCTGTAATCTCCTTGACCATTTCTAGATGATGAATGCATACTTTGCGTATGATTTGAAAAATACATTTTCAGGTTTATTCACTGAGCTCTTAAAAGCTCTGTCACAGACATTACATAATGCTATTCCCCACCAACTGGGGCGCTAGAACTCCTTTTTTGACATTTGGTGTTGGTCTGTCGTGCTAGTACGACAGACCAACATCCCAAATGTCAAAAAAGATTTCTAGCGCCCCAGTTAGTGGGACTAACATTTGCTGGATTTGCCCATTTATGTTTTAAAAGCCACTATTTTTGCTTGGAGACAATCTTCCCAGGGGAGGTTCATTCATTTTTAAGTTCAAAGTTTGGACTACAATACATTGTACATTGTACATCCAAATTCTTGCAGGGCTGGCATGATATGACCACTGCAAATGCATTTTCTAGACAAATAAAAAAATTCTAGTTTTCCAAGCAGGATTGAAAAAACTGAGATACTCCATTTTACTACTTGTTGGAAAACTGGATCAAGAAGTTCCCTCTACCTATTGTATTTTAACGCCACAATGGTTTTAAATTCTCATGACTCATGCACACATGAGCATATCAGTACCCACACACGGTGTAAACCACTTTCATTTTCACTTGCTTGGTCGTACTCACCTGTTGAATACACGCAGGCCGCGACGATGAGCGCAGTCGCATCACAATGGGATTCCTGCTCCCCAAAAACACTGTCCAGCCATTGTTTTTCTTTCTCTCAAATTTCAGAATTCTCAGAGCATCAACGATGAAAACTGTGACAGCTACAGCACCAAAGGCCTAACTGCCTCAGTTATTTTTTTTAAAGGTATTGTTCACCAGTTCAGTTTTTCTTCGGTGTCGGTTACTTCATTCTAACATAGAGAATTTCATAACATGAGACGGTGGTGTTGTGTGTTGAGCGAACTAGAGGATGATCTCTACGGCAAATCAATGACAGCATACCAATGGACCTCTGTATACTGACAGCCCCTAGTTTAGCTCTGACAGTGATGTAAGCTCTATGTGTATGCTGTGGCGACACAGGCGGTGCACTGACGTCACATCAAGTTCTATTGTAGCAGTGCATTGCGTACACAGGTACAGGCAGCACAATAGGCAGTGACAGCGCAATGCTGTGGAGGCCTTGTGGATCACACGCTTGGAGCATCAAGAATAAAGAGACAGCCTGCCACTGCCAGGTACTGGGGAGGGCAAACCAGGGCTGAGTGAACAACCAATCAAATAGCAATTATGATTTTTATCAATATTGAATATCGACTGTACAGAACTGCTCTCACTCTGGTAGCTGTCTTCATTTGAAAATTCCATCAATAATGCAGTGTATTATAATGTCTTTGGAAAATGTACTCCCTGTTTTTTCTTGTAAGAAAGATGGAAATGAGGATATTCATGCATATTTCTGGTTTTCAATCGACAGTTTTCTCACTAGAAATGAAATGATATTGATAAAACAAGGACAAAACACCTTGACAAGTTGGGTGCAACAAGGTGTATGGTTTTTCGTGCGGAACTTGTCGCCATGTTTGCGAAGGTTACCTGTACATGTAGATCTAATATTTGTCAAGTAACGCCCACCACACAGATTTGTACAATGGAAACGATCCATTGTCCTTAAACCTAAATCAAATGAAGCCCATCTGAATTAAAACTTAATTAAAAGTCTTTACAAAATTTGTGTTGGTGAAGTCTTTGTGGGTTCTCATCAAGCCTACATGCATTGTAAACTTTTTAATTCTTTACTTGTGTAGAGGAACCATCAACTTTACAACACGACATAGTGAAATCACATCTACAAGCCATATAGGACATTCTGATGGCTTTTTTATCCGAGTATAAAGTTGTTCGCTTCATGGAAAGACAATACACACTGATTTACTTTACAACAAATAAGTGACTAAGTTTGACCACAAACAAAAGGTACATTTTTCGCCTGAAACACAGTAATTTCTTTATTTGAACAAATTTATGGATTGTTCATGTAAATGGAACAATGCATGTGGGCGTTATGGGTTTTTTTTTACAGTAACACCATGTGAATGACATCTCTTTGTGGATTGTGTGGTTCAGAGAAGAACCGTTTTTAACTCGACGTTTCAAAATATGCTCTGTACGTCATAAGCAGTCTCCTGGTGGCAAACAAGGCATGAAAAATACCATTATAAAGGAGATCGACAAAGAAGTAAAGCATTTTAATCACTTAGGCTACACAATTTGATTTGCTAGGGCCCTGAATTGCGCAATGTCGACAACAAGTTTTCCCAATATGGTCCGAATGTTAAAGGGACACTAGGTCCTGGAACAGCCCAATTGGGCTACAAACGCGCTTTGAACGAGATGATGTTAATCGGAAAAACTTTTAAAAGTAGGATATAAACATCCACACAACTATCCTTTCAAAACTGGGCGTTTTTGTGTTATTCCTGTATTATGCGTGCAAGAACGAATTTTGGGGTCCACTTTCTGCGACCCCATAAATTCGAGCTGTTTGGATGCTAGTTGTGATTTCATTCGCACCAAGGGCGGATCCAGAACACAATTTTTTGGGGGGGGGCCAACAAATTTTTTTGGATTCTAGATGCTCTGTGGTGCGATCTGAGGCAATTTCTGACCACTTTAACCAATGTTTTTTTGAGGAAAAGATGGTGATGTACTCATTGCCTGCCTTTATTGCGATGTCACATAAAAAAAAAAATTGGTTTCCTTTTGGGGGGGGGGGGGAGGGGGCATGGCCCCCTTCCCCCTGGATCCGCCCTTGATTCGTACGCGTAAAGTGTTCGCCTTTTGCGGACGTTGAAGAAACCACAATTTTTTGCATTGGTGATTGGGTCACCGGCGCGCTGTTCCCAGACACACAACGTGTATAGCATACATGAGAATGACACGAAAAACATATTCGTACTCCGTCATGTCCGATGTAAACAAGCGGGGGTTTTTCCGCTTTTTCTCGGGAACGGTAAGACATTAGGTTGGTTTCCTTTCAACCAGATGTTTGAAATAGTCTAAGTAAACAATCCAAACAAAACAGTTTTCGGGATTTTTCAGGACCTAGTGCCCCTTTAATGTAGACTGCATAACTAAGCCTATTGTCAAGTACATGTATCCAATACATTATCAAGTACATGTATACATGTACATTATTGTTCCACACTGAACCAGAAATTGACTTTTTATGTAATAGGTAGATTTTGTGAAAAGCTGTTCCATGATGTAACATATGCGTATGACTATAAATCATGGTCACAGTCAATCACATTTAAAGGTTACAAAACTATTTTCTGACACGCTTTTTAAGTAAATGGGGAGGGGGAAAGGGGTGGAGCAAGTGGTAGAAGGGGGGTGGGGGGGAGGGGGGGGGGGGGGGGGGGGGGGAGGGCAGGTGGCCAAGGAGGAGGGGAAAGGGGTGCAGGGAAAAGGGGTGCAGGGTCAAGGGGGTGCAAGGAAACAGGTGCAAGGGAGAAAGGGGGCAAGGGAAAAGGGGGCAAGGGAAAAGGGGGCAAGGAGGGTCAAATTGGGCGGAGCAAGTGGGGGGATGGCAAGGTGGGGCAAGGGGAGCAAGGGAGGGCTGGGGGAGAAAGTGACAAGGAGGATATCCCCCTTTTTTTTTTGGTTCCCCCCCCCCCCCCCCCCCCCCCGTTCCATGATGTAACATGCATACGACTATAAATCATGGTCACAGTCAATCACATGAAAAGGTTAGAAAATTATTTTCTAAAACTTTTGGGGATGGGGAGGGGGCAAGGGGGTCGAGCAAGTGGTAGAAGGGGGGGTTTGGCAAGGGGAGGGGCAGGTGGGCAAGGGGCATGGGGCAAGGGAGTGCAGGCCGGGGCAAGGGGGTGCAAGAGAAAAAGGGGCAAGGGGGGAAGGGGGCAAGGGAAAAGGGGGCATGGGAGGGGCATGTATAGGGGCAAGGGGGATGGCAAGGCGGGGCAAGGGGAGCAAGGGAGGGCTGGGGAGAAGGGGCAAGGGGGTATCCCCCTTTTCCTCTTGCGTGTCAATTTTTCACGGGGGATGGAGTGGATTAGGCATTCATATCAATTTGTTTATGGCAAAAACCGCTCCTATTTATTTTACCTGATTCAACCCGATTTTGCGCATAGCACGATTGTAACAAATGTAATACAAATGCGCGTACGCACAACGTGTACTGTGTGTGAATACCCCTGTGTGTGGACGTGAGCGGCCGGCCGGCGTGACAAGATTTGAGCGTAGTGTACGCACGTACAACGCAATGCCCACGACGTATTTGAGCAGGGTTATGATTGGCGATCATCTTCTTCAACTCCTCAATGTACGGGCCTTAACAATGTCCAATCAAAATACATGTTAGATAATTAGTTAGACCAGAACTTTCCCTAACAACACTTTTTTTAACAATGCCGTACGGTGGCGCTGTTTGTGTTTACGGCGAGTTGAAGCGGTGCGGGTTTACTGAAAACCTTGATTTACACACAGAATCGTGTTAAATTCTGCTAAACACAATATATATCCTGAAAAGTACGGGCTTTGTTTTTAATATAAATTCAATATTTTATATCAGTATGATGTAGAATAAAATTATCTGTCTTATATTCTTTTAACAAGTCAAAGCGGTGCTCCGTTTTCCAATGGTGTACAAAAAAAAACAATCGAGGCGCCGTTTTTGATGGCAATTCCCATAGCGGAAAAATCAGTTCCTGTGTGGACGCTTGAAAAGGAGCGCTCACGAATTGATATGGGATTCATTCAGTGCATAGTAAAGAGACCAAAAGTTATTGCTGAAATTTACTTGTGCAGGCCCATTGCCAAGGGGGGGGGGGGGGCCTGGTTGGGCTGGGCCCCATTGGCTAGCACTTGGCCCCCATATGTATTTTTGTATTTTTTATGGTAGTGGGCCCCCCTGGTTGGTACTAGGCCCCCCCCCCCCCCCCCATGCCCGGGGCTGGCAACGGCGCTGAATTTATGTCATTTTGTGAAAAAATTATCACGATCAATTGGGGAGGGGATAACCACCCCCTTGGATGCCACCTTGACTGATCATTAGCAACTTGCCCAAGACCCTCAACAAATTAATGCAACAAGAAGACACAAGAGGGGGCTATACATGATGAATGTCCATTAGAGTTAGTGGTTAAACTTGCATTCTGCATGGTTCTGTCAGCTATTTTGGTGAGTCTTAAAAGATCTGAAGAATAAAAGACTCACCAAAAAAAGCTGACTAAATGTCACTCAAAGTGATTTTATATAGGGGTCCTAAAGTCAAAATATACGATTACCACATTTCCCAATTGTTCGAAACTGTTTCCATAGGCGTAGCCAGCGGGGTCGGGGGTAGCCAACAATTGGCATCCTATGCCGAAATGCCGCAGTGTTTACTTTATTGTCATTGTCAGCTGACAGTGAATAGTGCAGTGTATTTTGGTCATGTTGATAGATATCGAGACCCGGCCACTCATCTAGTTAATTGAGCCATTCTACGAATCACATCAGTAAATACTTACATTAGTTTCCACTTCCCCTTCTTTTCTGATGTGGCTGCATCTTGATCTTCAAGAAGGTGAAAAGAAGTTCAGTCAGATGAATCCAAACTCGCGCGACAGCTGTCCAGACATGACATGACGTCATTGCATACGCAACACGTGCTTCGCGCGCTATCAAATCTCGCGGGGGGCAGTATCAAAATTCCAGACACCAATAATTCCAATACTTCAAGATTCTATTAAAAATACTCAGAATCTCAAGGGTGTTCAGCCGCACAGAACAATACTATGATCAACATGTCACCTTTCATTTTCTTATAAATTTTGGGTGGGTTGACTGATGACTATTTTGGAGAAATTCTCACCCAAAGAAGACCACCCCTAAACGAACGATGTTCATCGCCCCGACTTCGGTCAATAGTATCGCAATCTCCCCATTAAACAAAAGTAAGACACTCATTGTAGCGACGATAACTCAAGATAAACACATTGCATTGAAATGACATTTCGTCCAATATTTCTCCATAATATCTGACACAAGACCTTTGAAAACTGACAGGAACCGTGAAAGAATGAATTAAAAATAATTTAAAGAAATAATTGGAGTTTTCTCTATGGTGATTGCAGGGCGGGGTGTACGAGCGAAGGACTGACACTCCTTACTTTTTCGTCATCAATTTCTTCCAAAAGAGGGCGCGCTACTAAACACTGGTCACCACCGACCCGACTTCTGTCTAATTGCAAACATTATTTAGACACTCTTTGTAGCGACGAAAACTCAAGATATTGAAACAGATTGCATTGAAATGAAATTTCGTCCACTATTTTGCCATGATATTTGACACAAGAAGCTTGACAATTTACAGGAACCGTGAAAGAATGAGGTTTTCCCAAAGTAGTAGGGGGCCGATGTGCATATTTTGGTTCCCGTCGAAATTTCATGTTAATTTTTGGCAACCATTATAAATGTAATCTTATGAGTCCTGAGAACAAGAAAATTGATGTTATTGACCTTTAGTGACCTTGACCTGAGGTCAAAGTTCATGGGTCATTTTCACCTAAAATTTGCCTTTCGGAAGGGTTTGCGAAGATTTTCGAGGCAAGTGAGCACATATTGTATTTGGTTGAGAGTTTCTCCATAATAATAAATGTTATTATTAATGTATTTATGGGTTTTCCGGAAGAAAACATGGGAACATGTCACTTTTGCCCGAAAAGGGCTGGGTTGTTTTGACCATCTCACGCAGATTCCGGCCCCCCCCCCCCCATGACCTCGGCCATCGAGTGACGAAAAATTATGAAACTTGGTACGTGCATAGAACAACATAACATAAACAAACCCAAGAAATTTCATGACTAAAGTGAAAAAAGTAGGAGTCAATTTCTCAACATAACAGTTTATTAGAATACAAGTTCTTGAAAATGTGAATGTGCGCAGATACTAAAAACCCATAGCTCTCAGTGCCTACTGGCAACTGAAATTTACAAAAAAAGTGTATTTTTTCGAGGTTAATTTATTCAGGAACTGTGTGGGAAAGGGAACTGGATAGATTGTAAACACATTGCTGTTCCGGACAAAAGGTATATAGGCCTATTTCAAAATGTTTAAAAACATGTACCGGTATAGTCATTGTTTTTTCCCCCTCAAACTTCCTCATTATTTTTTACAAACAATATTAACAATGCTGTGTTTTGCGAGAGTGATTAGTTTAGTCAATAACAGCCAATGATTTCACAGGTTTGAATGTAGGGCCTACTACCAGAAAGCAAGACTTGTCAGACAAAATAAATTTTCTCTCTTTGAGAAAAAAAGGAACACTGAAATCAGGTAAAATTATGGATCCATCATCGTCTCGTTCGAGACTTTCAACAATGGGCGAGAGAAAATAATGCTCAATATAATTTTGCATTAATTTATTGTATTAATTTTACTTGGGATTCATAGGAAATATAGGTAGGCCCTACACACAATTTATTACAAAATTTACTACAATATATTCAGTAACAGAAATGTACGAAGAGATTTAAAGACGAAAATAAAAAAAAACTAAAAAAAAACATTGCCGACGATGTCTTTTGATTAACTGTGCTGACTTCTGACAGAAGTACAGGAACGCGGCCCGCAAATATAAAGGTATCAGAACATATACCTAAACGAAACGAAACGAAAGTACGAAAGGAAACGAAAGGAAACGAAAGGAAACGAAACTACGAATAGCAAATTAAAAAAATAATAAAGCATGTTTTTTTTAATTCAACACCTATCTCCACATTAGACGAATTTCCCGAAACGTGGACGAATCTGAATGCTTTATATTATATTTGCGAATTACACTGGAGACATAATAGGAATTACATTCGAATTCGGAATAAACAATGGAGCCCAACGACGTTCTGGAACGAAATTAAAGTATCTTTCCAAGGAATGCTATATTATACAATTGTTGAAGTAACTGGGAAAACCATAATTAAATATTAATTTTAAAACAAAATCCTCATTTTACAAGCATTCTGTTCAAGTAAGCGTAAATACACAATTACATAATTCATTGCATTTTATTCTGTATAATAATGTTTACACGGCATTGTAACATTTTATTGTGTGGAAATGGCAACATTGAAATAAATGTTTCTACTACTACTATTAACAGTCTTTTTCCCGCCGTAAAATAGCTCCAAAATAGTGCCGTATAGCTCCAAAATAGTGCCGACTGATCAGGGGAGTATAATTATGGAGCAAACCGAGGTTTTGATCGCATTTCACAAGTGATTTTGATCTCAGGCATACCCCACCAAAAAACTCTCAATTGCACACTTTGTCAGCCAAAACGATTACTCACAGTATTACCGCATCGTCATTGGTGAAACTGTAATTCAGTCATCCTCCAAGTGCAGAAATCTAGGTGTAATCCTCGACTGCCATCTATCCATGAGCGATCAAGTATCAGCAATATGTAAAAAACGCAACTTTCACCTGCTAGTGGGGGGCCAATGTACTTCCGTTGGCATGTCATGTTAATTTATGGCAACCATTATAAATGTAATCTTATGAGTCCTGAGAACAAGAAAATTGATGTTGCCATTTTTTCCATCGACCTTTAGTGACCTTGACCTGAGGTCAAAGTTCATGGGTCATTTTCACCTAAAATTTGCCTTTCGGAAGGGTTTGCGAAGATTTTCGAGGCAAGTGAGCACATATTGTATTTGGTTGAGAGTTTCTCTATAATAATAAATGTTATTATTAATGTATTTATGGGTTTTCCTGAAGAAAACATGGGAAAATGTCACTTTTGCCCGAAAAAGGGCTGGGTTGTTTTGACCATCTCACGCAGCTTCCGGCCCCCCCCCCATGACCTCGGCCATCGAGTGACGAAAAATTATGAAACTCGGTACATGCATAGAACAACATAACATGAACAAACCCAAGAAATTTCATGACTATGGGTTAAAGGGTTTTGGAATTACGGCTAATTAATTATTCATAAGCACGTATGGTAATTCAATTGTGTACACTACGTATAGGGGGAAATTCAGTTTTGACGGAGGGTAGCGCCGAAATATTTCGCTGCGCGGCAACCTGTGGTTCGAATTTTGTTTTTGGTATCAAAAGATGTGCAAGACTCGAGGCTAAAATGTCAGGACAGCTCAGGCCGTGAAATAAATAATTTTTTTCAAGAGTATCGCGGCAAAAGTTGAAAGAGGGAAAATCCGCCCCCCCCCCTTTTAGGGCCTAAATATGACCAACCCTTTAGTGCCTGGCATCTAAATATGAAATGTTGTAAAGTGTCCTCCGCAGTACCACACTCGCACAGGGTGTTTGTCGGTTGAGGAAAATCCCCACTTCTTTTGGTGCGAGCCACTCCAGAGCGGAGGTGATTTAAGCACCTCCAGGTCTTTCATCCTGCATGGGATCCTGCAGGTAAGGCTTCTGCATGCTTGATGGGCATCTCATGTAGTGGGGGAGACGCCACAAGTCTGGTCAACCCAGGAGGCACACACTTGGGTCTTAATAGCAGGGTTGATCGCTTTCAGGTGACTCACAGTGAAGCACTGCTGTGACTGGTCAAGAACATCGGTCAACGTCTTCCCTTGGGGGACCGTTCCTTTGAAGACGTACTCTACTCTGCCTTTGAATACTACAAAGAAACGATGGTTCTTCAATAGAACACCAATAAACTGGATAAGGGTCAGGTCTGCTGTCATGTCCAGGATCTTCTGAAGGAGTCAGCAACGGTTAACACTGTCAAAAGCAGCTGTAAGATCAACAAAGACAGCGCCGGTGATATATTTTTTTCTGATGGAAGCAGTCCTTAATGTACTGAGTGAGGTTTAGAAGCTGTCCCGTTGTAGATTTGCCGGGACGGAAGCCTGCCTGCCTGTTCCTGTATCAGTTGTTTCTCAATGAAGAGGCAAGAAGGTTGAGGAGGAAATATTCCAGCAACTTGAATGTGTGACTTTGGGACGATAAGTTTTGACATGCATTGGGTCTTTTCCGGGTTTTAGGAGGGCGATGACCTTCGACTTTTGCCACACTTTAGGTATTGTTTGTGTGGCGAGGCAGGTGTTGATGAGCTGGAGTAACCAATTTGAGGCGTTTGGTCCAAGATGTTTCAGTTCTTTGGTGAAAATGTTATCCAGTTTGGTTGATTTCCTGTTCTTTATTTATGCCAGTCGCAAGTTCATTAGCAGAGAAGGATTTGATGAAGCCAATAAGGTCGATGGCGGGGTCTTTCTGGCGGAGCTTGGCTTTCGGTCGCTTATCAGGAGAACGTGGCACTTTACCATTTAAATAGCAGTTGTTGTGGGCTATTTGGTTGGCGGTGATGTTACAATGCTGTTCACTTGGCTGAGCTTTTTTTTATATCATACTCCAGGCTTGGAGGCCATATTGGCTTCTTGGCCATATTGGTGGTTACCACAAGGGTTTGCCACAAGCTTTGAAGCTGTTCTGATATGGCTGTTATTAATTCCTCCCCAGATGAGATAGTATCGACAGCAAGAGAGTCGTTTTCATACATGCGTCTCTATTTCCTGTAAAGTTCAGCACTACGGGATGCTGCTAGGCCTGGGATGTAATCAGTGCGGCAGCCCGTAGGGATGTTCTTGCACCACCGCATCAACAAACCGGTGTCATAGTATTCAGGGGTTGGATCAATGTCAGCTAGATGGTGTTTGAGCTCATTGGTGAAGCCTTCACAGTTGGCCTTACTAAGTTGAAACAGCGGTGGAATGGAATTGTTGCGAAGAGACAGCAGCAGTCACTTTGATTCCAATAGGGCGATGTCGGGTCTTTGGAATGGGGTCAAGGACCATCTTGTTGCTAAGTGAGGCGATGTTGTGGCTCACAAGGGCTAGAGCAGGGTTGAAACTTTATCTCCAGCCGCCACTATGGAAAAACTTCGACAGTTTCGCATTGTGTAGGCATGCAACTGTAAACTCACCAAAAAAAGAGGAAATTCCTAAATTCAGAAGACTTTGTACAGTGATTTTCAATTTTGAATGGCAGAAATGAGAATAAAAAAAAAGGAAATCAGCTGATCCGAGGAAAAGTTGTATGCCTGATTGTGAATAAGGCTCAGTTGACTTGCTTCGGCCAGCGATTCAAAAGCGTCGACGTCTGTGCTGGAATGATGCTGCTGTGGCTATTAAATCGCCGATAATTATGCGTGGCTTGGGCTGTTTTGTGGATTGTGGCGGTGGCATTAGGATGGAAGACCTGGAGGTGCTTAAATCACCTCCGCTCTGGAGTGGCTCGCACCAAAAGCACCATGAAGAAGTGGGAATTTTCCTCAACCGACAAACACCCTGTGTGAGTGCGGTACTGCAGAGGACACTTTACAACATTTCATATTAAGATGCCAGGCCCTAAAGGGTTGGTCATATTTTGGCCCTAAAAGGGGGCAGATTCCCCCCCCCCCCTTTCAACTTTTTCCGCAATACTCTTGCAGAGTTATTTATTTCGCGGCCTGAGCTGTCCTGACTTTTTAGCCTCGTGTCTTGCACATCTTTTGATACCAAAAACATAAAATTCGAAACACAGGTTGCCGCGCAGCGAAATCTTTTCGGCGCTACCCTCCGTCAAAACTGAATTTCCCCATATACGTAGTGTACACATTTGAATTACCATATGTGCTTATGAATAATTAATTGGCCGTAATTCCAAAACCCTTTGACCCATAGTCATGAAATTTCTTGGGTTTGTTCATGTTAAGTTGTTCTATGCATGTACCGAGTTTCATAATTTTTCGTCACTCGATGGCCGAGGTCATGGGGGGAGGGGGCCCGGAATCTGCGTGAGATGGTCAAAACAACCTGGCCCTTTTCGGGCAAAAGTGACATTTCCCATGTTTTCTTCAGGAAAACCCATAAATACATTAATAATAACATTTATTATAATGGAGAAACTCTCAACCAAATACAATGTGTGCTCACTTGCCTGGAAAATCTTCGCAAACCCTTCCGAAAGGCAAATTTTAGGGAAAATGACCCATGAACTTTGACCTCAGGTCAAGGTCACTAAAGGTCAATGGAAAAAAATGGCAACATCAATTTTCTTGTTCTCAGGACTCATAAGATTACATTTATAATGGTTGCCATAAATTAACATGACATGCCAACGGAAGTACATTGGCCCCCCCACTAAAGCGGAAAAGTAGCCACTATCTTGAAAAACGATCCTTTCACAACATGGCTAAATAGTGCCACTTTCGGGTCCAATCGCATCCAAAATGCTCAGAAGTTTTTCCCCGGCGGCGGACATAATCAGCCAGTTTTAACATTCATGCAATATTCATTTGGTGGTTTCTTACACTTTAGTGTGGCCTGCTGATTCCAAAACTGCATGATGCCACCTTAATTGAAGGTAAGGTACACCAAGAAATAAAAATATAGTTTTTGTGCCAATTCAAGGATTATAAGTCCTACAATAAATCATGGAGCAGCGTATTAAAAAAGTAACCTGTCGAAATATCAGCTCAAAAGATATACTTTCTTGGGCGGCGGAACGCTTTTCAAACTTGGGGGAGGGGGGCAACACCAAAAAGGGTCACTTGCTCAGAAAAGGATGCACCTTCCGTCGGTGTGAAAGTGGAGGAAAAGAATATAATCCCGTTCGTTTCGCTATAAACCTACATGACGAGGAACAAATTATGAATACGTTGTCCATCTTGTTTCTTTTACCTAGTTATTAGAGAGACTATTGGGCTTTTTTTTATCGTGAGTTCATGGTGTGTTTTTTATCGCGAGAGGGGCACTGATGATTTTTCGGTGACCATTTTATTCGCGTGAAGAGCACTGTTTTTTTAGGGGTCAGTTTTCCATCTTGAGAGGGCGCACAATTTTAATGTGCTCGCGAGCGGGGCACCAATTGTGCTTTCGAGAGGCAGTTTTCCATCTCGAGAAGTTATCGCGAGAGGAGCACTATTGTTTTTTCGATGGCCAGTTTTCCATTACGAGTGGGGCACAATTTTATTCCTGCGAGAGGGGTATTTGTGCCTTCGAGGGGTAGTTTTTCATCTCGAGAAGGTGCACAATCTAGTTAATGCGAGAGGGATAGGCCTACTTGTGTTTTTGAGGGTCAGTTTTGCATTACAAGAGAGGAGACTATTTTACTTGTAGCGCGATCATAATTATACTTTCACACGTGTGCGTTTGAGGGGCAGTTTTATTTTCATCTCGAGGGGGTACATTAACCGCGAGAGGGGCACTTCTGTTGGCCTGGAAATATGGGGGGGGGGGCAAGTCCCCCCCCCCCCCCCCCCCCCCCCCCCGTCCCTGTATACTTTTGGAGGGAATGGTAAATCTTCATTTTTCTTGATGCCAAGCAAAGTTTCTGTTGAAAGCCCTCAATTCCAGTGTTCATTAATATACCCTCTAATAGTCAAGGGCGGATCCAGAACACAATGTTTTTGGGGGCCCAACAAAAATTTGGTCCCCCCCCCCCCAAGTGGGTCCCAAAAACGACGGCGTGGGGTTCGAGGATTCTAGATGCTCTGTGGTGCGATGCGATCTGAGGCAATTTCTGACCACTTTAACCACATCTTTTGGAGGAAAAGATGGTGGTGTATACGCAGTGTCTGCCTTTACTGCGACGCCACTTAAAAAAAGAAAGGTTTCGTTATTTGGGGGGCCGGGGTATGGCCCCCGTTGGCCCCCTGGATCTGCCCATGCTTGTTGTATGATTCTGCCACTTTGGAGAAATAACTCAATTTACGGATGTTTAGCTGAGTCCTATAACTAAGCCAAATTCGGTCACAATACTTGGGACGTTATTGGTAAAAATGGCCAGATTTATTTTTCGCGAGGTGTTGGTCCTAACCATCGCCAGGAAATAATCCTAATATAATTCCTCTCCTCTCGAAAATGACAACATCCTCGGGGCAATGATTTTACAAAATGCTCGATCCCATTATGCACTTACAATCAAGTGGGACATTTTGTGCAGACCCATAGCCAGGGGCCGGGGGGGGGGGGCTAGTGGGGCTGGGCCCCCCCCTTGGCTAGCACTTGCCCCCCCCCCCCCCATGGCAAAAGCCATTCATATGTATTTTTGTATGGCCCCCGAGTTGGTACTATGCCCCCCCCCCCCCCCATGCCCGGGGCTGGCGACGGCGCTGAATTTATGTCATTTTGTGAAAAAAAGTATCAATGATCAATTGGGGAGGGGGCTAACCACCCCCTTGGATGCAACATTGACTGATCATTAGCAACTAGTACATTTGCCCAAGACCCTCAACAGATTTATGTAACAAGAGACACAAGAGGGGGCTATACATGATTAATGTGTATGCACTATTCAATAGCGGTTAAATTTGGCATTCTGCATGGTTCTGTCAGCTTTTTTGGTGAGTCTTTAACATCTGAAGGTAAAAGACTCACCAAAAAAAAGCTGACTAAATGACACTCAAAGTGATGTTATAAAGGAACAGGGTCCTAAAGTCAAAATATACGATTACCACATTCTTGCCCAATTGTTCAAAACTGTTTCCATAGGCGTAGCCAGCGGGGTCGGGGGTAGCCCCATAAATGTGGCCAATTTACTGGACTACCTCCGTAAATAAAGGCCACACTTCCACCATGTACAAAAACATGTCGAACTTTGTCAAATTTTGATTTTCACATTTAGGCTTAGTATGTAGGGTTTTTTTTGCTTTAGAAGCATACTCACCCTCTTTATAGGCTAATCAGAAAGTGCTGCCCTTTTCAGATGTCTATTTTTTGGTGAAATTTCATGTTGAAATTTTGCTATGCAAACGTGTGCAAACGAATCTGGTAATTTCACGAAAAACAGACATCTGAAAAAGGCAGCACTTTCTGATTAGCCTATAAAGAGGGCGAGTATGCTTCAACACGTGCTTCGCGCGCAATCATATCTCGCGGGGGGGGGGGGGCAGTATCAAAATTCCAGACACCAATAATTTCAATACTTCAAGATTCTATTACAAATACTCAGAAATTTCACAGGTGTTCAGGCCGCACAGAAAAATATTATGATCAACATGTCACCTTTCAGTTTCTTTTCAATTTTTGGTGGGTTGACTGATGACTATTTTGGAGAAATTCTCACCCAAAGTAGACCACCCCTAAACGAACGATGTTCATCGCCCCGACTTCGGTCAATACGTATCGCGATCTCCCCATTAAACAAAAATAAGACACTCATTGTAGCGACGATAACTCAAGATAAACACATTGCACTGAAATGAAATTTCGTCCAATATTTCTCCATAATATCTGACACAAGCCTTTTGAAAACTGACAGGAACCGTGAAAGAATGAATGAAAATAATTAAAAGAAATAATTGGAGTTTTCTCTACGGTAATACGGACTGACACTTTTTCTTACTTTTTCGTCATCAATTTCTTCCAAAAGAGGGCGCGCTACCAAACACTGGTCACCACCGCCCCGACTTCTGTCAATATACGGATCGCGATCTCCCGCTAATTGCAAAAATTATTTAGACACTCTTTGTAGCGACGAAAACTCAAGATATTAAAACAAATTGCATTGAAATGAAATTTCGTCCACTATTTTGCCATGATATTTGACACAAGAAGCTTGACAATTTACAGGAACCGTGAAAGAATGAGGTTTTCCCAAAGCGGAAAAGTAGCCACTATCTTGAAAAACGATCCTTTCACAACAACGTTAAATAGCGCCAGCGCCACTTTCGGCCCAATTGCATCCAAAGTGCTCAGAATTTTTTTCCCCGGCGGCGGACATAATCAGCCAGTTTTAACATTCACGCAATATTCATTTGGTGGTTTCTTACACTTTAGTGTGGCCTGCTGATTCCAAAACTGCATGATGCCACCTTAATTGAAGGTAAGGGACACCAAGAAATAAAATATAGTTTTTGTGCCAATTCAAGGAATATAAGTCCTACAATAAGTCATGGAGCAGCGTATTAAAAAAGTAACCTGTCGAAATATCAGCTCAAAATTTATACTTTCAGGGGCGGCGGAACGCTTTTCAAACTTGGGGGAGGGGGGCAACACCAAAAAGGGTCACTTGCTCAGAAAAGGGTACACCTTCCGTCGGTGTGAAAGTGGAGGAAAAGAACATGGTCCCGTTCGTTTCGCTATAAACCTATATATGACGAGGAACAAAATTATGAATACGTCGTATAAAGAGACTATTGGGCTTTTTTTATCGCGAGTGTTGTTTTTTTTTTATCGCGAGAGGGCACTGATGCTTTTGATGGCCAGTTCGGTGACCATTTTATTCGCGTGAAGAGCACTTTTTTTTTAAGGGCCAGTTTTCCATCTTGAGGGCGCACAATTTTAATGTTGCTCGCGAGCGGGGCACCAATTGTGCTTTCGAGGGGCAGTTTTCCATCTCGAGAAGTTATCGCGAGAGGTATTGTTTTTGATGGCAAATTTTCCATCTCAAGAGGGGCACAAATTTATTGTATTGCGAGAGGGGTATTTGTGTTTCGAGGGGTAGTTTTTCATCTCGAGAAGGTGCACAATCTTATTGCGAGAGGGGTACTTGTGTTTTTTGAGGAACAGTTTTGCATTACAACTACAAGAGAGGAGACTATAGCGCGATCATAATTATACTTTCACACGTGTGCGTTTGAGTAGGCAGTTTTATTTTGATCTCGAGGGGGTACTTTTATAACCGCGAGAGGGGCACTTCTGTTGGTGGGGGGGGGGGCAAGTTCCCCCCCCCCCCCGTCCCTTTATACTTTTGGCGGGAATGGTGAATCTTCACTTTTCTTGATGCCAAGCAACGTTTCTGTTGAAAGCCCTCAATTCTAGTGTTCATTAATATACCCTCTAATAGTCAAGGGCAGATCCAGAACACAATGTTTTGGGGGGCCCAACAAAAATTTGGTCCCCAAAAAAGTGGGTCCCAAAAATGACGGCGTGGGGTTCGAGGATTCTAGATGCTCTGTGGTGCGATGCGATCTGAGGCAATTTCTGACCATTTTAACCATTTTTGGAGGAAAAGATGGTGGTGTATACGCAGTGTCTGCCTTTATTGCGACACCACTTAAAAAAAGGTTTCGTTTTTTGGGGGGCCGGGGCATGGCCCCCGTTTGGCCTCCTGGATCTGCCCTTGCTTGTTGTATGATTCTGCCACTTTGGAGAAATAACTCAATTTACGGATGTTTAGCTGAGTCCTATAACTAAGCCAAATTCGGTCACAATACTTGGGACATTATTGGTAACAATGGCCAGATTTATTTTTCGCGAGGTGTTGGTCCTAACCATCGCGAGGAAATATTATAATTCCTCTCCTCTCGAAAATGACAACATCCTCGGGGCAATGATTTTACAAGATGCTCGATCCCATTATGTACTTACAATCAAGTGGGATATTTTCACAATATTTTGGCATTTCTTGTTTTTGAATGTTTGCAAAGGGTGTCAGTATACCTTTAACAATAACACACGACTCAGGAGACTGTCAAGCTAAATTGCCGAACGTTTTATTCAAGTATTTACAACCAAAACCATTGAATCAAAAAGTGAAATAAACTCTTTTCGTAAAAATAATGCATCTTGAATAAATTTAAAAATTATATGGGTTTAGTGAAACATGCGAGGTTTCCGAAATTATAGGGGAATTGTGCCTTGCAGTATACCACATTGTGTCCCCCCCCCCCCAAAAAAAAGTTTTGCAAGCAGATATCCTTTAATTTTTCAAAACAAACTACTTAACTTGAGTATTTCATCTTGATGGAGCATATTGATTATACTCTTGTGTATATTCAGTAAAAATGTCATGGAAATCCATTCATGCAAACCAGAGATCTAACAGATTATAAAAGGCTAAGGGATTTATCAGAGTGAAAAGGCCCATGACAATCTGATGCGCTGATGTCACTAACTATGTAAATCCCATTGGAATGGGTGAGAAACCCACAACCTTTTAGCAATCTGTCAGATCTCTGGTTTGTATAAACTGATTTCCATGGCATTTTCACTAATTTTACACAAGAGTATAATATATATATGTATGTTCCATCAAGATGAAATGCGTATGTTAAGTAGTTTTTGAGAAAGGATATCTGCTTGCACAACTGATTTGGGGAACACCCTGTAAATTGGTGTATAACTAAAGGGATAAGGGGCACGCCCCACCCCCCGCCGGGCTTGTGCCCCCCCCCCCCCCCCCCGCTCATAATTTGCAGAATACAATCATGAGCTTTGTATTGTCCAATTCAAGTGTGGCCACAAGTAATTATCCATCACGATTATTTATTTTTTTGAGAGAGCAATTTATTGTAATTTATAGGGCCATAGACCTTTACTTTATCTTTTATGTGGGCCCTATTTTCTTTGAATTTTCTACTCTTTTAATGCTAAGTTTGCTTCTGAATTTTCTAAACTACAAGCCGTAAACAAAGGGATCACTACAAACAATGTACAACATGTTCTATTCTTGCGATTTGGTACATAGGTCCTAGGCTGATAAGAAGTGTCGACCTCAGCAGATAACACTATACAAACCCGAAGGCAGATGTGTTTTACTATAATTACATGTAAACTGTTCCTAAAACCAGGGTTCGGTCGAGACCCATGTGGTTAATCAACTTTCATCGAACACACCGTACTTGGGGATGAGGGTACTTTATAACTCACGCGCAGGTGCAAGATACGTCACGACTCACCACCGGTTCATCATGGATCGACCCCTCACCAAGTTACCATGACAGACAGCATATGGGGATAAGGCACATATGTTTTAGAGAATAAAAATAACTATTATTTGGTACTTTCCACATCTCTTCAAACTCATCTTCCATGTTGACCATATAACGCTTAACTGTATGAAGGCCCCCTTTAATGGCGAAAGCAGGCATTGTACAAAGTCTGCCCCATGACAGATTATCCGAGCAAAAGCTGGCAACATGATTTCGGTACGAGCTTAGTGTGATTGATTTATCGGTAAAATCATTAATTTTCAAAACGGGCAAGTTTGCACTCTAGGCCTATTTTTTTTGTCCGTAACACCAGATGAGTGCTTTGAATGGTACCGGGTAGGCCTAACAGTGACGCACTTTAAAAAAAAAGTTGAGTTTCAACAACGTCGGATTCCGTCGACGGTCGACCTGAGGCTGTATTGATATTGGCGGCGACATACTTCTGGTTCTGATATAATGATGATTATCAGTACTTGTTTTTCCTGTGAATGAAGAAAGAAACAATGATTTTAAGAAAAACAATGCATGTTTGCCTTGAGAAAAAAAACATTTTAACCCAAAACTATCGTGAAGACCAGCTGCCTGTAGTGAAACGCAACAGTACGAATGTTTTCATCATTTTTCTTACTGCATTCGCTCGCAGCACGGATTGGCCATACTGAAGAAAAGAGATACCTAGCTAACAAAAATCATTAATGTGACCGAAACTTGTTAGTCAGTCTGCAAAGGGTCTTTTTTTTGGGGGGGGGGGTTAATATAGTCGACTTACGACTGCTGAAGAGAGACGAGGATGATCAACATAATGAGGAAGACGACGGCAGCGGGCGCTATAGCACCCAGGATGAGCAGACCAGTCGAGAAACAGCCTGTACAGGAGACAGTCATGGGGCGAGATGGTTAACTTTATCCACTTGGATCCAAGCCACCGAGTTACATCATACAAAATATGAAAATAATGAAAGTTTATAAGTCCAATGGTAAGAATACTTTCATAAGGTGACAGATGGAATGTTCCATTCCACGAGGTGAAGCCGAGTTAAATGGAACATTCCATATGCCACCGAATGAAATTATTGCTTGCACTAAAAAATATATTTTTTTTTTTTCTTTTTTTTCTTTTAGAATTCCCGAATAAATCCTCCTATAAATCTGATTGGTGAATAGTTTTAAAGTGGACTAGAACTTCGGCTCGGTCTTGGGTTGGGACGATTAAGATTTTATCTCACTTTCAATTCAATATGGCTGACTCGTGAATAAGGCCCATATTCTCCAAGTTTGTGAGAGATGCTATAAGCCTACCGTCTTCGGGTTGTTCAGGCGGTGCAATCGGCGGCAGCGGTATCTGGGCAGTCGGCCAGTTGGGGTCTGGGACGAACGGGAAGGCAGGGTTCCCGGGCGGTATCGAACCACCGGCAGGCCGGTTCGGATCCTCTTCAGGGGGTAGTTTCGGACCGGCCCCAGTTGGGTCGCCTGGTACCGGTTGCCCTGGTGGAACATTTCCCACGTTGGTATCGAAACAGTCGTACTCTATGACCTGCTCTGTGAAGGCAATTCAAAATGAACCATTGGGATGTATGTGAATTGTTTTGTTTTGCTGAAAAGAACACTTGCTTTTTTTGTGACCCGTAGACAAAAGTTTAAAACGGTGTTTGTGTTTAAAATTCCGTAACTTGAAAAAGTACATGAGTGATTTGAATGATTCTTGTACTAAAAGAAAGCTTATGAATCGGGCTGTCATATCCTAGTTTTGAAAGTGCTACATGCAGAACTTCACAACAACAAAAAGTCCCAATATTTGGGATTTTTTTTTTACTCACCCTGTAGATAATAATGCGGACTTGTGAGGACTTGGTCTATATCAAGTGCCCACTCGCCAAGTCCTAAAACAATCTACAGGCCAAGAAATGTGGGGACCGTGGGCTATAAGGCCCATCCAGGCACGCTTTATACCACGAAGGCCCCTTCAACAAAGTTGTAACTCGACTCGAGTCCCAATTTTTGGTGACTCGACTCAACTCGAGTCCCAACGGGTAAATAACTCGGCTCGAGTCACTGAGAGCAAATGGACTGGACTTGACTCGGGTTGAAATGTTAAATTATAACGGAAGAAGACATTCTAAACATGTCAGTGACAAAAATCGCCGTCATCGATGCCAAAATGCCAGTCAATACTGGTTACAAAACTTTTTTTCCAGAAAAGTTGTGCATACATCGATTATTATACATGTAGTTTATAATTATGTCCAGGTTTTGGAATTAAGGAAACTAAACCTTTCCTGCAAAGACGGCCTTGATTTTTCGTCTTCAGTTTTTCTTTAGAGGAATAAAGACTTGCTGACAAATTTCTTAAATAAAAAAGAACACCCGACGACGCTTGCCCCCACTCGACACGTCATTGTTGACAACGTGGAAGAATTTCGCAGGAGATTTCGCAGGGAATGTCGCCTTGTTCGGGTCATGTTTTGGAGGTCAGATGTTTTAGTGAGGGGGAAATGCTAATCAGTACTGTCATCCGTTGTCATCACTGATCATTACGCTGCAGACTTCGGGTCATACAACGGCCTGCATTCTACCACTGATGTGATGGGCAACGGTATACGGCTATTGGTGACCAACAAATTTAGCGGTCAAACGTTCATATCAATCAGTCGAGTTTGAACTAATTACCGGATGACCTGTATTGTTCTGTGCGTGGGTAATTAGTGGGATTTAACTTTTCACGTCATCTGGCGGCGATTGAGCACAAGCGCCGTGATATGGGATAAATATAAAAACCGTCTTCATTATGAACTAGCTAAAAATAGGCGCCACTTGTTTTTGTTTTGCTTGGTCCCTATAGGCCTATGGGATTCTTCTGAAAGTTTTGTCATTTTTAGAACCATACCACGCCCTGTTTGTACATAAGGGCACGTTTCCTGCGCTCGTGTGGACTTTTTTTAAGTTTTTTTTTTGCGATGAAAGAAATGGTGGGAAAATCAAGCGTATTTCTGTGGCAAGGTTTGGAAAGTCTAAGGTCTGTGATATGCGAGCAGATTCGGTGATTAATTATGCAACTATACTTTACCTCGAGATTCTGACCATTCAGCGGGCGCCTTCTAGGCATATAGCGGGTGTTCGCTAACCCGTTTTGAAAGCCAATGTCGGGAAATAAATGTGAAGTTGAATTGAATCGAATTAAATTGAATCTGTGCCCAGTGTTTTGTTACAAAAACATGGCATCCAAATTGACCAATCAACAATTCAATTCAGGAATGAAAATGACGTCATGTCGACTCTGATTGGCTGGCGCGCCGGGGTCGCATAAATTTGCGTGCTTAGATATATGAGACGTTGGACCGGAGGCAGAGAGGGCTATACATTGGTCAAGTGATACTCGGACTAGCATTTGGTTGCATGAATTAAAAGTTCTCAGTAAAGCAACGCAGTCTGGTTCCCTAGACCTGACAATTATTCCCGACGTTCACGTCTAAATTGTAGGTCAGGCAGCCTCCGTGGCTAAATATAAACATTTTCAAAGCTCGGCTTCGTTTTCGATTTCGCTTTATCACTTATAGCTTTTAATGTTCTGATCAAATTTGTAAAGAAATCACTTGCTTCGTAATATCATACAATTATGATTATACAGTTTGATATTTCTGTAAGATAACATTGACTAATGTTGATCTGGAATCTTCAAAATTAGGCACCCAAATAGCACTGTTAGCAGGCGGAGCCGAATGAAGACCGAGTTTTGGAAAATCTCGGTAACGGTCGTCAAATTCAAAATAGTAAATGACGCAGCAAAAAGTTTGCTCATACAATTCGAGTATACTTGATGCACAAAATCGTCGTTGAATGTCAAGTGTTCTTAATGAAACCAATGAATACTAAATATCAACTAATTTTAAAAAGTTTTTAATAAGCAATTAGCAGTTAATTAAACCTTATATGCCTATTATACTCGGAAATACTCGGGCGCTATCCAATTGTCGACGAAATGAACTCGGCAAACTTCGGACATTTCCGGAAAAAGGAGGAATTCCTCCCGTTTTAGTCACGTGACGTGCATTATAATACAAAGTTTTACCGGAGGCTACCTGACCTAAGTATCATCAGGAATAGTCAGAATCTTTTGGTCTGGGAACCAGGCTATAAAGGAACGTAGAGAGTAATGTGGCTGAGACATCTTTGTTTGCTTTAGTTGGTCTTTTGTCCCAATACATGCATGGCGGTTCCTTGCAAGGAGATTAGGAGACTATACTTAACACTTTTTAATATAAACATTGTTGTGATCGATGTAATTGTGAAAGATCACAAGTCAATCACAACTCTATCACAAGTCTATCACAAGTGAACCAGTCCCAGGTCAACTAACATGGTTTTTAAATGAATTGTGACAAAGGCACTCATTTGGTTATCGTTTTTCCTCTGTTATTTGAGATTGGAGTTGCGGCTTACTTTTGACCGAATTTGTGATGTACAGGGTGAGTAAAAAAAAACCCGAAACCCAAATGTCGGGACTATTGTTTTAGTGAAGTTCTGCATGTAGCACTTTCAAAATCTAGGATATGAAAACCCTATTCATAAACTTTGTTGTAGTACAAGAATCATTTAAATCACTCATGTACTTTTTAAGTTACGGAATTTTAAACACAACCGCCGTTTTAAGGTTCTGTCCACGGATCACAAAAAGGTCAGTGTTCTTTAGCAAAACGAAAACAATTCACATAGGGATGTGCGTGAATTGTTTTCGTTTTGCTGAACTTTTTTTTGTGATCCGTGGACAGAACTTTAAAACGGTTGTTGTCTTTAACATTCCGTAACTTGAAAAGTACATGTGTGATTCGAATGATTCTTGTAGTAAAAGAAAACTTGTAAATTGGGCTTTCATATCCTAGATTTGCAAAGGGCTACATGAAAAACTTCATTAAAACAATAGTCCCGACATTTGGGTTTCGGGTTTTTTTTACTCACCCTGTATATGATTGTGATCCATCAAAAGTAGCTTTACTATAAACTGTTGTTGATCAGGCCTTGCCGCCTTAGCTGCCGAGATGGAACCAACAATAGATCTTTCTCAGGATACGCCATCTTGAAAATGAAAGCGAGACAACTAACGCAAACAAACATGGCGGCGTAATAGTGTGTGCGGTGAATGAGTGACTCTCACAAAGTTACAGCAGATTGACAATCTTATAAATGGATGGATAGCTCAAATTCCCCGAAATATCAATTCGTATTCTAGGTAGGTCATGTCTCATTGCATTTTGATGAAAGATCTTAGAAGACAAAGCCTAAAACGGAACTTAAGTTTTATGTTCTAAGATCATTCTTCAAAATGCAATGAGACATGACCTATACCTAGAATACGGACTGGTGTTTTTTTTTTTTGGGGGGGGGGGAGTTTGAGCTATCCATCCATTTATAAAACTGTCAATCTGCTGTAACTTTGCAAGAGTCACGTCGTTCGCCGCACACACTATTTTCTCTGCCATGTTTGTTGCTGTTATTTGCCTCGCTATGATTTTCAAGATTGTTGTCGGCTCCTCAACAGTCGACAACCTTAAGTCAACAGTGCTTCCTTGAAGCAAGAATGGTTTAAAATTGACTATAATCATGAAGGTAAAGACTATCGAGCGAGAGACAACCGATAGCAGTATAGATGGCATTACCAACCTGTTCCGTGGTTCACACGAGTACACAACTGCCGAATTAACCTGTAGCCAACCGGGAATCCGTAAGATGTTCCCAGTCCAAAGCCGTAGACGATCGCTCCGAATCTCGTGAATAGCGAGGGGTTGGCAATGGTGTTGGCACCGCGGGCGATCTCAAAGGAGCGATCGGCGCCGTAGGTGGCCAGCCTCCCGAAGGCAGGTACATACCTCCTGCTGTCCAGGACCGGAATGTTGTTCAGGCTGACGGCGAAGAGTGCCTCAGCAGATACAGAGATGCAGATGAAGCTCCTAAGAGGCTGCCGCTGCTGTAGCAGCGACGACTCGTTGAAGGTCCCGAAAGTCACCGTGCCCATAATGTACTGTTCAACGGGAGGAACAATGGTCATGAAAGGGTCTCCCATCATGTCGCTCTCGAAGCCTTTAGCGTACTGAACCACTAGAACCGGCCGGCTTGCCGTGATGGCTACAGGGAACGGGGACACCTGGTCGTACTCTCTGAACTCCCCCATCTGCATCAACCAGGTGTTGGTGCCGGCGACGTTGATCTCCGTCTGCTGGCGAGCCGCGATCACCCGGAAGATGAACCCCGAGGTCCGGTTGACGAAGGGCAGGAGGGTGAACCGTTTGCCCCAGGTGGACACCGGCGGTATCATCTCCACCAGGTGATCGCACCGGTACACACCGGCCGGTACGAGTGTGCAGGAGGCCCCCGAGGATACCGACACGGGTTTGTTGGATCGGATGTGGGAACCGGTCAGGTCGGCAGCACTTTGGAACTGGATCGACTGGAACCGCTGCAGATCCACGATGATGGTCTGTCCGGGCTGGTACAGTCGGGCTCTCCATCGGATCTGCCTCGTAGGGGATATCCAGACTCTGGTGTAATCCTGCGTGCCGGAAATAACGAACTGAGACTGCTCTATAGGGACGGGGTCGTACGAAGCTATGATGTACTCCGTTCCGAGCCCATCCGTTGGAATGGCCAGGAATCCGTCGTTGGTGTTGGAGATGGAGTTGACAGCATGAACGGTGACAAATTGCTGGGCCAGCACGTAGACCGTACCGTTCTGGAAGCCCGTACCGATAGCCGCTGCGATGGGCGGGATGTCCACGAACCGTGTCTGTTGCTCGGGAACCGTGACGAACCGAAGGATGTTGAGCTCTGGGACGGTGATGCGCACCATCGTGTCGCCCGGTGAGTTGCCGCCGATGATGAGGATGAGACGCTCCGGAATCTGAAAGTTGCTCATGAAGCAGAAGATGAAATCTACTCCTCTCGTATCCGGTGCTGTGGAGAGAGTAAATGAGGATGCGCATCATTGCTTGTATGTGAAAATATCTCAGATTTAGTGGTGGATTAAAGTCTCTATGACAAAGATTTCAAAGAAGATACAGTAGGCTGACGCCTTGCGGTCTCAAAATGAATATAAAAAGTGAAAACGAAACATGCAATGTAAGAAGGAGTGTAAGGTATGGCGTAAGAGGCAGGTAAATACAATCCGTAAGAAAAATGTCTCTTAAATTTTAATATCTTTTTTTTCACTCTCTTTCGCCCTCGTCTTAACGTATGCCCGACAAAGGGAGTTATTGATTGACCTGAGTTGTGCATGAAATAAAAACTAGCAAGACAACACCGTCTAAGTTTGTTTGAAGTAGGTTCGATGTGTCTGGATTTGGTGGCAAAGTTTGTGACCCAAAGGGTATAGGCCAACCTATAAACATGATAAACCGTGCTTATAAAGCGCATTTCACACAAGGTCCCAATGCGCTGTACACGAGTCATTATTACCCCTATACTCGTTGGGCCAATGAAACATTCCAAAGACCACCTCAGCTCCCTGGGAAGTATACAGCTCGATGATGCCATTTCGCCACTAGGCAGCTCAACCACAATATACCATCTCTGCCCTCACAGGTACCCATTTTACCCCTGGGTGATGGGGAGAAGCAATGAGTGACGAAGTGCCTTGCCCAAGGGCACACACACACGCACCATAACCCCAGGCAGGACTCGAACCCACAACCTGCATAATCTCCCCCAGATCACGAATTCAATGCTCCACACCACGAGGGTAGCAGACCAGTAAATAAACTTCCATAGACCCCAATGGTAAATGCTCCCACTTCAAAAATTCGGGAAAAATAATTACAACTCTCCAAGGTGTTCGAGACACACATCAAATTAAAGCTTATTTCATCATCTTTCATTTTCTTTTCAATTTTCGTGGGGTCAACTGATGACTTTTAGGAGAAATTTCCATCTGAAGATGATCACCCCTAAAAATAGTCCTGAAGCCCATCGCCATTTTGAAAAACGATGCCTACACTTCATTGCAAAATAGAGCGCTTTTAGGGTCCAAATTACATCCAAATTACACAGAACTGCAAGCTCCCAGTCCTGTGCACAGCTTCCACCCATATTTTGTACAAACCCTCAAGTTCATGGCCCACAGCATGCTCAAATACCGAAGATTTTGAGGGCATGCAAATCGTGATTTGGCCGGCGCAGGCAATTTCGGACCGATTTACTGGTCTGCACCCCGAGGCCACGGCACTCCATGTTGTACATGTTCACGGCTCATTACCCTACTTTACGCAGGGCACTGTGGGCACATACCCGGCCATGGTACCTTTCTTTTTCGTTCATAACTGTGATGAGCTTCTTTTGTGTGTGTGTTAAACATATTTGAAAACCAGCTGTGAAAAAAAAATTGGATCAACAGTTCTTTCATTCGAGGACCGTAGAATAATTATCAGTGACAATTACATAACGCTTTGTCCGATTCGACTACATCTTTGAAGATTGAACAAGCATGAACCTCGTTTCTCAAAATGCAAATACAAATGCATGTATAGATGAAAACGGTATTCTATGAGTATGACCGAGATCTGGATTAAGATTGCCAAAATGACCTTTGGGTTGAAGTTTAGTCACCGGTCCGACATTGAATATTGGCCTAACCGGGATTTGCCTTTATAGGGCATCCGGCCCTCCGTGCGCCGTCCCCGAGGATAGACCTTCATCTTTATGGTAATCCGGGTCAACTTAAAAATAAATGAGAGAAAGATTTGTTTCGCTATTATGCTTCATGAAAAGGGTTGACGATTGATATTGGGTTAGAGGTCATGCACATCACTTCTGTAAATAATTCCACGGAGTGCTGTAACGAGATAAAAAGTGAGTCATTTCCCCTCGCACGGTTGCTTGAAGACGAAAATATCTGACTTGGACGAAGTCTTCAAACCACAGGAAGTTTCACAACTGCACGTATCGTTCGATTATTACTAAGGCTTTCTCGTGCAGCTATGCCTATTAAAAAAAGTTAACAAAACGCCTAGATACGTTTGTATCATAATTGACCCGGTGTAGTGTGAGATTTGACTCTTACAAAAACGCACTCGCGCTTGCATTGCGCATGCTTTTGCGAACATTATTTGCCACTTGTGAGGGTTCGAGTCCACAATGGGGAAACAGATATCAGATTTCGCGGGAATCTAAATTTCATATCACAGAACAGAACCGTTTGTTGAAAGTTGGCATCACATGACCACAACATTTAGTTTTGTAAACAAATGTCACATTGTCTAGTGGACAGCCCCTAAATTGGCATTTGTGTAGAATCACCAGTAACCCATAATGTAAAATAAGCTATAATATCTTGGGGGAAAAACATTTGATTTTCGACTTCCGGTACCTGCGTTCTACTTTGATCAACCTGAAGTTGTTAAATTCACACTATGGTCTATGCTTGATGAAAATAGAACTGATAGTTTTGAGGGTATCAACGTTATACAGGATCCTGACAGGCGTGCCAAACAAAAAAGCAATAACATTTTGGTATTAGGCAGGCAAGTTTTATGCCTTAAAATCCTACTTCTGACTAGACTTTTTAGTCCATCTTTCGACGCCTCTTTATTGGCGGATCCGAAGGGATTTTTTTTTTTAAATAGCAGCGAAGACACCTTGTTGTCTTGAATTTTTCCGAGGAAATAAAGTAACACATTGCGCATCTCCCTCGTAAGCCACCAGCTATACACAAACCTTTAAGGTTTAATATTACAATATGGAAATAGCGCACGGTATTTAATACCCTGCCCCGCCCCGCCCCGTGCCGCCCCGTCCCGGTGACCCTCGTCTGAAATGGGTGCTAGCGTTCCATTTCGGGAATACAGTTGCAAACCAAGCGGTTTGTAACGCCCCACACCCCCCTCCATCGCCACCCCCCCCCCCTCTCCACACCCAACCTCCAATGAGAAAAAAAAGTAAAAGACGATTTGCAAAGCTTTACAAAAATCACAGCTTCTCTAAACAAAAATTAGCTACCTCAGCAAAGCAACACATACTATAAGCCTAAGTCCAACAAGTTTGTATCTATGACAATAATACTTACCCGGTCTCAATATGGACGGAGTCTGGTTAGGTGGGAGTCGCCTCTGGCAGTTCACAGTGGCAACAAAGGAGGCCACAACCGCCAAAAATAATAAAGCTGTCTTGGGTTCCATCTCTATAAGTACTCTATTAACAAAATGTGAAGAAGAAAAGGCGCGCAAAAGCAACCTTGATATACAGACACGTAAACGCAGAGCGCAGGAATACGCGGTTGTCTTTCCAGCTAAAAAAGTTCAAGAAAGGTTGTTTCTGAAGACTCGCGTTACAACTTGCAAGTATATCTTCCGGTCGACAACAACCTCCACGAGGTCGACAGCGAACCCCACGAAGTTCGACAACGAAGTTCGAGGCACTCCGAAGACTTTACTGCGACACGTATTTCCAAATCTGCAAGCGAATTGCTCACACAGCAGCCTGGTTCCTAGCGTCGTTCAGCACAACACGACGGTACACGTCTTACACATCCCAACGTGTCGGCAGTGCGACAAGGAGTTGTGCCAAGTTGTTGGTCCCTTGAGTGGCCAAGATGGCGGCAGGTTTCTTGGGAGTTGTAGGACCACAGTGTACCGTCTGGCACTGCGGCTGAGTCAGCCTGACGTGACGCTTACAACCCTCGACTTCCTCTCGGCATTGAATCAGCTGAATTTGCGGACATCCAATCAGGGTGCCCTTCCCATAAGTCTCTGGGGTTTATGCTGTGGTTTCCCGCATACCCCCCCCCCCCCCCCCGGTGATGCGTCCCTTTCATAACGAATTTGAACCCGGCTTCTGGCACTTCAGTGAGCCAAAAAGAAAAGCTCACCGTTTTATAAACGGAATTATTTCTTACAACGGTAATTAAGCAGGATGTTTTGGGTTCGAGGGTTCAACTTATATACCGCTTGACATGAAGTGCTTTTAGTATCACGATTTATTACCTACTCCAAGGAGGTTATTATGTTTGCATCGGCGTTTGTTTGTTGGTTGGTTGCTTTATCTGTTAACAAGATAACGCAAATAAATACGGACAGATTTGCATGATTTGTTTTAAGGGTGGCCCTTGGTACAAGTACAACTCGATTAGATTTTGGAAGTGATCCGGATCTGGGTCTGGATCCAGGAATTTTAATTTTTTTTTAATGATTGTTCACCATTTATGCGAGTATTTCTTTTGGGTGTACTGACAATATGGCGGGGAATCGTTTAGCCTTGGCGGAGATATGCGCTCTCTGAGAGCTTTCTGGTTTTGTTTAAAAGCCTTATAGTAACTTGTTAGTGTTTAATTTATGACTTATTAAGTTGTTATTTTCATTCAGTAACAATAAACGCACAAAAGGTTCACGCGTGTGCACATTCCAGCAAAACAAAGGCGAATCTCACTGAGATAAAACGTGCACGATTTGAGGCAGAGGGGTACCCCGTGTCCCTATTTACCTAACACATCTCCCTAGATGTCTCAAAAGATCTCCCAAGATTTAGGGAACACGATGACCTACACAAAAAAGGGGATCCCTCTAGTCGCATATCTTGCTTCATAATTTTATGTGTACAGGGTGACCCAAAAATGCAACCATAAAACATTTGCCTAAACAACGATTGGTGGATTTTTATGTTTTTGGTATCAGATTAAAGCTGGGAGCTTTTTCGTTCATTCATGAAAAAAACTCTTTTTGGGTTGCTGAGAAAATGCCAATTTTGTTAAAGCAGTCATTTTTCATCCTAGTTGTACATAAAAAACTACAAGTAAGGGATTTTCACTGTACATGCGCATGTCTTAATCCTTACAAACAACATGGCGCATAATATATGGAAATGCATTTTATTTTCCACCCGAACGGGTATCTCGTCCTTTTAGTCCTATTTTAAACCCTTTTAGCATGATAAATATGTCAAAATACAAAAGAAATTGCACAAAATGTAGGATAATTGTTAATAGCACAGTAGGCTTACAGTAAAATGTTTCACTGTTTGAAGTTCTTCTGTACAGGATGAAAGCCGACAACTTTTACATCATTGGCATTTTCTCAGCAACCCAAAGGTCTATTTTCATGATTTGTTTTCTTCAATAATTGAGAGAAAAAGCAAAACATAAAAATGGACCGATCTTTTTTTTTTTTAAAGGCAAACGTTTTAGGGTAAGTGCATTTTGTTTTGGGTCACCCTGTAGAGAAACTTTGTAATCTGAACATCGCTCCTTTAACTAGAAGGCTTGTGTCATTATCACGCCCTCAAAACAATGAGTATGTCATTACTTGACGGAAAATATTTAATGTCATCCTTTTGGGGGGCAGGTGTCTATGGCGCACGATGTCGTCAACATACTAACATCATATCCGGACTTAATTTGCGGTAAGGACAAGAACAATACGAACGAGTAGTTGGGGCGGACTGCAATTTGCCGCACCCCAAATGAGATTTCCTAATTTCCTGCAAAACCTCAACAAGTATTAATTCGTAGCATGAACTGCAGTTAATTTTCCTCTTCAACACAGAAACGTTTGTTCATGTACTGGTAGATTTGAATGATTTTCACATTCAGATTTTGTGCGCCTTTTAAGTGCTCTCTATTTTGGTGGTCCCATTAACTTTGCAACAGAGTGTAACTTTCGCTTCCATATTTTCTTTGTTTAATTTAAAACGACTATTCTCCAAATGTGTTCCTTTTTTGAAGAAGTTCTGCATGTAGCGCATTCAACATCTACAGGGTGAGTAAAAAAACGAAACCCAAATGTCGGGACCATTGTTTTAGTGAGGTTCTAAATGTAGCACTTTCAAAATCTAGGATATGAAAGCTCAATTCATAAGCTTTCTTTTAGTACAAGAATCATTTAAATCACTAATGTACTTTTAAGTTACGGACTTTTAAACATAAGCACCGTTTTAAGGTTCTGTCCACGGATCACAAAAAGGTAAGTGTTCTTTCAGCAAAACGAAAACAAATCACATAGGGATTTGTGTGAATTGTTTTCGTTTTGCTGAAAGAACGCACACCTTTTGTGTGATCCGTGGACAGAACTTCAAAACGGTGGTTGTGTTTACAATTCCGTAACTTGAAAAGTACTTGAGTGATTTGAATTATTCTTGTACTAAAAGAAAGCTTTTAAATTGGGCTTTCACATCCTAAATTTTGAAAGTGCTACATGCAGAACTTCACTAAAACAATAGTCCGCACATTTGGGTTTCGTGGTTTTTGACTCACCCTGTAGAAGAAATCGCTCACGTGCTTTTCCAGTTATACACCGAGTTGTACAAGTTTGTCCACGGATCACAATAAAGGCAAGAGCATAATTTCAGCAAAACGAAAACAATTTACATATTATAGAAACACACCGGAACACTCTCATAAGCCGTGATAACTGGCACTTATCGTAACCTTTATTTAACACCTTCTGCTTCCAATGAAACAACATGCTTTATAATGTCTGAAGTCTTGCCCTGCCTTCTACTTGGCTACCACGCCGGCCCCAGAGACTTATGGGATTATTCTGATATCATTTTCACGATGCGGTATGGATTCGTTTTGCTTCCGTGGACAAATGTATAAAACTGTGTTGTGTTCAACTGGAAAAGTACGTGATTTGAATGATTCTTTACTTAAAGAAAGCAGATATATTGGGCTTTCACATCCTAGATCTGGACAGTGCTGCATGCAGAACTTCCTTAAAAATATGGGCGCCAGCTAGATTACTTTTTTTTTTAATACTCACCCTGTATATTGGGGTAGCTGAGTATGTTACCTATTAAATTAACTTCAAAAGTTTAAACAGTAACGATCCGTGAGCTTAAATATTTTCTCATATATCATTCTCATTTATTACACCAAATGTTTGTGAACTTTTGGGATTTGCAAAATGTAAACTCCCCTCAAAGGAAAAAAAAAATACCCCATTTAAATCTGAATTTCATATTTTATCGACATGTACAGACTAGATGTCCCATTATCACAGCTGTCAGATAATTCATGAACCATACTGGTTGATTAGGTGAGAAACATGTCTATAAAATGTATACAAGAAGCATATTAATATGCATATGTTTATGGCATAATTGGGCCTGCTTTTATTTAATGAATCCTTCACCCAGAGGTGATAGGGTCATGGTACCTATGACAATTATACATTACTTTGAAGCTGAAAATAAACCTAAAACACAACATAAGTCAAATATGTCTGGGTTTTAGTGGGAGAAGGTCAAATCTAATGTTCAGTTCAAGTTGGGGCAAGATAGCATTAACAGTGATCATCAAAATCTAAAAGTCACTGAGGCTCTGGGGACATGGTCCCTAGTTATTTTTCAAGCTATGAGCACACGGGAGCCATGAATCTGAAACATGTTAATACTAAATATGGAGTTGATCTAGCGTGACTGATGCCGTATCTTGAAAGGGAAGTTTCTCTACTGCCCCCCCCCCCCCCTGAAGGGAAGTGACTAAATGGAAAAGGGGCCGGGGGGGGGGGGGGACATATAGATCCATCGCAGTTTTCAATCATCCAATCAAGGACGACACAAAGTACCTTTTCATTTTGTTTGTTTGTAATGATGGCTTTGTTGGTTTTGACTAATGTCATGACGGTGCAGGGGGAAGGCCGAGTGATTTCCTGACGATTCCTTCCGCGATTTGGTTGAATTTCTCCCGCTCGTCTCGCCACATCTTGGAGGCGTCAACGTTGGCCCCGCTTTCGTCATTCGGTTCTGAAGCACACAAACAAATGCAGAAGCACCGAATGTTCAGATTTTGCAATTTAATCCATCTGAAGAAACATGGTTTTGAAGAAGAGTGTGGCAAGGCACTCTACCTGTATATTTAGACAAGCTCAAATGATCTCCGAAGCTGCGGGCCAACAATTTCGTGTTCATGCATGAGTGACGTGACTGTGCCATGTAATTTCTGGAAGGAGTAGTGTTTTGAGAACAAAAAATCAGTTTTTTGACCCTAGCAACCCTATAATAAGGGAATAAATGTGCTCGAGCGGTTTTTATCACTCTGTTTAAGACCGCTTGAAGTCTGGATGCTAATAATTACCCGAGCTGAAGGCGAGGGTAATTATAAGCACCCAGACTCTAAGCGGTCTTAAACAGAGTGATTAATACCGACCGAGCACATATTTATTCCCATTTATAAATACCTTTATTTTTCATAAATACCTATTCATAAATACCTGTCAAAAAAAATCAAAACTTTTCGGTCAAAAAAACTCGATTTTGTTCAACAAATTCACTTCTTGTTTTTTTAAACACCCCTCTAGCTAAATAATAGAGTGCCCAGCTTGCGAATAAGATTGGCGCGCGCATACGCGATGTCGCGCAGAATGCACCTGGGGCATTGCGTTGTGAATTTAGGACTATAAAATTCTGACTCACTGGTAGTATTGTGCATGCCTACGTGAGGATTGTGAACGTTCAAACAATATAACGGTAAGAGGCACTGGATTTTTAGAAGTCCAAATTTCATGTGGCACTGGAAAAGTGTTTAAGACCAGCTAGCAATGTCTTTATCATCCGTTTAAGACTGGCCGCGTGACGGGCTCTCGACCAATAGGAATGGGTAAAAAAACTGTCTTAGTTATTTATGAATGCACAATAACTCACTTGGTCATGACTGTCAATTGAAATACAGGATTTCCCATTTGTAGAACGTCAGTTGGTCTATTGTAGTTAGTTAGATCTATTGTAACATATTCCAAGATTAATCGGGCACAAGGTCAAACAAATCCATCTTGCACTCGGGGTCACATGCAAATGAGGGTATATGCAAATTACTTAGAATAAGGAAAATCTTACCCCTTCATAAATAATCTATTTTTTAATTAAATAAAGTAGATTTTTTCTCCTTACCTGCAAGCATGCTGACAACGGAGAGCAGAATCTTCTCCACGCTCTGTACGGGGCTCCACCGCTCGGCGCTGCTCTCGTACCCCATGGGATCATCCCCTGGTGCATGGAGTATAGAGATGCACACTCTGCCATCAGCGTAAACTATGAAAAAACAAGATAAAAATAAACTAGGAAAGGAAGCTGGGTGAGTGTGCAGAGATGGGCATGATGGGGGGGGGGGGGGGGGGGGGGGGGCTTGCACTGCCTGACTCGCAATGTCAAAATTCTCAAGTTGTCTATAAACCCTATAAAATTCCACTTAACCCTAACCCCCTAGGCCTTTTTGCTAGGATCTAGCCTGAATCCTGCAAATTCCTCCATTATTTTTTGAATATGGTCTGTGGAGGGGCGACCACTGCCTGAATCCTGCAAAATCCTGCGGCATTGACTGTCAATATGTTGAGGCTTGGCCAGTGACATCCAGGAGCACTACGGAGGATTTCAAGCATAATCCAGGCCTATATTTATGCATAGCTGAGCAAAAACAACACAAGGTCCGGCCCAAGACCTTGACAAAGTGCATCTTACAAAATCAGTAAAGCACTTTTGCCATGTGACCTCAATCCTCCAAATTCCTCCACTTAGTCAAAGAGGATTTTGAAGGATTCACGGCGGTTAGAATTAAACGTCATAGGATGATTTACTTCTTGTTAGGCTTGGAATTAATTCTGATTTCATACTGGAGTCATGATTTCATTCCGAATCGAACCCATTTCTATCAATAAAAAAAAAGGAAGACGCGAGCAAAGACCTCCATAGTTTCATTAATGAACGAGAGAAGTGAATCACAGTGGCATTTTAAAAAGGAGTTATGTCTTGTGAAAAAGGATAATTTGCTACAAATATGGTTAATACATGTCGAGTGACAATGACCTATTGACCCAAGTGCCTGGAACCTATTCTTGGGAGAACTGAATTGTTACTACTGGGAATCGACTCCTCAAAAACATGGAATCACGATTCCTATTACAACTTTGGAATCGATTCTATTCGATTCCGACCTGGAATCGCCCAAGCCTACTTTTTGTGCGTTCTTGTTTGTTTGAAGCAACATAGTCGCTCCAAATTTTAAGTAGGGTGCCAACAACTTACCAGAACTGTGGATGTTTTAGCTCAGTGGCTACTAATACGTTTTGAGAAAACAGAAACAATGCATAATTTTCTTGGGTGTCGTATCTGGATTCTGTTGCTAACGCACATGAAAAAGTGTGCCAGTGGGCACACTGTTTTAAAACCACCTTCAATGATTGCTTTCTGTTTGTTGAAGCCATTTTTTGCACACTAGATCCACAGGGTAGTTGGTACTGGTCCTTCCTGCAAGCAAAGTTGAGCAAGGTTTTTCTCAACTCTAACTCCCTAGACATTTTTGCTAGGACGCAACTTAAATCCTGCGAAATCCTCCAATTGGCCTCATGGAAAACTAGCAGTCCTCAATCCTGCAAAATTCTCCATTATTTCTTGAATGTGGTCCTTGGAGGGATGACCACTGCCTCAACCCTGCAAAATCCTCCAGCTATGACTGTTAATATGTCGAGGCTGAGGCAGTAACAACTAACATCCTGGAGCAGTGCGGAGGATTTCAAGTTTAATCAAGGACTAAATTTATGCAAGGCTGAGCATAAACAACACAAGGTCCGACCCAAGACCTTGACACAGTGCGCCCTCCGAAATTAGCAACGCACTTTTGCTATGTAGCCTCAATCCTGCAATGTCCTCCAATTTACAAAAAGGATTTTGGAGGATTTGGGATGGTTAGGGTTAAATTGGTACCTAGGGCTGTTTTAGGTTAATACAAACGTTAATACATGCCTTTAATAAATGACCCCCCCCCCCCCCATAAAGAAAAATTGCTTAACAGTATAGTTTGAAAACATTATTATCTGTCACAGTGATTATAGATTGTGACAATGACCAGTGCAACAATGGCCTAATGGGAGACTTTTGCAACGTTGGTGGCAGCAAACACACCAATCCTTTTCCCATTGTTTGCATCATATTGAGCATGCGCACTGTAGCTCAAACATGACGTAAACAATTGAAAGGGGACCGGTGTGTTTGCTGCCACCAACGTCTCAAAAGTCTCCCCTTATCTGTGACATGGAGGGCGGCGAGTTCAACTTTCTTAAATATCCACAAGGACAAAAAACAGCACAGTGTTATGCCAAACGGAATGCAGCACCAGCAATACAATTTAAGAAACTTTTAAGCAGAGCCTGTCCTTGTTTATGATATGGGGACTGAGATCCAGTCTGTGACTAATGCTACCCACTCATCAAACAGGTCAGGGCAAGCCTAACGCACAAATTCTAGTAAATGGATTCTGAATGACTAAACAGTATATAAGCCGCAGTGGAAAATGATGAAAATGAAGAATCTACTGTCGCCATTCGCATGGAGATTCAACTTATTGCCTACACATGTCTTGTACTTGAAACAAGTAGCACCATACTTAAGCACATGCGGTGTAGATGCTACATGACATACATGAACAAAAAACCTCGTTAATCTGGTCAGAGACGAACTAATTACAAGTGACGGTAAGTGAATGATACAGCATGACAGTTGACGGTCAGTTGGTGAGTCGGTCAGTGAGGTACAAGGTTGCAGGCCAGTGAATCGGTCCAAAATTGCCTACGCTGGCCAAATCACAATTTGCATGCTCTCACATTCTTCGGTATTTGAGCATATTTTGGGCCATGAACTTGAGGGTATGTAAAATATACGGGTGGAAGCCGTGCACAGGACTGTGAGCTTGTAGTTCTTTGCAATTTGGATGAAATTGGGGCCCAAAAAGCGCTCTATTTTGCAATGGAGTGTAGGCATCGTTTTTCAAAATGGCGATAGGCTTCTGGACTATTTTAAGGGGTAATTATACTCAGACTTGAAATGAAGGACAAGGGAAACAAATCATTATGTAAGCCCTTCGAACTGAAATTTCTCCTAAAAGTCATCAGTTAACCCCCCCCCAAAAAAAAAGTTGAAAAGAATATGAAAGATGTTAAAAATAAAGTTTAATTTTTTTTATGTGTGTCTCGAACACCTTGGAGAGTTGTGAGTATTTTCCCCGAATTTCTGAAGTGGGAGCATTTATTATTGGGGTCGATGGAAGTTTATTTACTGGTCTGCAACCACAAAGGCCCTGCAAAAATGCCATAATATATTGATTTTGTGGTTATAGGGAACGAACAACATTTGCTCTTGCTGCAAATTTCTATAAATGGATTTGGGGGATCAGAATGTTATAGCAAATATTGTTAAACTGACCTGTTTCAGGTTTTGGGCTTGTAGATGCTGGAAAAAGCAAGAAAATCAATCATGTTCTTGTAGTCTGGCTCCCCGACTCCACTTAAGATGAAATGGAGCAATTTATAGACTTTGGGGAACTGTAAGGTGAGAGAATCAGTCTAGCAGGTTTGTACCCTTTCACAGGTGTGTAATCAATTGCAAAGAAAATGCGGAATAACTAAATACGCAAATTTAGGGGCAGGTTGGTTGGTCGGCCAACCAGCGTTGGAAAAATACAATTTTTCTTGAAAATGTCAGCACACCAGGAGCCACGATTTTACATGATACTTTAGACTGTCATTCCCTAACAATCCATTAAGCTACATGTATTTCGTGATAATTTGATCATTTCATTTTTTTTTATGTTTGCAAATGTTGTATTTTCCCTTTAAAGGTATTGGACAACATTTCCCAATCATTAAACCATGAAACTACTAAATTAATATGAAATCTCCTGCTTGACTGAAGGTGAATAATAGTCCAATGCATCCGGTGAAATCATGGTACCTGGTTTGCTGTCATTTTCAAGAAAACTTAGAGAAGTGGAATTTTGGTATCATTTTCCAGTGATGGTCGGCTGACCATTGTTGGAAAAAAACCCTGACTTTTACAAATACTGCACCCAATTTACCAAATTTAGTTGGCTATATTTTGTTTGCAATCGGTTCCACATCCTCTATTTTGTCTGAAGTAGGGTCAGGGAACCGGACTACAAGAACAGCATTTTTATTCTTGGTTTTTCCAGCATCTATGAACACAAAACTTTAAACAGGTCAGTGTAACAATATTTGCTATAAAATACTAACCCCAAAATCCAAACATAGGCCTATCTGAAAATTACAGCACAAAGCAAATGTTGTATATTACATTTAAAACTATAGTCCATCATTTGCAGCTATCTGAAAAGTAAATGGCGTAATTATTATTGAAAAACATACTTTGGTTGAAAGTTAGTAAGGGGACTAAACTCCCTGTGAAATTATTCTGTCTGACAAACAGTCATTTTGAAGTAATCAACGAAAGAAGGCCTTTCCAACGGTGTTTCTTCAGAAGCACCATAGGTAATTCAAATTAGTATTCGTTTTGTTATTCGGTGAAGCCCGTGCGGTTGCTATAATTCGTCGGATCAGTGCGTGACATCGCGTTGCTGCAATCGGCTCAGTGAGAACGTGTCTCGGACGCTGAATTCAGGCCCAATTAAAAAACATGATTTATCAACTATTGATTTGAAATTGAGATCCTAGAATGCTGTTTTTCTCGGAATATACACCTGAAGCTGAGCTGAAACTTCACGAGGTTAGTTGTTCAGTACCCTTCTTTAGATTTTGAGCACTTCTGTTGCTTCACACGAACAAAATGCACAAATTACAAATGATGGACTGTATCTTTAAGGGGACTCATGATAGACTGGACAACATGACTGCTAACTACTCACTGTTTGGGTGAAACATCTCACTCTTGAATTTCATCTTGGGGGGATTCAGCGGGTAGTCGGGCGGAAAGAGGATCTGAGCCTCAAAGACGCCTCCCTCAAAGCATGTCCCCTCTGGGCCACTGTAGGACAAAAATAAGGATAATGTAGTCTCCGTTCAAGACGCTTTCGAAAACTAAAACTTGGCAAGTTCAAGGGATAGAAAGAAGAGATGGAGAATATATTTCAAATATCAATGAATGAATAGAAAATTCAATGCTGCAAACAAAATACCAGGCCCTATTTTTATATTTATAAACTTTAAAGGGGTGGTCAATTTTTTTTTTCAGGTGAACCTCAATCTGTAATACCTGTTCTACCTGCTTATGTATAGTGGCTCAAAAATTGATAAAAACCTGCATGTGTATATACGGTAGCAGGTCTGTCAATGGACAAGACCCTTTTCCCCAATTTTTCAAGATGCATTCCCCATGATTTGTGTTTTTAATTGCTATTTTCATAGAGATATAAAAGTTATTCACTTCTGAATGAGACATTGAAAAAAAATCCACCGCCATTTAGTTACTGAATTATTTCTTCACAAAAATTGCTTTATTGGCTACCAGACAATAATTTGGGTCTCGCAGGGCGGGTTCATTTGTGCGCAAAATGAAAGCCCTTTTTAGTAAATCTGTTGAGATCCTGAATCCGTCGAAGCAACCCAACTGCTCAATATGGAGGTATCCTGAATCCAAAATCATGCAGTACCGCTAGGCTTACTGTCCTGAATCCATAATAATCCCCCAAAGTTTTCAATATTGAGGTATCCTGATTCCGCCAAAATACTCCAAAACAGGAGTGTGGATTTTGTTGATTCAGGTACGTTAGGGTTAAAGGTAATATATATACATAATTTGCAAACATAAAAAAACAAACCCATCCTGGCAAATTCCAACACCATATGGGAAACTGCACACATTTGACTTTGATTCTGGAGGTGTGCCAACCCAATGTAAAAGACTGTCAGTTTAGGGGTACTGTACCCATCCTGGCAGATTCCAACAAAACATGCCGTTGGGGTTTGATGGGTTGAGTTTTGTTCTAAAGGTAGCTACATTTGAATGTGACTAACTCACCTAATGGTAGCCTCCCATTCAAAGAAGTTATCTTCGTTCAACGGCCCAGCAACGATGCCCTCTGGGGGATTGAGGGTCAATTCTAAAAAAAAGGAAACCAACTGAATCAATTAGGCTTAAGGGCGTTAAGTAATGGTCATTGTGAGAGACGTGGAAGGAATACAAGTAGGTGTTCCTGTGTTGGTAAAAACCAGAGTTGGAAATTTTTTTTATTTAAAAAAAAAAAAATCCAAATAATCTGATTTATCTGATTTAAATCTGATTTATTTGATTTAAATCACATTAAATTTCTTTCATATAGTGATATGTCGAAAAGGTGTCTAAATCTCCCCATGCACTCTTACACCCATCACTAAGGAGTTTACAGGTTCCTATAATACCCATCATCCACAAAACTCAATAAATTGATAAATGCTTTGGACAAAAATTGTATTGAAGCAGTGATTAAAAAAAAATTCACTTTGTTTCATCTACAGGTAGTCTACATGTACCTCATTGGTTTAATAGTACATTATTAATTTTGAAGACAATTTTTGGCTGGATTGATACAGCTGAGATATGTTGTGTGAGGATATGAATGAAAAACGTGATTTATGGTATGTGTACATGGTAGTCTATACAAAACATGAGTACAGTTCTCAATGGGCATGTTTATTTCATAAATATGCTTCTAATTTCAAAATGACAGCACTGATCCTTGTGAAACTTATGTAGTGTTTGATTGATGGTCCTTCCTACAACCTGGAGAACAGAAATCAGGCCTTGCACCTCTGAAATGTATTATATAAATCTCAATCTACATTTTTATGGAGAAACAGGAATAGACTATCAATTCGGACTTTAAGTTTAATACAGCTTTAGATGGTTCAGGTAAGCCTACAACAGCACAGTTGATTCACAATATTACTGTAAACAAGGAATGATTACAGCAAAAGTGAGGGTGCTGTCTTTGAAATTCAAACTTCGAAGAACATTTTTTAATGTCAGATCTTGACTTTAATCAAAACAATGATCTTGGGTAATTATGCAAAACCTACATGCAAGTTAGGTCAATGCTGATGAAATCCATGTAGGGGTGTTTGAATGTGTTAACATCTTACACTTTGTAATCAGGTGCAATCAGTTGATTTAAATGATTAAAATGACCCTCAAACAACTTATTTTGCCGAAAATAAGATTTTTACAAAAAAAGAAAGATTTAAATCAGTGATTTTTAAAAAACAATAATCATTCGATTTAAATCGCGATTTAAATCATTTTAAATCAATTTTAAAAATGTCGACTGATGCATCGTTAAATCAAAAACTTTCAAGTCGGAACTTCTAATTCTAGACTCTATCGGTCACTTCCCACATCATACAGTCGACCCTGCAATCTCCAAACCAGCCTCGACGTGGACAAGAATGCCCGTGCGCCCGGCATGTGGCAGTGTTTTTTAATTCTTGTATTGAAGTATTGAAAACACTGTACTGTAAATATGTTTAATTCTCTTGTCCAGCAGCATGTCTGTTTCATTTTTTTTTTATCTTTGAAGTAAAATTGACCAGTGTAAAATCCAACAGTTGTCGGCTATCTTGAAAAAAAAATAAAAATCCGCCTCCTCCTTGTTTTTCAAAAATCCGGGTGATGTTTTTTTTTTTTACTTGGCCTTACGCAATAGCAGTTGACAAATACATTACCTGCTGCTGTAATATAAATTTGCGCTATGTCAAAATTGCGCTCAATAAACATGATAAATAATGCACATCATTTCCAAAGCTTCTCCCCCAATTCCCAAATTAATTTATTTTATATCACTGCAAGTTCCCTTAAAAACATCCATTTTCCGTAAAAAGTCATTGAGAGTTTGCACATACGTTTGTACTCTGTCATTAAGCGTTTCAATGCAGCACCGGCCATTGTTATAGTCGTGTAAAAATGAGGAGAAATCTGACATGATCTAGTGACTTCTTCCACAACACTGGATGCTGCACAAATGACACAAATTAAAACGTAAACGCATTGATCACAAGGAGGCAAACCACTTCTCCGCATTAACATCTCGTGCACTGCGCGCCACCTTTAACCTTTACGCGTATACGTTTATAAGTTTAGTCTGGTCCCATCAGTGAGGGCAATAACAACTATCTAGATTTTACTTGAAGAGAAAGGGAACATGACTACATGTTTTTAAGAATAATGTCTTATGTTACAATTTATCTGATTGGTCGCGAATATAAACATAATTATCGTACAATATGGCACATTAGGGCAAAAGTATCACTTAAACTTGCACAATAAAAATTTATATCATACATCTAACATTGTTAAAGAAAGAAATCACTTTTTTATTACTTATTTAGGAAACTGACTAAACATAATCATAAACGGTTCGCCGTTTGCGCTCACAATATTGTCCAATCGCAATGCAAGGGTATGTTGGCTTGACTTCGTGCAGCAGGTGCATGAGTTAATATTTTTGCGAAATTGGTCACAAAATTATTTAGGTTTTGGCTAAAAATCCCAGCGTTTGAAGTGAAACAAACAATCGGACACCAAGTTCCGAGAAACAAATCGTTAAGCACTCAAGTTTCTGTCAAATAATCTCAGGTTTTTAGCAATAAAACCTCGCCGTCAGCGAAAGGGTAAAACTACGCGCACAAGCCACATGCACATTTGCAGTGCAGCTGAACAATGAAATTTTGACAACTGTGCAATTTTCGGTCTTCAGTTTCATCTGCATAAAATCCCCCAATGGCCTCCGACGCCGGAGCTGGAGGTTCCGATGAAGCTAGTTTGAAATGGGTGGTAAGTTTAAAACAATAATTGATTCAGCTAAAATTGTTTAACACCGTGAATTTCATTGTCTTTTGAGTGTGTGCGCGAGAAAAGACGTGGTTTTGTGAACAGAAAGAGCACGTGACCCATTTAGAATCACCTGATTGGTTAGTTTTGGCGGCTGTAGAGATTTTGAGAAAGCGCCGGGAGATTTCAGAACACCGAACGACAAGGCGAAGTTTTGATTTGTTTGGGGGGAAAAAGAGTTGTTTTTACCGGGAAGATTTTTTAACTGGGTTTTTGAAAATGACAGATGGACCCTTGAAGGTATGTTAGCAGCGAAATTATGCCTATTTATCATGATTATTCCCCCTTAAATTTGCTGTATTGTAAGTGCCCTCATTCTACCTCCATGCACTGACACTGTCACTTGAGTTGTCACTCTGTGTCAGTCATTGTCAGTGTGCTCCAAATGTTTTTCAACTGGCATGCCTAGGCTATCTGGCTGTCATGACTCGACTGTGTCAAACTTGATGATGTTTCGGGAAAAATGTTGCAACCTGACGCCACTTTTTTCTTCAATCATATCCTATCATCTCAATGAAGGTCATTCATTGCAAAAATGATAAGACATGAATCTGCAGATCTGGGACTGAGAGTGAGAAACATTTCCAATTTTGTTATTTTAGAAAATTATCTTGACATGCTTGACCCTCCATAGACTTTGTACACAATCGCAGAAGTGGCGTCAGGTTGCAACATTTTTTCCGATGTTTCACTGACTCTGTTGTCGGTAGTTCTCTAAATCTGTAACATGTCTAAATTGGTAAAACTGTAAAAGTGTGTGAAATTTTTCTTGGACAAAATTGGATGTAGGTTAAGACTCAGTTTGTGAATTTGAATGGGAGACATTTGTTTAAAATAGCCAGGACACAATGCCGGAAAATCTGTATTCTGTATTTTCATCCTATTTCTTTTTTGAGAGTTTAAAGCATTCCATGATTGTATCTGAGGCAAAACATTTGTTTTCACTTTTGTTTGTTTTGTCTGCCCTGTTCCGTCATGTCCGTTCTCTTGTTTTTCCTGTACGATCTTTCATGTCTGTCATGTCTGTTGTAATGTACAACATGATGTAAGTTTGTCCATTTTCTTGTCTTAACAATATTCATGCTTAAAAGGCGTTTCTTTTAATTAACCAAAGATGTTGTCTTTTGAATATACCTCCATAATTGTAATGTTATTGTAAATCAGTATATTTCAATTTCCTTCAGTTTTTCTACTATTATGCCAAGTAATTAATTAATTAATTTATTGATCACTGATTTAATTTATAGCTTTAATTATTGTTTATTTCAAATTTGTTCAAAGATTCGGGGCACGAAACTAAGTTTCCAAAGTTTACTGCCTTTTGAAAATATTGGGTGTATTCTATGATGTCACGGCTTTCCCTCTCTGGGTTGATGGGGTATATTTTCCTTCAATTCTTCAAGAAACTTAGCTTCCTGTATACATATACACACATACAACGGTTGCTGACGGCAGCCATATTGAATGTGATGTGAGATGACCCTACCACTAGAAGTATGGGAATGGCTCCGCATTCGTAACCAATGAAGACAGAGGTTCCGCTACAGCACAGGCCCATGCACGTCATGAAATATCGCATATGTGGCAATGCCCAACGGCTGTTTTGTGCGATAATCTGGAACTGACATCAGAGATGAAACTTTTCCGATTTTAATCGGAAATCCAACTTTTTGAATTTTCCAACGAAATTTCCGATTTTCTTTGTGCCCCACAAAATTTGATTTTGTGTAACGATTTTTTCACAAAATGTCATTTTATTTAAATCATAATTTCGAAGAAAAGTCGATGGAAATGGCACGTTAAAATCATCGCGAATGTAGTTTTAATCTCTTTCACCAGTTGTTATTGGAGTGTTTCAACGGTAGAAACACAGGCCATAACACTGATCGGAGCCTTTTCTGGCTGGACAAAAGGTTAAACATTGACAGGTGACATGGAACGATCACTGTGTCGCACGTGCGTGTGAAGATGCAATGGTACCAGCGTACGTACCGTACCATACTGTCTGCTAGCACATGGCCATTCGGGAACGGGTAGCCTTGTGAATGATCCAGTGCATAAAATCATTATGTTGTGCGATTTTCGGAGGTTTCAGATTTAGTTGTACAAAATGCAATGCTTTAAAAATGATGATGATTATCTCGAGGATAGCGAGGAGAGCATTAGCGAAACATTTCACTGGCATTTGTTGGAAGAGAAAGACGATAATGCCTGATTTTTCCCACGTACGAATGCAAGTGGAGTAGTGGAGTTGTGTGGTTGAATCATGGACATGATTGAAGCACCATGAACGGTGCCCTTGTCTTTCAGACTTTTTCCTCGACTTTCTCAAGTAAGAAGTGAACTTCTTTGTTGATGACTCCATTACTCTAACCGTAATTCAGGCGTTTTATGCAATGAAAACACTGACCAGCAGGAGTTGGGTGTCCGGAAATTGGGCATGAAGTGTATTGTACATGCATGTACAGTGTACTTGTGTATAACTGTAGCGCGGCCCAGATTTCGGACACGTATTTTTGTACGGCCTATTTTCCGATTTTTTTGCCATAATGCCAGTTTCATCTCTGTGACATGGGCATTGCATCGTGCAAGATGAAGTGTAGCACTTTTATTGTGTTTCATGAAACATCTTTTTGGGTATTGTGTGTCGCCGTGATGTTTGGGTCCGAGCCAGTGACTACAGTCGAGTCTCGTTAATACAAACTCGTTCGGACCTAGCCAAATTGTTTGTTATATCAGAATTTTGTATTAAGAGGAACATCAGTCCCATTCATTGTGCACATAAATGCACAGTCGGGACTAAGACTTTATGTTTGTTATAACCAGAATTTTGTATTAACTCTTTCAGTGCCAAACTCGTACATGTACGAGGTATATTTGTTAGTCCAATAGCGCCAACCTCGTACATGTACGAGGTAATGTTCGTAAATGGTCGTACTTAAAATTGCCAAACCTCGTACATGTACGAGGTAGAGTAAATATGTTATCAAAAGGGGGCGCTCTTGCTCTTTCTAATGGTACCATTTTCATGCATGTACGACCTGTATTTATTTTTTCATTCGAGTTCTTGCGAGAGGGCGCAGTACTAAATCTCGTATTTTCTGCAAAAAGTGCGGAATCTCCCTGTGTTCAGGCCAGTGTTTCAGGGTGTATCACTATGTTTGTGACTACTTTTGACTTACCAATATATCAAGGATATACCAGAGAGTAACAACAACAAATTTAGTGAGTAAAACCTATTTACTTTTTTTTTTACAGAATTTTGAACAATTAACAAAAACGCTCGAAGTTGGGCGCTTTAGGGTTAAACTTTTCAAATTTCGCGGGCACTGAAAGAGTTAACAGAGTTTGTACTAACGTGATTTGACTGTACATGTAATTCTTCTCCCAGGGTAGTGTATTTTCAACAAAGCCAGCTTTAATCCTAATGGAAACTGAGAACTATATCAATTTTCTCGTTTTTTTTCTCCATCCCTAGACACTGTTTGACAACATGAACGCCAAGGAGGAAGGCAAGAAGAAGAAGGCTTCTGGCTCCAAGAAAGCCAGCAGCAAGGCTGCTGCCCCAGCAGAGGACATGATGAGCACCCCTGATAGGAAGGTGAATAAGTCGGATAAGCGGCTGTCGGTGGAGCGTATCTACCAGAAGAAGACGCAGCTGGAGCACATCTTGCTCAGGCCTGACACCTACATTGGATCGGTGGAACAAGTGAAACAGGTACCGTCTTCATTGTGGATTTATACAATATTGAGGGGGATACAAAAATATATTGTACGAGCTATCAACTCATGCAAGATTGTTTGTTATATCGTGTGGTAGGTTGGATACTGTAATTTCATTGGTCGAGAACGGCCATGTGTCCAGTCTTTAAAAACGCATATATACAGTGGTTAACCTCATATACAATGCGCATGTAGAATGTGCATGCACGCTCGCAACCGAGAGATATGAGAACTGCATGCATGCAAGGCGCAACCGTTCAGTCTCATGGCGGGCATGGAAGCCTGCTGTAATCAAGGGTTCCACTGCACTGATTTGCCCCTCGGTCGTTAAAAACGTCATGTCCCACATCACACAAATTTGGAATTCTGACTTATTTCAATATTTAAAAAACTTTTTTGTTTCCAACAGGCCATGTGGGTTGTCAATGAAGATGGAATGCTTGAAAATAGAGAGATTACCTACGTACCTGGATTGTTCAAAATCTTTGATGAAATCCTCGGTGAGTCGGATTTTGTATGTATTTTTGATAATGTTGTTATATCTTAAGAGATTGTAGATGGACATTAACCTCTAGGCCTGTTTGGCTAGGAATAGATGCATCATCAATCCTGCGAAATCCTCCAACTTCCTCATTGTAAAAATTGGATACTGCCTCAATCCTCCACACTCGTCCGTTATTCCTTGACTTGGTTCAGTGGAGGGGTGGCCACCTCACTCCAACAATCTCCAACTCACTTTTAAGGTGTTAGCCCTACCCCCCCCCCTCAGGCCCTCTGGCTAGGATGCAACCTCAATCCTACAAAATCCTCCAATTGCCATCAAGAAAAAATGGGATTCAGCCACAATCCTCCAAAATGATCCGTTTTTTTCTTGAATTTAGTCTGTGGAGGGTGGCCACTGCTTCAATCCTTCAAAATCCTGTGCCAATTACTGCTATGATTTGAGGGAGTGTGACTGGCATTTAGAAGCAGTGGGGATGAAATATCAGAATAACACAGGGCTGATTTTTGCATGGCTGAACATAACCAATGCAGGATATGGCCTACTGGCTTGACGTAATGTATCCTCCACAATAAATCGATACGTCTTTGCCATTCATCCTCAATCCTCTAAAATCATCCATAACCTACAGGAGGATTTTGGAGGATTGAGGAGGGTTAGGGTTAAAGCATGATGTCCAGAAGCAGTGCAGATGATATCTAGTGCAGGGTACAACTTAAGACCTTGACGCAGTGCATCCTCTAAATCAACCGAGACTTTAACCCTAACCTTCCCAAATCTTCCAAAATGCTTTTTAAAAAGTGGAGGATTTTGCAGGATTGAGGCTGTATGGCAAACATGTGTGGCTGATTTTGGAGGATACACTTTGTCAAGGTCTTAGGCTGGACCTTGTGTTGTTTATGCTCAGCCGTGCATAAATTTAGGCCTAGATTATACTTGAAATCCTTTGCACTGCTCCAGGATGTCACTGGCTCTGCCTCAACATATTGACAGTGATTGCTGGAGGATTTTGCAGGATTGAGGCAGTGGTAACCCCTCCAAGGACCACATGCAAGAAATAACAGCGGTTTGTGCAGGATTGAGGCTCTATGCAATTTCTACATGGAGGCAGTTGGAGGATTTGCAGGATTGAGGTTGCATCCGAGCAAAAATGCCTAGGGAGTTGGGGTTGAAGACATACAGCCTCAATCCTCCAAAATTCTCCAAAAGCGCCTTGATTGCTTTTGAAGGATAATAGGGCTTAGCAGTGTTCTAGCCAGGGTGAAATTATAGCGTAGGGGTAATTATTGTTCGGCGACTAATGCGAGCGCGGAGCCTGAAGCCCTTACGGCGTGGGGTCCGGGACCCGCTTAAGGGCCCCGAAAAATTTTGGACTCTAGATGCTCTGTGGTGCAATCTGAGGCGATTCCCTGCCACTTTCCCCTGATTTTTTTTTAGCAGAAGTGTTTAAAATTATAAGAAATTTTGTTTTATTTGTTTCAATGATTAATACTCTTGCTCCTGTAAAGTTTCTTCTGTTTTCAAATTTTAGATTACGTTTACAGTGTATAAGTTGTTCCAAGATCGATGCTTTCTGATATTTAACCATTTTTAGTAGTTCCTCAATGTTTTATAAAAAATTGGGATTTACTTTGTCAATATTAAGTGTGAGAACAAATCGCAAGAACATTTCATATTTCAAGAAGCCTTGTGTTGTGTAGCGCTGCCGTAGTAGCAGTAGTGTTGATTTTAAATTTGTAAATAAAACCATCCGATTGGCAGGGAGAGAAATTGTAAAACCATGGAGGTCTCAGACATAAAAAGTCGTCGGCAATTGCAATTTCAATATGCTGCAATACAATGTGAAGGAGAAATCTCATTTTTGTTATGTTAAAAAATATAATTGTAGATAACGACGATGAGAAATAATCACCGGGAATTGCTTCCTATCCCAGCCGCGGCCGGCCCCGGCCGGCCCGGCGTGCGGGCGCAGCGCGGGCTAGCCCACGCCGGCGAACTACGCGACCAAATTTCCCTCAGCATTTGAGAAAGCTACGCATTCGTGGAGCGCTAAAAAACTTGCTTTGCTGCAATACTTGCTGATTGGTTTTGTCCTAAGAACAAACAGATCCGTTTTTACTACCAAACTTATTGAACTGTTATTATCAGCAACGAGTAGTGTAGTCAAAAATCCAAATTTTCGACAGCGACATTCTTCGAGAAGAATTCTTCACGTGCGGCCATCTTTGGGGACAGATCCATTGATATCGTAGGGGTGCTTAACCTTTCTTTGGACATCGTTTCTCGAATAAATCCTTTACGAAAATTATGTTCCGACGTTGAAGAACTTATTTTCAAACAGTAACATGTTTCGGACTTGATAAAAAGTATTATTTATAATTTTAAAACAGTTGAAATGCTTGTAAATATTGACCTTAGGAAAGCACACCCGATAGGGCAAAATGGTGTGGTCCACAGAGCGCTTTGTACGTGACATGTTGGTGACACGTACGTCCGTACGGAGCGCTGTATCTACGCAGCACAAAACAGCACGTGCTTATTGCTATCATAGCGAATGCGTGTGGCGCAGCATCACGGTAGGGGTATCGTACGGGGTGCGTGCGGTGGGATCGTTGTTTATTTTTCGCTGTGTCGTACGGCCAGTGCGCAATGCTCAAAGTCGCTGCGCTTGTATACGAACAAACGGCAGATATTTTTTTTTCGCAACCAAAATTTATAGCGTAGCGGCGCGATTTAAGCGTAGCGCTTATTTGCGAAAGCGTAGCGGGTGCTAGCGCTATTTGATGCCTGGCTAGAACACTGGGGCTTAGTGTTAATAAACAGTCTGAGAGAGTTTTATCACTAATTTTAATAAGTGTATGGTTTTTTACAACTACGGTGTGATCAATGGGTTTGGAAACAAACGCTGTCGCTACAAATTAATTAAAACAAAATGTCCTGTTTAATTTTGATTCTGAAGAATGTTGTAAATGATGTGACATATGTAGGCTGGCATATCAAGTTCATATTAACGATTTGTGTGTTTTTTTGGGTTTTTTTTGACAGTAAATGCCGCTGACAACAAGCAGAGGGACCCAACAATGAATGCCATCAGAATATCCATTGATCCGTAAGTTCTTTCCATCTGTGATTTGACAGAAACTTTTGGTCATGTAGCTGAAGAAAACTTTCTGTAAACATTTTAATTGCAAGCGCAATGTATTGCTTTGGATTTGTATTTGTTCTCTGAGATTCTGCCGCAAAATTGTTCAACAGAAAACTATGTTCTGCCATTTTTCAGTTGATAATCATGATGTGACACAAATGATGATTATCTGAAATTACTCCCACTTTGCGGGTGGCGATGATCCATTAATCCTATCTCCCTAGGCATCTTTGCTAGGATTCAACCTCAATCTTGCAAAATCCTCCAACTGTCTCCATGTAAAATTTACATACAGCCTCAATCGTACAAAATCTTCCCTTTTTTTTCCTTGAATGTGGTCCTTGGAGGGGTGACCACTTCAAAATCACAGGATGACGTCACTGCAAGTTTTCAATATTAACCATAACCCCCTAGTAGTGCGTCAGGACTACCCTGCTAATTCCAACAGAGTCCAACCGGAGTTTCCTGTTCAATCCACTGTGCCTTATTTTCAGTTGTCTGCTTAATCCAACAAAGTCCAACTTGGCGTTATAATGTGGTTCAGTTGCCTGCTGAATCCAACACTTTGCATCGGGAATGAACACAAGGGGTTTACTGCTCAATCCAGCAGGCTCCATGGGGTATATGATATAGTTGGATCCTGTTGGATTCATTAGGGTTAGGTTTAAGATGATATTGATGATGACTTTATTGATGATGACTATAGTGATGAAAACTATATGAGTGTATACCAAAATTTTAGTCTGACTAGATAGAATCTGCAGGATCAACTTGTGAACACCCACACACCTATCCTACAATGATTTCAAAATTCCATTAGTATATTTTGGTGAATCTTTAACTCCCTTCATGCAGTGAAAACAACATGATCAGCATCTGGAACAACGGCAAGGGCATCCCCATCATTGAGCACAAGACAGAGAAGCTCTTTGTTCCCTCCATGATCTTTGGTCATCTGCTGACCTCCAGTAACTATGACGACTCACAGAAAAAGGTCACAGGTTAGAACAGTTTTGACAATATTGCAATGATATCTTTTAGAGACGAAATTGTTTTGATACCAGGCAGTACCGAATGATGTTAAAATAGCGAAAACTCGGTGTGGAATTTCAATATACAATATTCTCTCTTAACCCTGCTATGCCCAGTGCAGTTGGCAGAGAATTATCAGACCTTTCAAAACATTTTAAATTTGCCAGACTAAAAGGGTTTTGAAAGGTGAAATAGTGCTGGAACTTTGAAACTTTTCGAAAGGTTTCGGAAGGTGAAGCAACTCTGTGGGCAAATTCAGTAAGTTGCCTTTCAATACCTTTTGAAAGGAATTGAAAGTTGTGGTAGTGCAGTAACAATAAATTCTGGAGGGTTTTAAAAGGTCCTGCATTTTTTGTCCTCCAATTTGCCAGAACCCAGATTTTGAGGTGTTTTGAATGGTCTAACTACAGGAGAGTTAACCCTCCTGCTATTTAAACGGTCACAGACAGTCAAAATTCACTTCCCCTGCTAAACTTCTAACAAGAGCTAGTCACCAGCAGTTATATCATGTGTCAAGCAAGCACTTTGACTAGTCAAACTGGGTCAACAGACAAAGCAGGCAAGTTGTGGTCACAGCTGTTATCACTCACCGGGAGTCAAAGCACAGCTGTATCAAGTTACTTAAACAGTCCCAGCCAGTCAATCCTGCTTTATGTAGGCAGGGAGCTCTTAACAGTTGAAACAGTCATTTGTTTGATTTTGACTGAATGGACTACTTGGCACAGAATGTATGTTTGCATAGGAGGGTTAACTGTGGCAAGATGTACCTAGAAGTTCAAAACCCCCAAATAGTTTGTAAAGCAACCTTCTGTTTGTAATGAGAATTGAAGGAAAGTGCTCCCGGTTACTTGACAAAGAGCAGGAAAATCCCCTTGGCTTCCAAGCAACATACCCATGTTACATGGATTGGATTTACATTAAAATATTTTGCTTGAACAATTCCCGGTATTTGTTGTTCCTCTGACAGGTGGTCGCAATGGTTATGGCGCCAAGCTGTGCAACATATTCAGCACCAAGTTTACAGTCACCACCGCCTGCAAGCAGTACAAGAAGAAGTTCAAGCAGGTATGGCTGCATAAAACTGCAGAATAATCCTGAATATAACAGAGAAAATGGACCGATCCATGAGCAGGGTTTCCAGCTACTCTAGAAAATGAGGGAAAAACTTGAAAATGAGTTTCCATTTTTCCGGTCAGGGAAAATTCAGAGAATTCGGGGAAAACATCAGAAATTGGGGAAAACCCCAGGGAATTTGACAATAATCCAGAATGAAAGGTTTCGCCAGTTTGACGTATGTGCGTCTTGTGCCATTTGTCCAAGTTGTGGCCATTGACTGACTGTTTATTTTTTAGTGTTTATGCAGTGTGAATATTACACACCTCTCCAGATAGTAACAATTGGCCTTGCTACACCGCCTCTTGACTTACCCGGCAACCTTGTTATAGTAAAAACATTTCTTATGGAATTTTTGAAATTTCTCAAGGAAAACATCAGGAAAAACTTAGGGAATTTTGTTTACGTAAGGAGCTGGGAAGTCTAACTAGGCCCACTCGTGGTGTTTTGACCCACTCACAGCCATGATATGTCCGACATGCTAGCACATCATGTCTGACATGCTTGCACATCATGTCTGACATGCATGCAGCCACATATGACATGCTCAACTGAAACGTGCTTTCGGGCATTAAAAAGGCGTACATGCATGTGTTGTTACCCATGTAACGAACCCAAGTGGATCAGTCTTTTGAATGGAAAAAAGAAAGACGTTTTCAAATTTTCTGCACACTACATTGTTGGGTTTTTTATCCAGGGTTCTATTAAGTGCATTTTTCCCCCTTTTTCTTTAACATTTACTTTATTTCCCTTTGATTTCTCTCAATGTATGTGTGCTTCTTGATTCCATTTTGGTTTGTGGTTGAACAGAAATAAATGTTGCATTGAATTGAATTGAAAGTCAATTGCAAGTCAAATCACAAGTCAAATCGCAAGTCAAATCGCAGGTCAAATCGCAGGTCAAATTGCAGGTGAAATCACAAGTGAAATCGCAAGTCAAATCGCAAGTCAAATCGCAAGTCAAATCGCAAGTCAAATCGCAAGTCAAATCACAAGTCAAATCACAAGTCAAATCACAAGGCAGGCCACAAGTGAAAGGAGATAAATAATGACAGAACAGTTGTGATTGACTTGCAGTGACTTGTGACTGAACCGATAACACCTGTGGTTCAAGCGTAACAGAATATCCACAAAATGAAATTACACCACTTAAAAGTTCCCAATGCGGTCACCATTGTACAAACGAAGTCTCATCTGTTTTTCTCTCCTCCAAAAATGTAGACCTGGACCAAGAATATGACCAAGACCACTGATCATAAGATATCGGAGTTTGACGGCACAGATTTCACCGAGATCTGTTTCTACCCGGACCTTGCCAAGTTCAAGATGGAGACCCTGGACAGAGACACTGTGGCCCTGCTGACAAGGCGGGCCTACGATATCGCTGGCTGTACCAAGGGTGTCCGAGTGACACTCAATGGCAATAGGCTGTCGGTGAGTGGATACAGCTAGGTCCACATTATTACTTTATATAATTTAAATTGATTTATTGTTTCTTTTATTCAGTTACTTTTTCTGGTAGGCGTTTTTTAATTGACTGGAATACAGCTATGGCTCAGGATTAAACATGAGGAATGCTGCATGCCCATAGATAGAAATTCACAGCTGTGAAATTGCATATTCCACACTTGTGTATGAATTAGGATAATGCGTGGGGCAGAACAATTCGGGCGATTCACAATGCAGTGCGCCACCAAGAGTTTGCCACAGAGAGTTCATTTTTCCCAGTGCTTTGTGGGAGATGGTCGACAAATTCGCAGCGCGGGACATTTGAAATTGTTCGTTTTTCCCGGTCAGTAGTTTCATAAGCATATGATTCGAGTATATGTTTGCCCTTTTCTTTTCTTTGTACCAATATGGTGATTTTTGATAAGGCAGCAGAACGCTATGCCCCAATCTATAACAAATTAGCTCAAGTGTCTACTGACACTCATTCAAATAGACCATGTTTTGTCGACCGTAAACTTGAAAAGTTGACTCTCCATGGCAAACTCTTGGTGGCGCACTTCATTGTGAATCGCTCGAATTCCTTAACCCTCCTTCAGCCATTTTCACGAAACTTGACGCAATTGCGTATGTCCACTTACGCCACAATTTATTGCATAAGATGCGCAACATTTCACGCTGTGCAACATTGCAGTAATGACAGTTATTTCAGGAAAGTATCATTGTACGTGAGTCCGCGACTTGCGCAAGAAATTATGGCGTAACTTGTGCAATCATTTTATGTGGCATAAGTTGGGGCGGAGTTACTGAAAATGACCCCAGATTTTGTACGAACGGTATTTCCATCTTTATGATTTCCCTAACAAATTTGTTGTTGTAATATGGTTATCATTGCCCTGCACACTTGTGTACAATTTGTCTTTTGCGTTTTTCCCAAAGTAAAAATCTTGATATGGGCATGCACAATAGGAATTCCAAACTTGCTCATTGTTTCAATCCATTACAGAAAATCTCTGTTGTACTCTCAGAAAAATTGATTCTACAGGAAACAATGGGAAAAACAATTCTTTTGCTTCTGCCTCACAGGTAACCGATTTCAGGTCCTATGTGGACTTGTACCTGAAAGACAAAACGGACGAGACTGGTAGCCCGTTGAAGGTGGCCTATGAGTCTGTCAACCCGCGGTGGGAGGTTTGCTTGACGACCAGCGAGAAAGGTTTCCAGCAAGTCAGCTTTGTTAACAGCATTGCGACCATGAAGGTAAGTGCTCAGGAAAGTTTTTTTTGCAAACTTGAGGATTAAAGGCATATCGGATCACTTGCATTTCATGCATTTTTGGTTTGTTTCTTATAAAAACAACGCTCAAAATCCAAAAAGGAATATTCAAAACTTAACCTGTTAGAAGTTTCAGCTCAGTGGATATTATACTTTTTAAGAAAACAGTGAAAAAACGTGAACAACTTTTTGATAACGGAACATGATTTCGTCAATAGCACTCTTTATCCCAAACATCAGTCCATTGACTGATCGTTAGAAATCACCTACATTTCTTGATTTCTTGAAAATGACAGCGAGCCAGACGGAATAATTTGACGGGGTGTTTAGTACCAGTACCATCTTTAATCGAAGTTTTTGATAATAATTTGATCAGTGCAAATGATCCTGTATGCCTTTAACCCTCCTGCTATTTAAACAGTCACGGACAGTCAAACTTCACTTCCACTTCCCCTGCTATACTTATAACAACGGCTAGTCACCAGCAGTTAGATCATATGTTAAGCCAGCACTGTGTCTAGTCAACGTGGTCAACAGACAGAGTCAAAGCATAGCTGTATCAAGTTACTTATAACAGTCCCACCCAGAGGATCCTGCTTTATGTGGGCTGGGAATTCTTACAGGTTGAAAACAGTCACTTGATTGATTCTGACTGCAAAGACAACTTGGCACAGAATGTAGGTTTGCGTAGAAGGATTAATGGGATCAAAGATTAGCTCTCCTGCTGTCTGAACAGTCAGTTCATCCGTGATATTGTAGAGATTGTTCCCCAGTGTTTTCAGCACGGTATATTTGATGCTATTAAGAACAGAATTGTGACCCCTGGATGGAATGGAAACTAACTCCTAAGATGTTGGAATGAGAACCAATTCCTAAGATGTTGGAATGGGAACTGATTCCTAAGATGTTGGAATGAGAACTAATTCCTAAGATGTTGGAATAGGAACTGATTCCTAAGATGTTGGAATGGGAACTAATTCCTAATATGTTGGAATGAGAACCAATTCCTAAGATGTTGGAATAGGAACTAATTCCTAAGATGTTGGAATAGGAACTGATTCCTAATATGTTGGAATGAGAACCAATTCCTAAGATGTTGGAATGGGAACTGATTCCTAAGATGTTGGAATGAGAACTAATTCCTAAGATGTTGGAATAGGAACTGATTCCTAAGATGTTGGAATGGGAACTAATTCCTAATATGTTGGAATGAGAACCAATTCCTAAGATGTTGGAATAGGAACTAATTCCTAAGATGTTGGAATAGGAACTGATTCCTAATATGTTGGAATGAGAACCAATTCCTAAGATGTTGGAATGGGAACTGATTCCTAAGATGTTGGAATGAGAACTAATTCCTAAGATGTTGGAATAGGAACTAATTCCTAAGATGTTGGAATGAGAACCAATTCCTAAGATGTTGGAATAGGAACTAATTCCTAAGATGTTGGAATGGGAACTAATTCCTAAGATGTTGGAATGAGAACTAATTCCTAAGATGTTGGAATGAGAACTAATTCCTAAGATGTTGGAATGGGAACTAATTCCTAAGATGTTGGAATGAGAACTAATTCCTAAGATGTTGGAATGAGAACTAATTCCTAAGATGTTGGAATGGGAACTAATTCCTAAGATGTTGGGATGAGAACTAATTCCTAAGATGTTGGAATGAAAACTAATTCCTAAGATGTTGGAATGAGAACTAATTCCTAAGATGTTGGAATGGGAACTAATTCCTAAGATGTTGGAATGAAAACTAATTCCTATGATGTTGGAATGAAAACTAATTCCTAAGATGTTGGAATGAGAACTAATTCCTAAGATGTTGGAATGAAAACTAATTCCTATGATGTTGGAATGGGAACTAATTCCTAATATGTTGGAATGAGAACCAATTCCTAAGATGTTGGAATGAAAACTAATTCCTAAGATGTTGGAATGGGAACTAATTCCTAAGATGTTGGAATGAAAACTAATTCCTATGATGTTGGAATGGGAACTAATTCCTAAGATGTTGGAATGAGAACTTATTCCTAAGATGTTGGAATGAGAACTAATTCCTAAGATGTTGGAATGGGAACTAATTCCTAAGATGTTGGAATGAGAACTTATTCCTTAGATGTTGGAATGGGACTTATTCCTAAGATGTTGGAATGGGAACTAATTCCTAAGATGTTGGAATGGGAACTAATTCCTAAGATGTTGGAATGAGAACTAATTCCTAAGATGTTGGAATGGGAACTAATTCCTAAGATGTTGGAATGAGAACTAATTCCTAAGATATTGGAATGGGAACTAATTCCTAAGATGTTGGAATGAGAACTAATTCCTAAGATGTTGGAATGGGAACTTATTCCTAAGATGTTGGAATGGGACTTATTCCTAAGATGTTGGAATGGGAACTAATTCCTAAGATGTTGGAATGGGAACTAATTCCTAAGATGTTGGAATGGGAACTAATTCCTAAGATGTTGGAATAGGAACTAATTCCTAAGATGTTGGAATGGGAACTAATTCCTAAGATGTTGGAATGAGAACTACTTTCTAAGATGTTCGAATGGGAACTAATTCCTAAGATGTTGGTGCTGCCCAAGCCAAGGGGAGTGTGGCCTAGTGGTTAGGGTTTGTGACTCATGAGCAGAGGGTCAGGGGTTCAAATCCAGCTGCTGGCCATATGTTTTGTCCTTGGGCAAGCCACTTCACCCCACTTGCGTCTCTCCACCCAGGAGTATAAATGGGTACCAGCATTAGCTGGGGAGTAAGCAGCAATGATACTAGCATCCCATCCAGGGGGAGTAGAAATATTCTCAGTCGTTTCATGCTACTGAAACTGGAGATAAACGCCGGCCTCATGGGCCACATTGGCCTGTGACAGACTTTACTTACTCACTTTACTAAGCCTATTGTATTATGTTTGGAATATCAGAGTGCAACCCCCAAATTTTGGCTTATCAAAAAAATTATTAAATGAAAGCAGGAACAAACCCACCGTGATTGAATCAACATCCTAGTTTATCTGTAACCATATGTTGTATTTTTTATCCTTCAGGGAGGGAGGCATATAGACTATGTTGCCGAGCAGGTTGTTACCAAGCTGATTGACACAATTAAGAAGAAGAACAAAGGCGGAATTGCAATCAAGCCGTTTCAGGTACTGACACTCAATCCACTTTTGCCCATAGAGTTAACATTTCATAATTCCTTTGAGGTAATCTGCTGTGGAGTGTGGATAATACTTCAAATCCCTGCACAGATCTTTTGTGTGGCTAAGCTCAGGGCAAGCAGGCAGATTCAGTCGAGCATCACTGCTCCCCACAGTGCTATTTGTGTGTGCAGTGACTCTCTGTGTGACACAGTTACTTTAACACTTCATATCAACTGACCTGCAAGGTTTTAAAGGGGTTTTTACATATTGCTAGGAGGGTTAATGGGAGTATACAGCATTTGCTTTTGCTGTAATTGTCAGAAATGGATGGATTTGGGGGGTTAGCAATTTATAGCAAATATTGTTACATTGACCTGTTTGAAGTTTTATGTTCGTAGATCCTGGAAAAACCAAAAAAAACAAACAACCAATCATGTTCCTGTAGTCTGGTTCCCTGACCCCACTTAAGATGACACAGAGAAATGTATAGATGTTGGGGAATTGTAAGGTCAGGGATTCAGTCTAGCTGCCTTGTAGCTGTTCATATGAGTGTAATAGATCGCACACCAAATGTGGACTAAATATGGTAAATTGGCAGTGTTTGAAAAAAGCTGTTTTTTTTTCCAACGCTGGTCGGCCGACCAGCGTTGGAAATTGATACAAAAAACCTAGACAGCACACCATGATTTTACAGGATGTTTTGGACTGTAATTCACAAATGTTGATGTTTGCAATTGTTGAATATTCCCTTTAACAAAGCTTAGTTTGTGACCCAGGTGATCCATATTAAATAACAACTTCAATATCTCCCCTCTTTTTCAGATCAAGAGTCACGTTTGGCTGTTTGTGAACTGTCAGATTGAGAACCCAACGTTTGACTCCCAGACCAAGGAGAACATGACCCTGCAGGCCAAGCAGTTTGGCTCCGAGTGCAAAATGTCCGACAAATTCTACAAGGCGGTAAGATCAAAGATATGTTGGAAATGTTTAAACCTCCTTTACAAGTTCAGATGTAGTTTTTGTTCTGCAGTGTATTCTTGGTGTCAGTGGTAAGGTTGAGTCCTACAGGATTTGATGATTTGATGAACATGTTTTTTTTTCCTATTCTCAGGCATTGAGTAGCGGTGTTGTGGAGAACATCATGTCGTGGATGAAGTTCAAACAGCAGGTAACTTGAGTCTTGTTGTCAGTTACAAACTTGCTAACAATTTACATGTGGACAACAGTCCTGAATTAGCTTGGCGATAGACCTTATGCGCAGCGGCCATCCTAGAGGCCTTATTTTGTTATTTGAATTCAGTAACAATGAATGCACAGAAGGTTTACTCTTGCGTATCCCAACAAAAGAATGGTATTGCCCTCTAAGGTGGCTGCTACGCATAAAGTCTATACTCGGTGTGAGTTCAGGCAAGCAGCGCTCGTACAGGGTTCTGGGTTCCCAGCCACTTTGGAAATCAGGAAAACCTTGAAAACGAATTTCCTTTTTGCCAGAAAACGCAGGGAATTGGGAAAAACTACCAAAAATCAGGGGAAGCTCAGAGAATTTGAGACAGTGACCCAGAAGGGAAAGGTTTTCGCCAGTTTGGCATAAATCAGGCATGAGATTTTTCAGACTTTTGTCTGAAGTCAGACTTGTTGAATCTAAGAGAATGACATTAGTAGTGTAGAAAGGGAGGCATCTTTCAGACATTTCATCAATTTCAGTCGTTTTTTGTAATTTGACGATCTCATCCCTGGTATATGCGTCTTGTGCCATGTGTCTGAGATGTGTGAGGAAAGGATGGCTATAAGGGGAAAAGGGTGGTCATCGCTTGTCATCTCAGTTGCTTTGCTGCAACCACCTCTTGACTTCCCAGCAACTTTTCTTTGCCTCCTTCATCCAGAGCCAACTTGACAAGAAGTGCCATGCCAGCAAACACTCCAAGATCAAGGGCATCCCCAAGCTGGATGATGCCAATGATGCCGGGGGTAAGAACTCCCAGGCCTGCACCCTGATCCTGACTGAGGGAGATTCGGCCAAGTCGCTGGCTGTCAGCGGGTTAGGGGTCGTAGGTCGCGACCGCTACGGGGTCTTCCCACTCAGGGGTAAACTGCTCAACGTCAGGGAGGCTAATCATAAACAGGTATGAGGTGAAGGGGTTTTTGTAAAAGGGGTGAGGAACAGGGCGATTGCTGATTGCCCAGCAAAACTTGATGAAGGAATGGAGATTTTGCAAAGCATTGTGGGTAGCCTACCAACATGTGTTGCGTGTATGCAGAACTCGCCTCATTTTCCACTGGTCCAATAATGTACATATTGATGACCAAACAATCCCAGCAAATTTAAAGAAAATCTATGAGATTGATCCCGGAAAGTGTTTGATTGACACAGAATGACCCTTTTGTGTCTCGTATGCATTCCGCTGCTAACAGATTGTCGAGTCAGTGCATTAAGGTCGTAACTCGATTCTGCAACAAACTCGTATCTCGTGCGAATATGCACTGTGCAACAAGGTCGTATCTCCGCGTATCGCGACATCCTTGACTTTGTGTGTACATCAGGGTTATTTTAAGCGAGATTCGACCTTTTGACATTGAAAACTCACATTTTTACGTACACGACGCCACACATCATTTTAGGAGATACGACCTTGTTGCACGGACATGATAAAAAAGTGTGCCCTTTTAAAAGCCACCTTCATTGATCGTTTTCTCACGTTTAAAACCATTTCTGGTGAAAAAAATTCACAGGGTATTTGGGAAACAGCCGTATCTTCACTTTGAGGTTTTGCTCATTAAATCAGTAGGTGCATTACCGTGTGATTGCCAATGTTCCAACAAGCCTTTGAAAGTCTTAACATGCTTAAAGAAACCCACCCAAATTCTTTTCTTAGATTATGGAGAATGCTGAGATCAACAACATCATCAAGATCATGGGTCTGCAGTACAAGAACAAGTACGAGCAGGCCGAGTCCCTGCGCAGCTTACGCTACGGCAAGCTGATGATCATGACGGATCAGGACCAGGACGGCTCCCACATCAAGGGCCTACTGGTCAACTTCATCCACAACAACTGGCCCAACCTCCTCAAGCACAGCTTCCTGGAGGAGTTCATCACGCCCATCGTCAAGGTTTGTCACCACTTGCAGTTCTTAAGCCCGGTTTATAGTCGGCCGTGCGATGGTTTTCCAGTTTGGCGCCGAACAAAATTGTAATATAGACCATTATCATGTGGCGGCCATTTTGATTTTTCCCCATTCAAATCAATGTAACCAAAACGAGGCCGGAAGGAAAAATAGCCTGGTTCCTTTTTGCACAAAACCATTATCATTCAGTACTGTTATTGGATACAGGGAGCATGACTGAAATGGTGGCAGCATGATAAATGTCTATTTTCGGTTTTTGAAACGCTCAATGGGTAGTAATATTCATTGTCAGCCATTGTTTTGAAAATTCAATAAAAGTTATCATTAAGTGAATTTTAAGTCTGAAAATATGTATCTGTTAGATACTACATTGATTATAACTGGACTTATTCACACTGCTTTTTCACTGTAGCAAAAATCAGCTCGAAAACAGCTAATCTATGTTTGTGTACTAAACATATTTGGTTGCAAATAACAGCTGAACTGTTTAACGTTGTTGGAAATTATTATTTTTTTAAATAAAATACGGATAACAATCTTCAAAATGATTTTACATGCATCATTGGTGGCATTTTTTAGTTTTTTTGAAATTTTGGCATTGAGCTTTATAAATCTGAAGCATTGCCCCAATACCGATTCAGGAAGCGAATTTGGTTGGTTCAGTGAAGTTGGAAATTAGTGGCCCAATTTTTTCGAAACGTTGGCTGGTTTTGCTCTTGTAAAAGTCCAGCCTTCAATGGCTATCGATCCTTTGATTTTGGCAAGCTTTGATTTTGATTTCATGGTATTCGGTTCCAGGTCACCAAGGCCAAGGAGTCTCAATCCTTTTACTCACTGCCAGAATTTGAGCAATGGAAGAACACAACAGACAACTGGAACACATTTAAGATCAAGTACTACAAAGGTTTGTCCTCAAAAAATTTTGACATCTGACTGACGATTGCATTAATCCTAGCCCTCCTCAATCCTCCAAATTCAACCAGGTGGTTTGGAGGATTGAGGAGGATTGAGGCTGCATGCTTGTTAAAGTGCAGGTTAATTTTGGAGTCAAGGTCTTAAGTTATAGAGTACCGAGGTGAAAACATCACTCGCACAATGTGTGTGTGAAAGACATTGGCGCGTGATTCAGCCCGTGAACCAACACGCGCGCGTACTCCATTCGTTTGCACTACACTTTCTGGTTCTAAATGACATCACACTTTGGTACTCTACTATGCCTTGAGTTGTTTACGCTTAGCCATGCATAAATTTAGGCATAGTTTATGCTGGATATCATCAGCACGCCGCAACATATTAACAGTGCTTGTCGGAGGATCCTGAAGGATTGAGGCAGTGGTCTTCCCTCCACTGAACAAATTCGAGAAATAAAACTATAAAGAACACGTCGCGGTGGCTGATATTTGACGGAGAAATTTGAGCTGACGTTCCTCACGGAAGCTCTCATATCATGCGCCATAATGGCTTTCAACAAAAGTGTGGCATTTGACAAACAGTAAAATCTCACCCAACCTGTACGTTTACCATCGTCTCCTTGAGATTGTAGTGTTCGTATATTTGAATTGAATAACAAAATATGCCATTTGGATGTTCGATTGATCTCAAATGTTCAAATATTCAGGAAACTTAAAGGGCCCCATACAATGTAAGTTTTTTTAAATGCAGTCCTTGAAAATGCACCTTTGAGTCCCATTTAACCATATTTTCAATTTTCATTTTGCCATTTTTCAAGAGTATTTTTGGGACTATTTATGTTTTTATGCTCATAGAAATGTCCATATTCATGAGCAAAAGTGTGATGTCATTTCAGGCAGAAACCTCAATGATATAGCTATTTCTACCCCAAAAGTTTCCAGAACTTTGGATACTGTGCTGTTTGGGCATTTTCTTTTCTCTGTTGATTTGTTGTGTCACTGCATGACAGTAAGCCAATGAGCAAACCCCTTCTCACAAATGTTTTCCATGAGCATTTTTGGGTTCACAATTTGAACAGAAAATCCATAAACTGAACAGTGTCTTCCAGAAATGACACCACAGCAACAGCGCCCTCTGTTGTTTGAAAAAGAACATTGAAATAAAAATGTTGAAAGAAGTTCAATTTCAATAAAATTAACCTAAAAGGGATGTCAAAATAGTTTTCACACATTTAAAGGAGTAGCAAGTTGCACAAAATATGTTCAAGTAAAATTCATGTCATGAACCCTTTACAGCATAAACCCAGGTCTGACTTGATTTTTTGATGACATCATTCATGGAGAGTTTTTGTATAATCCACCCCCTTCCCAGGTTTGGGTACGAGCACCATGAAGGAGGCCAGGGAATACTTCAGTGACATGGCCCGGCATCGTATCCCCTTTAAGTACGCAGGACCTGAAGACGACAGCGCTATCATTCTGGTAGGATTCATATTCACTTATCACCATCAGTTCCAAGATAAGTGTTACAATCATAGAGCTATTAAATTACTAGAGCGCTAACTTAGTGTACAAAGTAATGCCTGCTGGGCGCATCCATGGCCAAGTTCGCGCAAGGACTATAGTTGACCAATGGTTAACTAACGTTTGCCTGAATTCTGTCTAGTCGACGGTGGTTGACTACGCTAGTCGACTATTTGGAACCAGCCTACTGGAGTTGGTTGCTTCGCTGGTAACCAATAGCCGCGCGCATTCATAACGCTAGCAGAGAGCCAGGATCCAGAAGTTTTGCGATGACATTTTGACCAGCGTTTGACTAGAGACGTTCGCATGTTGCTACCAGTGCGCAGGCATAAGGTACGTCACAAATCAACCACTAGTCGACTAATGGTCCTTGCCCGAACTTGGCCCACAATAAGCCCACAACCGAAACGCAAACAGATCTACGCAAACAGCGCAACGCGTGCGCGTATTCGCTGCAGATGCTTTTTGCCGTCACGTGTTTTTTTAACCGTGAATGATGCGCTTAAGTTGTTTGCGTGTGTTCTACTTGCGCGTTGCATGTAGAGTACACTTTCAAAATTCAATCCATCTAATATCATTATGTTCTACAAACACGCACATGAATTCAAAATGTCTGCGCCCTGGACGGCTTCAAAGCATCTCTGCGCTCTAGTAATTTAATATAGCTCTATGGTTACAATGCAGGCTTTCAAGTATTCCTACTTTTCATACTTTTTCATACTCTTGTTTAACTTGCTCCTACTTTTTCTGCTTTTTTTTCTCTTGAAATGCCTACTATTTCCTACTTTTTTGTCCTACAATTCCGAAATTGAAATGTCATTGAATGTTTTTTCATAACAGTGTAACACACTGTCCTATGTAAATCACACAATGAAGGGCTTGGGCGCAGGAGTACTGCAACTGTACTTCCAAGAGCTTAGTTGAGGATGGAGCACAAGTGTTGTGAGCACAGAACATGCCAAATGAGGCTGTTGCATGCTGTGGACATGAGTATCAAAGAAAACTACTCCGGAAAGCCTGCAAAAGTCCTACTTTTTTCCTGATTTTGTCCTCCAAAGTCCTACTTTTTCACCTTGGTCTGCTTGAAAGCCTGAAAATGGTTCTCTTTTTTTCCCAAAGCTGTTTCCTTGGATTGAATCTTAATTTCAGGTATCGTCGATGAAGTTTTAATTTACGAATCCATGGATGTTCCGATAACAAATTTCTTGGCTTTTTTCATATTTATCGTGTAAAACTGAATATTTTGAATTCATCTCAACAAATGCTTTAATTCAAATTTCAGTTCGATATCAACATTTGTCTCTACGATTTCTTTCATGTAACCAGCCGGTTCCGGCTTTTTCATGTTTTTGGAAAAATACTCCAGCATTCCAACCCTTTGCAGGCCGGCAAAATAAATCCTCGCATTGCGTGTATGGAGAAAAAAAAAATTGGCTGCATGTCATCATTCAGCCAGTAGGAAATTTTGTTGGCTTTTTATATTCCCTCATGAGCCAATTAGAAAATTGGTTACACGCTGCGTGTTGTCAGCGTGCTAGACTCGTATCAAGTACGCTCGATCACATGTAAGTTTTCTGCATACACTCAGATAGATAGTTTACAAGCTCTTTGTACTTATGTGTGAGTCTCGGATCATTTTGCATGCGCTGCTCGATAGCGATCGTAATGCTGGTGCGATGCAAGAATGTATGTATTTGGATGTGAGTATTGGTGTATTGAGTTCCTGTCATATTTTTCCGGCCCCGGAAAAAAAACCCCTCTGGCATCCCTTAACCCTAAAGTCCGAAGTCCTCCGCGATACGGAAAACGGACGAAATTCACGGAAACTAAGGACAAAACAGAATTCTATACTAACTGCCAAAAAGATACATGAAAACTTGAAAAGGAACCTAATAAACAGTTTTCGAAGTGTTGTCTTCCATTCTTTCTTACCAAATATGCACATCGTAGCGGTACTGAAGCGATCGCATGGCCAAACACACACATGGGTACGTACATTAATTGTACAACGTGCTGCACCATCAGCATCACTGGTAACACGGCAGTACTGTGGGGATTCGTACATGTATTTGGGAACCAACTGAGTTCGTGTCACATGGCGCGCATTATATCACAACTGCTGAACGTGTATGTATTTATACACGAGTTTCTGTATGCCCCGCGGCCAACAGGCTACCTCGTGCGTGCGTACTGCATGCGGTGACATCTAGAGTGAAACTTTAAATGAGTGTTGTGTGTGATCGTGGTGGTTTTTTTAAAGAAAACCAAAGAAAACGGAATTTCCAATTTTAAGAAAACAGAATTTTGATTTTAGAAAACGGCAAAATTCGGACTTTACTTAACCCTAACTCCCTAGCATGATTTACTACCACACCCATCCTGGCAAATTCCAACACCATATGGGAAACTGCACACACATATTTCTGACTTTGACTCTGGAGGGGTGCCTACCCAATGTAAAAGACTGTCAGTTTAGGGGTACTGTACCCATCCTGACAGATTCCAACAAAACATGCCCATGTTGGGGTTTGATGGTTGAGTTCTGTTAGGGTTAAATAAATCTTTCATGTAAAAATATCAAAATAATCAATTTATAATTTTTATTATAGAAATACATTTGTAATCAGTATAACAATATTTGAAGGCCGAAATGATTTCGAAAACTGTGAGCTGTCTTGTCATGAAAAAGTTTTACATTTTCACAAAAAAATGCATGGCTTTAATTTCAAACGTTTTTACAGCAGCAACTTGGATATCTTCAAACTTAATTTGGAATTGGTCCTGAAACTTTGCTTCGTTAGTTTGGTTTGAATGGACAATTATCGGTAAGTCAACTTCTTTGTTGTTATCTACTTCAGGCTTTCAGTAAGAAGAAAGTTGAGGACCGCAAGGAATGGCTGACTGACTGGCTGAGAGAAAGGAAGTCGAGACGTGAGGCTGGCCTCCATGACGTAAGTGAAAAGCTGTTGCTAATACTGAGAAACGTTCACTCTAGTTTTGGCTGGTTTGTATAGACTTATCCAGTGAACAAAATCAGGAGTCAATTACCGGGGGCCAAGTGTTCTTTATACTGTTTGGCATCTGCAAGGAGAATACCCACAAGACCTTCTATGTTATTAGTCTTAGCGATTCGTAATTAAAGAAAACATGGTGTTACATATGGGAGAAAAAGGGGAGCTTTTCTTGGACTTGCCATTATTAGAAAAAGAAAAGAAATTGCCTACCCCATGTGTATCAAAATTGTACGTGTAGGTTCTGTTGGGTTACCGGAAACACACACCTCTGTACTGAAACTGTATTCTAACAGCTCAAAAAATTGATTGAGTTAGGTCATTTTGCCCTTTGAAATTGTAAATGGCCTAATGTTTCGTGTAGTAACCATGAATGCTGCTTGTGTTGTTGCGTAGGTCTACCTGTACGGCAAGCAGACCAAGTCCATCAGCTACAATGACTTCATCAACAAGGAGCTGGTGCTGTTCTCAAACGCTGACAACGAACGCTCCATCCCATCCTTGTGTGACGGTAAGATGTTAGAGCTTCTTGTTTTGAAAAAAAAAGCTAAAAATAATCAGAGGTCATCCAGTCATTCATAAGTCAACCGCTAGTCAAATTTCAAATCAAGTCACAAGCTTAAGACTTCATGCATAATCGCTGTTTGTACGCAATGGATTGAACCCCCCCCGTATGCATGGTGTACGCAATGTTAAACCCCCCCCCCCTTTCGTGCATACATACTTTATGGACGGCCCCAATGGCGAGAAGTATCCCTGACTAATTTTATTCTGAATGTGCATGAACCAGTAGACTTTTCGTGTGCGTGAGTGTTAGGCGTCGTGGGCAAGACAAGAGGAATTTTCGTATCAATTTTCAGCCTACCATCGTTAGAAAAAAAAATGAGTTTAAAAAAATACTGCCCTTCATTTGCCAAAATTGCCAAAATTAGTTAGTCCACATTTTGTTTGCAATTGGTTGGTCACATGAGTGCAAGCCAGTTAGTCTGGGTTCCCTGACCTGACAAGACGTCTATAAATTGCTGTTTCATCTGAAGTAGGGTAAGGGAACCAGACTACAAGAAGAGCATTTTTTTCTTGGTTTTTCGAGCATCTATGAACACAAAACTTCAAACAAGTCAGTGTAACAATATTTGCTGTAAAATACTAACACCCAAATCCATCCAATTTAGAAAATTACAGCCAAAGCAGATGCTGTATATTACTTTTAATATGTGTCTGTCTTAAATGTTTGCTTTTTCCAAAAGTTTAAGTCCTCAGGTAAAACAATCTTTTGAAAAACATTGTATGGCTAGAAAATTAGCAATTTAAAAATAAAATCTGTTTTTGAGGGTGAAACTAAAAAATAGCTTGGACAGTACACATACAGATCATTAAAAGATTTTTTGTCTAAGACTTTTCCGCATTACTTAAATCATCACTTTGTGATCTGTTCCTTGTACATAGGTCTGAAGCCCGGCCAGCGTAAAGTCTTGTTCACTGCCTTCAAACGCTATGAGAAGAAGGAAGTCAAGGTGGCCCAAATGGCTGGTGCCGTGTCGGAACTCTCTGCCTATCACCACGGCGAGGTCAGAAACCAGACATTGCTTCAACGGCCCTTTAAAAACATTGTTGTAGATTGGTAGAAGGTTTGGGACAGTATAAGGAGTAATGGACAGTTAAACAAAGAAATTGACTGAAAAGGGGTTTGAACCTGCAACCTGTCAATTGATGTTCTGGTGTTCTACCAACTGAGCTATCTAGCCCTATGTTGGCGGTTCCCCGATATCGTCGTGTCCGTGCAACAAGGTCGTATCTCCTTAAATGGGCTGTATGTGAAACAAGAGTTTCAGAATGTCAAAAGGTCGTATCTCACTTGAAATAACCTGGATGTACACATTAAGTCAATGGAAGTCGAGATACGACCTTGTTGCATGGAGTGTATTCGCGCGAGATACGACTTTGTTGCAGAAACGGTACGACCTTGTTGCACTGACGCAACGATATGTCAATGTCTTTGTTCTAGGGGCTTTAGTCAGAAGCCATCAACCCGTATATGTATATACCATGTAGCCAGGGATTACGCCCAAAATCACGATGCTAGCAACATTAAGAATGCTGCATACCCGGGCAATAGCAAACGGGGATCACTCAAAGAGGATACAGCTTTTTATTACAAATTTTCAAATAAACCGCAAAGGGAAACTGACTAGGTGCATTATCAAAATTTTCAAATTTTGAACCTTCGACCTTTAGTTTGCCATTCCGGTGCTCCACCAACTGAGCTATCTGGTCCTATGTTGGCAATTTCCCAACGAAACTTTTTACAATGATTTTTTCATGTTCAAGTCATTCTAAAAATTTGCTATAAGGCCAAAAAAAAAAAAGTCGGTCTCTGGTCAGCGCGCGCGTCGATTTTAATCATGCGCGTTGATCTTTTTTTTTCCAAAATGTTCTGCGGTAGCTCCAACAGCGCCCTCTATTTCCGCACTTCAATTTTTTTTACCAAAGAGCACCAAGGAATGGGAAATTGCACTAAGGCAAATGATCGAAAGCACCAAGGCAAATTATGGAGGACACCAATGTACATGAGAACACCAAAAAAGCAAAGTAGTACCCCACCTTGTCTGTACAATCCAAGCTTGAAGAAAAAAAAAAAAAAGCAAAAAAAAAAAAAAAGCCGCGTGGCCGCGTCAATTCCGGAACTTTGGTCTGACCAGAGACCGAACACTTTTTTTTTTTGGCCTAACTGTTGAATTATTATAAAAATCAAATTTTAGGATTAAAACTTCCGTTGTTGCAGAATTCCTTGATGAGCACCATCATCAACTTGGCGCAGAACTACGTGGGCAGCAACAACTTGAATCTCTTGCAGCCCATTGGTCAGTTTGGTACGCGGCTGTACGGTGGTAAAGACGCTGCCAGCCCCCGTTACATCTTCACCCAGCTCAGGTTCGTTGTTTACTCTGACATTCATCCCTTCATTACCTATTCTCTTTTCTTGTGAACATTTCTTTGTGGTTGTCCTTTGAAGAGAACACTCCTCAACATTGTGACTTTTGGGGTAGTCATTTTGATGATCTACACATTCTCCTACTCGAGTACTCGCAGAGAAACAGTTCAGAAATTCACACAGTGCAATATTTATTGCAGAGTCACTGTGCCCAGTGCGACCAAATGTGACCTGTTCTGTCAAAAGCAGACGCTTCTGGGCAGAGGTTGAAATTGAGATAGGGCCAAAAAATGCTGTGGGGGTGAATTTTTTTTGATTTTCTAATTTTTGCATATTTGTAATCTTGAACATGTCTAAAATATACAATAAAAGTTTGAAACCCTAATTTGAACACTAAAAATAGTATTTTTGATGATTTGTTAAGGTGTATCAGTTACAGAAATGTCACTTGAAACAGGTTTTAAAATAGACCCCAAACTTTAACTGCCATTTTCTCCGTTTTCTACTTTTCAACACAATGAACTTCAAAATAGCATAACTTTGCCCAGGAATGACCGGTTTCAAAAATTAAACCACCTATTAAAAGGAAAATGTACATATTTTAACAATATTCAAAAATCTCTTTTTTTACCGTATGCCCAGAAAAGTCTGATTTTGACAGAACAGGTGACAAATGTGGTTTGCCGTCTATCACGCACGGTTTATAACATGTAGGCCCACCGATAGGTCACGTTGTGAGTACCGTACGGTATAATTCAGTGACTGAGAGACGATGATTTTCATGCGACGTGGGTAATATTGGGAGCAAAAAGCGGACACAGTTGCCCTAGCCAGATATTCGGGTTTTTTTTAGTTCGGGTCAGTTTTTCTTGAATTTTTGTCGGGTCGGGTCGGGTTGGTTTTATGGAGTTCAGATCGGTTTCGGTTTATATCTATGATGTTTGGGGTCGGTTTGGCCTGGTCAACCCGACCCGATGCACAACATGATTGGTATCTACCTTTCCTGGTCTTGCAAAATCCTCCAAAGCTGATGGACTTTTCAAGGATTTTGTAGAGTTGGGGCTAAGTGCTGATTGTTGTTGCTCTGTTTGAAGTAATACTTTCATGCAATGTCCCTGTCCATTTCCTCCACCCCTTTTAGTTCCTTGGCCCGTAAGATCTTCCCAGCCAACGATGACCCTCTGCTCAAGTCCAACTTTGACGACAACCAGCGCATTGAGCCTGAGTTTTACTGCCCCATCATCCCCATGGTCCTGGTGAATGGAACGGACGGCATCGGCACGGGCTGGAGCACCAAGATTGCCAACTACGACGTGCGGGAGGTGGTGGCCAATGTCAAACGTATGCTGAACGGAGAGGAACCATTACCAATGGTATGTTTGAGTACTGCTTTGGAATTTTAATTTTTGTGATTTTCTTTTCCATTTTCATGTTGAGACATTTATCGTGTCAGGATTGTTGTTGAAATTTTGGTTTGGTTTCAGTAGGGACATCATCTGGTATTGTTCAGCATATTGTTTTACTCGTGGTTTTTCATCTACTCGAGTACTCGTCCTGGCGTGAGTAGAAGTAGGTACTCGCGAGTAGCAGTTTAGGGCTCATGGCTTAATTATGTCCCCTGCAAAAAGGGAATCACTCCCTCCACCTCTCTCTCCCTAGGATTCCATTCGTCAAAAAGTAATGAAGCAAATGATCCAAAACGTTGCACAGTAAGAATAACTCAGTGCTGAAGAATGTGGAGTGCCTTGCACGCTATTTGCTTGTAGTTATTTCCTGTCATACTAGTGTATATGTCATTTTTCTGCTTTTTGGGGAATTCGGTTAACCACTCGCGAGTAATTTCTTTGCAAGTACTCGAGTAGACATATCCACGACTCGCCCAGGCATATTTGTCACTATACAGTATTATACCAATAAGACATGCCTTGTGGGTTGATAGTCAACATTCAGGCATGCAACTTTTCCTCGGATCAGCTGATTTCCTCTTTTTGTACTTCCCAAGTGTGTCATTGAAAATAGAAAAACACTGTACAAATCACTACAAAGTCTTGGAAAAATTTGAATTTCCTCTTTTTTTGTGACTTCCCAGTTGCATGCCTGCAACATTACCTCCCCGAGGTTTTGGAAGTTGAGAAACTAGTTCCCGAGGCAAAGCCAATGGAACAAGTTTATCAACTTCCAATACCGAGGGGAGCTTATATTGACTATCCACTGCAACTAAAGAATGTTTCATTTGGTTTACTATACCTCATGCATATTCACCAAAATTTTGAGTTTTCTCGGCAAAACATTGTGCATGTGCCCCCATCTTTTCATGAAGCTAAGGCGATGATCGCGCATGCGCACTTACCCCATGTGCTACTTCCACGATTGCTTCGTAAAGCGCATGCGTACTAGACTGGTGCACGGTCAACCTGTGCAATAGCCTACTACGCATGCGTGTTTCAGCTGTGCATGAAGCCTCGCGTGTGCGCTTAGTAAACAGCAAATTTAGTGGCTGATCCGTGATGGTGAATGGACCAGTGAAATCTCGGCTCTCAATCATGGCGAGTCTACTTTCCTCATCTTCCACCACTGTGACCCGGGTTCGAATCCCGCCTGGGCCAATATGTGGATTTGGTTTTCTGTCCCTCCTTGATTCGGTGGGTTTTCCCTCAGAGTTTTCTTCTGTGGTTTTCCTCCCACTTCTAAAATTGTAATTTCTCCACATTGTCTTCTCCTTACTGGGCCCCATGGGAGACCAGTGGATTCCATTGAATGGGCTACCCAGTTCAAGTAAGTATATAATAAGTGAGAATTGAATTAATATGTATAGTAGTACTGAAATATTGTCCAAGCTACTGTCCAAGAACTTATGTTGGTTATTTTTTATTCATTTGTATCCCCAACCCAGCTCCCAGCCTACAAGAACTTCAAGGGCACCATTGAGGAGTTTGAGCCCAACCGTTTCGTCTGTAATGGAGAAGTATCCATCATTGACAACAACACTATTGAGATTACGGAGCTGCCTGTCCGTGTCTGGACCCAGAACTACAAGGAGGCTACCCTGGAGCTGTTCCTGCACGGCAGTGAGAAAGTCAAACCCTGCATTACGTAAGCCAGACTCTGCTTTCTTGTATAGACCATTCCGAGCACATTATCATTGTACATTCGTGTAGGCCCCCCTTCTATGGCGAAAGCATTGTGCAAGCTATTGTATAAAGCAATTGCACGATGTTTGATTATCTGAACAATAGCTAGCACAATACTTTCGCCATGGAATGGGCCTTCGTGAGTGTACAGTGATGTTTATTGTTCCGAAAAGTTCTTAAAGCTACAGTCCATCATTCGCAGCTTTCAAAAAGGTAATTGACGTAATTATTGTTGAGAAGCATACTAGGGTTAAAGATAGTAATGAGATTAAACTCCCTGTGAAATTATTCTTTCTTGCAAGCTGTCATTTTGAAGAAATCAATGAAAGAAGGCCATTTCCAAAGATGCGTCTAAAGACGCATTCTCAGAAATTTTTGTTAGTTCGTTTTTAATTTATGAGAAGTGCATGCAAGCGTTGACACGACGTACACGCGCATGGTTGCTATTATTGGTCGGCTCAGGGCGTGACATTGTGTAGCTGCAATCGGCTAAATGAGCATGTGTCCAGGATGCTGATTTTCGGCGCAATTCAAAACATGACTTGGCGACTTTTGAATGGAAATGCTGAACCTAGAATATTGTTTTCTCGGAATATACAGCATTCACTGAGCTAAAACTTCATCAGGTTAGTTGTTAAGAACCCATCTTTAGATTTTGAGCACTTTAGTTGCTTCAAATGAAAAAAAAAAATGCACAAATGGCACATGATCTACCCTAACTTTAAGATTTTGATAATTTTATTGCTTCATTCTGAAATGATCCTGTCTACTTTCAAAATTTTCCTCACAGAGACTACAAGGAGTACCACACTGACACCACTGTCAAGTTTATTGTCAAGATGTCTGAGGAAAAACTGATGCAGTTTGAACAGGAAGGCTTGCATAAGGCCTTCCGTGTGCAGAACACGATATCACAAACCAATAGTATGGTGAGTTGAAGACCAGGCACGTTCCACACTTGCTTGTTTTTCCTTTAAGGATGGCAAATTTTGTCTCTGTCATTTCGAGGCTTCCCCACATCAGACGTAGGGATTATATCATTTTTCCCAGTCATGGGAATTGCATCATTTTCCTACCCATGGGAATTGTATCATTTTCCCAGCCCTGGGAATTGTATCATTTTCCCAGCCCTGGGAATTGTATCATATTCCTACCCCTGGGAATTGTATCATTTCCCCAGCCCTGGGAATTGTATCATATTCCCACCCCTGGGAATTGTATCATTTCGCCATCCCTGGGAATTGTATCATATTCCTACCCCTGGGAATTGTATCATATTCCCACCCCTGGGAATTGTATCATTTGGCCAGCCCTGGGAATTGTATCATTTTCCTAAACCTGGGAATTGTATCATTTTCCTAAACCTGGGAAATGTATCATATTCCTACCCCTGGGAATTGTATCATATTCCTACCCCTGGGAATTGTATCATATTCCTACCCCTGGGAATTGTATCATATTCCTACCCCTGGGAATTGTATCATATTCCTACCCCTGGGAATTGTATCATTTCGCCAGCCCTGGGAATGGTATTTCGCCAGCCCTGGGAATTGTATCATATTCCCATCCCTGGGAATTGTATCATTTCCCCAGCCCTGGGAATTGTATCATATTCCTACCCCTGGGAATTGTATCATATTCCCGTCCCTGGGAATTGTATCATTTCCCCAGCCCTGGGAATTGTATCATTTCCCCAGCCCTGGGAATTGTATCATTTCCCAAACCATGAATCGATTTTGCACACAGACAGATACCGCCTACGAGTAGTCTGGTCTGTGGTCCCTTCCTCATCAGTTCTGATGGGGAGGCGGCAACCAGTCTTCATTACGAGAACTGAATTGTTATCAGGCTGCAAAAAATGATCGAATTGTGTAAAAATAAGTATTCCATAAATAAAAACTTGCATGGATTTTTCTTCTTCGATGTCTCTTTAAAAAGTGCTAGAAAAATTGCAATTTACAAAACAAAATCTATTTTTCAGGGCGAAACTCAAAAATAGCCACCATGCATTTGTGTAAACCTCAGATTTTCTTTAAACATCGAGGCCCTTTTGTGTATCTGTTTATAATCATATTCAAGCAATTGTGATCAAAAGTAGTCTGCCAACTGTATCATAAATTTACGACCTTGCTGTCCTTTATATTTCTTTGTTTAAAGGTCCTCTTCGACCAGCACGGCTGCATCAAGAAGTACACAGACGTGGTGGAGATCATGCAGGATTTCTACACGATGCGACTGGACATGTACCACCGACGCAAAGATTACATGGAAGGCATGCTGGAGGCGGAGTCTAGCAAGCTCAACAACCAGGCCCGCTTCATCATGGAGAAGATTGATGGCACCATCGTGATCGGTGAGTCAACATTGACAATAGCTGTTACTGGACTGACTGAGTCACTGACTGACTGACTCCCTGACTCCCTGACTGACTCCCCGACTTTAAAGGGAATATACATCATTTGCTTTTGCTGTAATTTTCGGAAATGGATGGAATTGGGGGGTTGGAAATATATAGCAAATATAGCTACACTGACTTTTTTGAGGTTTTGGGTTCGAAAATGCTATAAAAACCAAGAAAAACAATCATTTTCCTGTAGTCTGGTTCCCTGACTCCATATAAGAAGAAACAGAGCAGTTTACATACATTGTAAGGTCAGGGAACCAGTCTAGCTGGCTTGTACCCGTTCATAGGTGTGTAATCGATTGCAAACAAGTGCGATGGTCAATTGGGGCCAGTATTTGAAAAAAAGCCAGTTTTTTCCAACGCTGATCGGCTGATCAGCGTTGGAAATTGATACAAAAATAGCACTTTTCTTGAAAATGACAGTATACCAGGTGCCATGATTTTACAGGATACTTTACACTGTCATTCACTAACAGTCCAGCAAGGTATTTCAAAATGATTTGGTAGTTTTATTTTTTGATGTTTGCAAATGTTGTATTTTCCCTTTAAATAGTGACCCACTTACTGACGGACTGACTGATTCACCGAGTATTCACAATATTTTAAGTGAGACTTTCAAATCCTGCTCAGCAAGACAAGTCTAGTCTTGTTTATTTTGAATGGAGATAATGCAGCTGTATTGCAACTGTGCATGTGTTCATGAAAGATTCTACAACTGTTCGGATTGGAATAAATTAACAATGTGTACACTAGTCTGTCAACGAAATGATGCCAGAATCTTTCATTTGCAATTTTCACACAGTCAAAAGGAAGAGTGAAATATTTTCACATGATAGCTTTGGATTGTTGTATTTACTTCAGAAAAACAGTTTTCTCTTGTTTTGTTGGTACCCTCTGGTGCATTCCGTGTTAAATCACCCAATGGGTACTCCATCCCCTTCAAATTTGCTCATATTTAATGTTTTGGGTAATTTAAAATGAAAAGGCTGAAATTCTTAAATTTAGCGCCATCGGACAAACGGTTTTGCGCTACCACCCGTCCTTGTTAGGGGGAGTCAGGTTGGCGTAGCGGTACTTTCCTCGCCTTCCACCGCTGTGACCCGGGTTCGAATCCCGCCTGGGCCAATATGCGGATTGGGTTTTCAGTCCCTGCCTGATTCCGTGGGTTTTCCTCAGAATATTCTTCTGGGCTTTGCCTCCCACCTCTAAAACTGTAACTTCTCATTGTCTTCTCTCCATTTATCCATCCTGTTATTGGCGCTTGCGCTGTTGGATGTGGCTGAAATAAAATTAAAATAAAAATAAAATAAAAATTTGGTCAAAATGTCTCCATTTACCTGTGAGCCAAATTTGTTGATCTTGGTTGCTTTGGAAAGGTAACATCATAAGGAATCCAACTTTACCATTATTTTTCATGTTGGAGTAATTTGAAGTATGACGACCTCTTGACCTGTACTTTGAACATGAATTTGACCTTGTGGATCACATGACCGTGAGATGAACTTTGATGAAATATGTACCCCAACATATTTTCTATAAAATATCCAAAAATTGGGGGTATAATATTTTTTGTTTGGTTTCTAGCTTATCTCAAAGTTGGCATACGAGTTGCAATATGTGATGTCCTCGTACATGTACACATTTCAGGGACAAATAAAAATATCTGCTTTAAATCCACTTGTACACTGCAGGGACAAAAAAATCCCTGCTTTAAATCCAGGGATATCCACATTTTTCACTTTGAAAGATAGTCTAAAGTCTTAAAGGGTTTTGAACAGTGTTATAGTCCAGTCCAGCACAAGTTCAGTCAAAAGTAAATCACAAGTCTTTTTACAAGTCTGGTCACAAGTAACATGGGATGAACAACACCAAAGGAATGCCTTCATCTTGATCCATTGGACAAATTGTGACTTGAATTGAGACTTGGAGGAGTTGGGATTGACTTGTTCAGACTTGTGATGGACAAGAATACAACACTGGTTGTTAAGTGTTCAAGACTAGTACGGTTAAGCAACGTTAGGGTTAATAAAACATTTTTTCATCATGTTTTATCTCCCTTCCCCTCCAGAGAACAAGAAGAAGAAGGAGATGATCTCCACGCTGGTTCACCGGGGCTACGACTCGGACCCTGTCAAGTCCTGGAAGGAGGCCCAGAACAAGCTCCAGGAGGAAGGCGGGGGCTCGGAGATCGAGGACGACGCTATGAGCGAGGTGTCCACGGCCTCCTCGTCGGCCGGGCCGGACTACAACTACCTGCTGGGGATGGCCCTCTGGAGCTTGACGAGAGAGAGGAAGGACGATCTGCTCAAGCACAGGGATGACAAGGTGGGTCTCAACCAAAGTCCATCCATGGGCGTCTGAAATTATTGTTTATTTTTGGTAATGAAACCAAGGATTCCTGAAAAGCGCCCAAGGCACTGTAGCTCGCAAGCCTGAAAAACACCTGTAGAGAGAAGACAATGAGAGGAAATTACAGTTTTAGAGGTGAGAGGAAAACTCCGGAAGAATTATTTGGAAAACCCACGGAATCTAGTCCATGGAATAGGCGCTTGCATAGATTCGGCGATTAATTATGCAAAACAAGACTGTTTCTTGACATCCAGATTGTGACTATTCAGCAGGCGCCTTCTATCAGGTCTTCCGTAACTCGTTGTTTTGCAAAAAAATGGCATCCAAATTGACCAATCAACAGCTTAGTCCACATTTCTGATTGAAATGACGCCAGAGTTTCTCAATTGACTCGAACTTGGGCAGGAATCAAACCCGGGCCAAAGAGGCGGAAGGCGAGGAAAGAAAACACTGTGCCAACCTGACTCTCCATATCTTTGTGGATTGGTTCTATAAGAAATACGGGAGGATAATAATTTCGTTCCGGTACACCAGTAAATAAATTGCAAAAGACACCTATAATAACTGATAATACCCTCCCTTAAAAAAACAAAAACCCAATAACTACAGAACGAAAGAAAGAAAACCAAAGAAGTTCTCCTAAATTTCTTTACAGTGCAAAGAGCTGGCCGACCTCAGAAGGAAAACACCGAACATGTTGTGGAGAGAGGACCTGGAAGCGTTTGAGATGCAGTTGGAGGTGAGAACAGGCATCAATCTTAATGTAATATTCACATGCCCAATGGTAGGGGAGTGCATCGGAACCAGGTACCCGATTACCCAACCGCCGATGTCAGGAACCGGTTCTAGATTATTGGATCGGGTACCTGTAACCAACTTTATACTTGGTAACTTCTCACACAATGAAAAAGAAGAGGTTGTGAATGTCATTTTGTGGGGACATTTCAAAATGGCAACCAGGCTACATGGAAGACCAAACAGATTTCACATTTCTGTACATTTTAATGCGTGACAGATGATTCTCGCAAAAGTTGCAGTTTACACCGTAAAGCTGTAAAGCCCTTCAGACAACTTCTGGGATTTGAATTTTGGGGTTGGGTTTCTTTTATGTGTACCACTTCAATAGGGTACCCAGTTCCTGTACTACCTGTAAATGCACACTTTTATCTTAACAGCTTTACAAGGCTTACTGAGTCTTTTTTCTTTTAAAGGGAATATACATCATTTGCTTTTGCTGTAATTTTCAGAAATGGATGGAATTGAGAAAAACGATCATTTTCCTGTAGTCTGGTTCCCTGACTCCATTTAAGAAGAAACAGAGCAGTTTACATACATTGGGGAATTGTAAGGTCAGGGAACCAGTCTAGCTGGCTCGTACCCGTTCATAGGTTTGTAATCGATTGCAAACAAGTGCGATGGTCAATTGGGGCCAGTATTTGAGAAAAAAAAGCCAGTTGTTTCCAACGCTGATCGGCCGATCAGCGTTGGAAATTGATACAAAAATACCACTTTTCTTGAAAATGACAGTATACCAGGAGCCATGATTTTACAGGATGCTTTACACTGTCATTCACTAACAGTCCAGCAAGGTATTTCAAAATGATTTGGTAGTTTTATTTTTTGATGTTTGCAAATGTTGTATTTTCCCTTTAATGCAGAGTTGCAGACCTCACAGTGAAACCTCTAAAACCTATAACAAACTTTTTGTTTTTATATTGTGCCATTTAAATTTAACAAAATTTCAATTAAATTTTATAAAAATTAACTTGACCCATTGTTTTAGCTATCATTTTGCCAAAATAATGTCAATATACCCATTTTTTTTACAAGTGTTTCAGAATTGGGCAGTTTGCATAAAATTGGTTTTAGTTAACTTTATCTAGTGTAGAGAACTTTGGGTAAGCAATTCGCTGTATTTCTGCTCCCAATTCCATGGTTTTGCACCCTAAAAGCCTATAAACGCCTGTACTTTGGCAATTGGAAAAATATTCAAAACCTATTTTTTGATTTCCAAACCTACTAAAAACCTTTATTGACGAAGAGGGGTACTGTGAGGCCTGCTTATGTTAGAGTTGGTCTATCAACTGCATGTAAACCTGTCCTTGTTTCAGATTGTTGAGCAGCAGGAACGTGACGACGAGGCCGCCGGTGCAGCCGCAGCCGGTGCCAAGGGAGCCAAGAAACCACGCAAAAAGCTGATCACCAAGCAAGAGACCATGCCTTCCCCATACGGCCGCAGGGTGGTCCCTCGCATCGATGCAATCACCAAGGCGGCTAGGGCTACCAGCACTGCTGCTGCCAGGAAGGCACGGGTGAGTCACATAGCTAGTCTTGATCCATGGCTGGATTTTGTTTTTGTTCTGCTCATGCATGTGTCACTGACAAGCATGCGAAGCTGCTATGCTATCAACTGTGGCAGTAGGACCCAAGAAACTCCAAGCATATCTCACAAACTTGCATTAGTTTGAAAATCCGGTTCGTTAAAACGCTCCTATGGAAACATGCATTCTGAGCCATGCTGTTACTTGGGTCAATATTGGTCAAGTGACCTATTGGTTTGTTTAAAGTATACCAGGGGAAGTGGAAGGAAACTTTGACCAATTGTGATCTTTTAAACAGAAGAGGGGGTTAATGTGACGTCACTTCAGTTTAAACCACGCCCACTGCACATTAAGTAGCATTGGAACAGAAGTTAACGTAACTTGAGTGTTTATCCAGTGGGCGCTAGTAATCAGTGGTGCGCATGTATAACACAAGTATGCAACTTTTCCTCGGATCCGCTGATTTCCTCGTTTTTTTCTTCACATGAATGCCAAATGGCATTCATGTGAAGAAAAAAACTCCAAACCACACAAGACTTTGTACAGTATTTTTCAATTTGTAATGTTACAAATTGAAAAATACTGTACAAAGTCTTGTGTGGTTTGGAGTTCCCTCGTTTTTTTTTAAATTCCAAGTTGCATGCCTGATAACAAAGTTACTAACAAACCGGATAGTGCGTGTGAGGTAGGCTCTGTAATTCTTTGGTCCTGCTGCCAAAGTTCCCGAGACTAGAGTTGATTCTTCTTGGTTGATAGCACCCAAAACTGCCAGGATGGCTTAACACACTTTAGGCATCGTGACTGTCTTCGTTAGGTGAACAAATTCCAAAATTCAGTCCTGGTCCAAGACTGTCAAAGAGCTCTGCCCCAAGGCTAGGGCGGCTCCAAACATTTGCGGAATCTATGCCAGTTCCATCCAGAAGTTAAGATCCAACTCAGAATTGACTCCAAATGTACCAAACAAAAATTAAATTCTGAAATATCGTGAATGTAGTACTGCATGAGTAAAAACAAGGCCGATGCATTTTTTTTGTTCTGTATTAAAACAAGATTTATCACGTGATATTTGTTTTGAAGTGTCTGGATTGTATTCTGAAACCCACGAACATCTGAAGTGATGAAGAGTAGATTAATTTGCTTTTTGAGGTGAAGGTTGGTGTCACTTGACAACAAGATCCTTTTTTGGTCTTGATTCAAATTTCTTGCAGAAAGAGTACGTATCGTGTGAACATTTACTTAGAGGTATTAGACTGGACATGAACGGTACTTAACTGCAAATTTATTGCAGCCTTTTTTGTTTTTAGTTGTATCTTTGCAGAGTGGTCCCGTTTGCTATTTCCCAGGTTTGAAGCATTGCTAATACTGTGTGATCCCTGGCTACGGGTTCATGGCTTCTGACTTGCATGCTTAACTGATATAAACTGGGGAACTGCCAACATAGGGCTGGGTAGCCCAGTTGGTACAGCACGGGTACCGTATTCCGAAAGTTTCTAGTTCAAACCCTGCTCTTGTCAATTTCTTTGTTCAACTTTCTCATATTTTTTGGGGAACATTCCCTTCCTTGCAGAAACCCAAGAAACTGGAGAACGGGGAGGACACGGCCAGCCTGGACGACAGCATAGAGAAGGAACCCATGTCGTTAATGCAACGCCTGGCGGCCAAGGGCACTAAGGCCCTGACCACAAACGGTATGCCCCATGAGAGTCTCACCTCCCTTGTGAAGTTGCCTCACAGGCATTACGGAACCCTAGCACAGACCCAGCCGACTCGGAAGTGGCATGTCCCCGTCTCTTATTGCATAAAACCACTGCCTGTCATCGGCCAGTGGGGTTGTCACTGTGCCAGTGCGACTCGGTGCATTTCGGACTTCTGTGGTGGAAGTGTTCAAGGTGGACACATGTTAGCAAAATCAAGTTGTAAAAACTGTTTATCTACCTTCCAAGTTTCCAATTCAAATTTATTGGATTATTCACCGGGTCGCAAAAAGACAGTCGTCCTTTGTGGATCAGGATCGTGGGACCGTACTTGTTTTTCAGCTGTGGCGTGTTTGCAATATCGAAAAGTTTTTAAAGTTGAGAGTGACTATCTCAAAGTTGGACAGTCTCCAAACGTCGTGCTTGGAAAAGGTCCACTTACCACTAGGAGTGTTCCCACTGTGACGGCGAACAGGGCATCTTGTCTGTTTATTGGGTGTGTCGTGCGATGTGTCAGATTTGCTCGATGAGTTATTGTTGCATTCCCAAACCCCAAGAAGTGAACAATGTCTTACGGCCAATGCATTTAGGAAAAACTATTCGTATAAAATAGATGCATACATTGCGAAAAACAAACAATTATATAATACCTCAAACTGTCATGTAAATGAAAATTCCACATAATTTGCCGTTTTTCGTTTGATGAGAAATATATGAGCTCAGCATTTCAAATCTAAAATGACTTTCATTTTGAGAGCATTCCCATCAAAGATTTCCCAAAGTGTTGAAGCTTTTACTTGGTAATTATCAAAAATTACAGTCTGCAAATAAAAGTGCAATATAAGGCGTGAGGCCATACAGATAACTTTACTTTGTTCACTTGTCTTCAAATAAAAAATATTTTGGTACAAAAACTGAACATTTGTGGCTATTATTCCTCATGTCGTCTTGAATGTAAAGAGTCCACCTGGGCCACAGGAGGGCTTGTCCACCCCCCCCCTCCAAAAAAAACCCCCAACGTATTTTTCTTTTTAAATTGACATATTGTTGTCGATTATTTGCTTTGATTTGTGTTGGCTTGAAGAAGTAACCATTCTTTGATGTTCACAACTGCAAAGAAATGGATCTTAGGACCTTGGAGTGCATATCTTTGTTAAAGGTTTACAAAAAAAGAAACCTTGAACGAATTCTGTAAATAGTCACATGCTCAGTTGCACGAAATGTATAAATGCAAAGAACCATGATTGACAAGCTGAACAAAATGCAATTCAGTACCTTCGTATACTTTGTTAAAATCGAAGGAATCTTTGTGACACGTTTGTCTTGATTCGTTTGTATATTTTTTGCCTGAACTCAACAAGCCCTCCTGTTCCCCCCTTTGTCCAGGTGGCACTAAGGCCCTGAAGCAGAAAAAGCTGGCTTTCAAACCGGCCACCAAGAAAAAGGCCTTGCCCAAAAAGAAGAAGGCTAGTTCCTTCTCGGACTCTGACTCCGGCTCGGACTTTGAAGGCGTAGTCAATGATATTAAGGAGGAAGGAGTGCAGAAACCCGTCGGCAGACGAGCAGCAGGTGAGGCCTTTATCTGCTTGACATATCTTCTTGCTTTGTAAACAGTAGCCATAAACCAGCCACATTTAGCCCTTGTTTTGTTTGATCAGTTACAGACAGTCCAAAAATCAATCTTGTTCCCCTGCCATGCCTTTTACACAAGCTAGTCACCAACGGTCAGATCATGTTTCTTGTAGGCACTGTGACAGTCAACAGACAAAAGCAGGTGACTGGTAGGCACAGCTGGCTTATCAATCTACAGGCTAAGCAAAGCTTTATCAGGTTTCAGAACAATCATAGCCAGTTAATCTTGCTTTATGAAGGCAGGGGGCACTCAACTGTTAAAAAAAAGTCACTTGATTTATTTTGACTGCTGGCCTGGCCTTGTTGAAACTGCCATCCAGAGAGGTAGGGTTACTGTACATCCCAATTTGGCTGGTAACCTAGTTCTGCTAAAGAAATAATCCTAAGCTGAGGGCCCCTTGCAATTCATGTCCTGGACAATTCACATTCAAAACTTTTAATAGGTCAGTGTAACAATATTTGCTATAAAATGCTAGCCCCCAAATCCATCCATTTCTGAAATTTACAGCAAAAGCAAATGTTGTGCATAAGGCCAAAAAAAAAAAAAAACTCGGTCTCTGGTCAGGCCAAAGTTCCGGAATTGATGCGGCGACGCGGCTTTTTTTTTTTTTTTTTCAAGCTTGGATTGTACAGACAAGGTGGGGTACTATTTTGCTTTTTTTTGTATCCTCATGTACATTGGTGTCCTCCATAATTTGCCTTGGTGCCCTCGATCATTTGCCTTGGTGCAATTTCCCATTCCTTGGTGCTCTTTGGTAAAAAAAATTGAAGAGGTGCGGCAATAGAGGGCACTGTTGGAGCTACCGCGGAACATTTTGGAGAAAAAAAAAGGTTGACGCGCATGATTAAAATCGATGCGCGCGCTGACCAGAGACCGACTTATTATTTTTTTTTTGACTAACCTGTAAGTAAATTAGAAAGTAGATTAGAAATCATAAACATGCGTCGAATCAAAGTTTTGATTTTATTAGTTTGTAGTACATATGAATTCAAAGTGTTTACTCACAGAATATAACATTCTTGACCCATTCAATTTGTGACCGATCACAGCCCAGAAGGCCAAGTATTCAGTAAGCGATGAGGAGGATGACGATGACGAAAAATTTGTTCCTTCCCCGCGGGCGTCTCCCGCCTTCAACCTGGACGATGTGAGTGACGCCGATAACGACGATGACACAGATGATTACTCCCCCTCCCCTGTCAGGAAGCCCGTCAAGCGAGCTGCCCCCAGGGTGGCTAGCGACAGCGACAGCAGCGATGGGGTGGCAGAGGTGGAAGACCCCAAAGCAAAAGGTACGACACAAACCACAACATTCTGCACTTACAATCAACATTCTGTGCTTTCAGCGCCAGCGCAAACATTCTGTGCTAACACATAAATACTGAAATTTGTATCCTTGTGGAGACATTTCTTTGTTCTCGTGTAGTAAAGTTTTCGAGTTTGAAAGTGAAGTTTCAAAATGCTCTTATTTTAACCAGAATTTCCTTGGCTGAAATTTTGACTTAATATCCCTTTTCTAAAACTCTTCCATTTGCGACAGATCAACCCACCTTGGAAATTGCTAGTTTTTGAGTAAAATCCATATATCTATTTCGAGAAAACCTTGTGGAGACGTATTCATCTATAGAAATTGGCCGGTGGAGACGTATACAATCTTTTGTTCCCTATTGTGTGCATGTCTCCAGAGGGCACGGTGTATCAGATCTATCTGCTGAGAATCCAAAGTTATAGGAATGTACACATGCACACAGGTCAAACTCTTTGCTAAGTCAGGGATATTAATCCTCAATCCCTAAAGTGGAGGGAAATATTTGGGGGAATTGTGCCTTTGATGATACAAGCATGGTATTTGGCACACAGTCAGAGTACGTCTTAAGAAAGATATTTGGCTATAGGGCTATTGCAGATTTGTCCCTTGAAAAAATATAGGTAGAATAACAAGCAAATTTCAAAATTTTCAAAATGGCAGCCATTGCTTGTTATTCTGCCTATATTTTTTTTCAAAGGACACATCTGCGATGGCCCTTTAGCCAGATATCTTTCTCATGACATACTCTGACAGTGCCAAATGCCATGCTTGTAAAATTAAAGGCACAATCCCATCACCTATCTGCCGTACTACTAAACCTCAATCCTCCAAAATCCTCCAGCCGGTTTGGGAAGATTTTGGAGGATTGAGGCTGAAAGGCAAAAAGTGTCAGTTGATTTTGGAGGATGCATTGTGTTGAGGTCCTAGGCTGTACCCAGCATTGTTTATGTTCAGCCCCGCATAATTGAGCCCAACATTATGCTCGATATCATCCGCACTGCTTCTGAATGTCATCGGCACTGCCTCAACACATTAACAGTGATTGTTGGTGCATTTTGAATGATTGAAGCAGTGGTCACCCCTCCAGTGAACAAAATTCAAGAAATAACAGATGATTTTGGAGGATTGAGGCTGAACCCATTTTTAACATGGTAACAGTTGGAGCATTTTGGAGGATTGAGGATGGTTCCTAGCCAAAAGGGCCTAGGGGGATAGGGTTAAAGCTTGTAGTACAAGACATATTTGTTATTCTGTCTACAACTGCAAAATTCAGGAGATAAAAAAACTCTGTAGAAGGTTGCATTATTAAAGACATTCAGCTCTGACAAACATGACTTCTGGTTTATTCTAAAGAGAAATCACTTGCTTTAATAGTTTGTTCTTTGTTATTATTTCTTTAATTAACAGAAACAGTGCTGTTAAGTTCTGGGGATGACTCGGACAGCGGGCTATCGCCGCCCAAACAGGCCAAAACATTGCCTGCCAAGAAGCCTGCTGCCAAGCCGAAAGGTAATGTTCAGAACAAAACCATGTTTGAAACTCTTCATTTCCCATGCAATGCAAAGATTGATGAAGAAGTTTTGAAGTCGCATTAACCACCGTCATAAATAGGGATGTGCATTTATGGGTATCACAGGAATCTGGTACCCGATTGAAAAAAGCATGGGTACCCGTTTAAGAATGCCAACCCCAAAATAAAAATCTTGCATATATGCCTAAATCAGAGTATTGTTGCGTTTCCCTCTTTGTCTGGCACAGCCACAAAGCAGAAGACCCTCTTGGAGATTATCAACAAACCTTCCAAGTCCAAGAAGAGCACAGACGACGATCAGCAAAGCACGGAAGCCAAGAAACCCACCAAGGCTAAAGGTACGCTAAGGGCTGGCCTATCTGTATTGCTGCAAAGCAAATGCCAATCGGGCCAGGATTTCCATTTCCATTGCGTGCCTCGCAACCGAGGACTGCAAGCGCTCAGTCTCATATCTGGCAGGAAAGCTTCCAACTATCAAGGGTTACACGGCAGCGTTTTAATTTATTTCTTGCAAAAAGTTAAGTTGAAACGCTTTATCTTTTTGACTTATTGGCACGATATAACAAAACAATTGTTGATTGTTATGATGTGGGATATGTCGTTTTTGCCCCTTTGGGCGCATAGCACCCGATAGCTTCACCTCGGGTGCTATGCAGTGTTACAGTAGTCAACAGTTGTTAATTGATACCAGGATTATCGCAATGTATTTATGCTGTTTCTTAAATGGAAACGAATCCTGAAACACAAAATCAGTTGACCTCTATCTACCAATCTATAACTATCTGTTATCACCTGCTTCAAATATGTTGCACATTTCACGCACCTAACTCCTACTGGTTGTTTTATCTGTGACAGCGGCTCCCAAACCAAGGAAGCCGGCCACCAAGAAATCCAAGACGACATCAGAGGACGACTCCTCAGACTTCAAGCCCAAGAAATCCGCTCCCAAGAAAACGGCCAGCAAAAAGGTAGGCAACCATCCATCAATTCATTGTATCATGGCCGTGGAATGAGCGCGTAACTTGAGCCCAACTTCTTAGCTCTGCTAATCCGTAATTCTGCACTCATGAACTCTATTTTGTGCTTACTGTTCTAGCCAAAAAATTCTACGCTTACTCATTAATTTTTTTCGGAGGTGATTCAGGGACTGTTTTGTGACTGAATAGATATTACAGACAAACAGCCACGTTTTGTGAAATTTATAATAAGTTTATTGTGCAGCAGCAGTTGCATAAATTGTACACATGGCGTAAGTTACGCACTGTTATGTGAAATTGGTTACTGCACTTTTACTGCTCCGTTCACAAGTACCCCCTCACCGGCAAAGAAGGAATAGTTGGGGGTGACTGACCGACGCCATCTTGCCTGACTGCAATTTTGCCGCGACGCGTGCGCGTAACACTGCGTGTACATGCATGTACAAATCCCCTGGTGTGCGTGCGTCACACACAAGGAACGGTGCGCTTCAACCAGCTAAATGTCCCGCCCATGGGACGTCATTGCTATGTAAAAGGGCGCCTTCTTTGTTGGTGCACTGAGCCCATAGTCTCAGAATTGTTCATTTATGCACTGATATTGATGGCCCTATGCAGCAAGATTCCCCCTTTTCTTATTTTTGTATTTACAGCTGTTGTTTGTCTTCTCTGGCATTGTTAGGGCCAATACTGAAGGATATTAATTTTCACTCTGTACTGTTCCACTCTCTAGCAACCCAAGAAGAGGAAGTACGATTTCTCTGACTCGGACGACGACAAGGGTTTGGACGATTTAGACGACTTAAACGATGATGAGTTTGTGGCCCCCAAGCTGACTGGCCGGGCTGGGGGACGGGTCAAGCCCGCTGTCAATTACAACTTTGGTGACGACTCCGACGATGGTGATGATTTTTGAAGTATCTTCGGCAAGGATTTCCGTGGAAGCTCTGTTCCCTTCACACAGATAAGCTGTCTTCCTCTATAGCAGGTTCCCTAATACAAAAAAAGAATGGCTCTGCACTAAGGCTGTGACTTTTAATTTTCTAAAAATTTAAAACCCCAAATTTTAAATGTTTTAACGGACTTGCAGCAAGACAACACTGTGCTATGTAAAGCTTCGCATCAGTTCATTACACATGCACACCAAATGAGTTTTCAAAAGGAAACATTTTGCTTGTCCACAAAATGAAGTATATGTGATCAAAACCAAATATGCCAGTTTGAGAGGCTTGTTTGGCCAATGCACCTTGAAGCCACTGGTCGGCCATCTTGGATCCCCCAAAGTCTTACTGGGACATACATGTACGTCGTTCTGCAGTAGAGGTTTTTTTCTTCACTTTTTCACTTTTCTTCTTTTGCCAGTCCAAGAATACAATTTTTTGTCTCAAAAAAGCTGGTCAGAAAATACACTTTGTATTTTTCTCTGCCTCCTTCCGAAAATTCAGTACCAACTACGCTGGAAAATTTCACATTTACTGAACGTGCCTCGTGGGATACCCAAGATGGAGGATGGCTGCTTCAATGGCCGCTGAAGGTCAGTGGTTCATTGTCAACACACCCATAAGCACATGTGTTCAATTTGTTTTGTGGAGAAACGTTCAAGGATTGCAGTAAAAATGGCCAGTCAGGAATTTATTCTCAGGGTTGTGTTCAGACGCAGAGAAGGCTTTTAACTAGTTCGCTTTTCAAGACTGTTTAAGCATATCAGTGTTAAAAGGTTGCAGTCTTACTCTGTAGTAAGAACAGGTATGGGAGGACAGAATGTTTCAAAGCTGACGACATTCCCAATATTATTTCGAAAAAAACAAACATTTTTAGCAGCACAAAAATCTTGCATATTTTATCTAAGTATCAGTGCCCCCATCCATTGCACTCTGTTTTTGCCATTAACCACTTCGCGCCGGGATTATTTTTGCTGAAAATTTCGATTTTCGCAAAAGGCAAAATTTTCCAGCCAACTTCTGATGTACAGCCAAACGCAACAAATACTGATTCGCAAGATTGATTTCAACAGTATTTGTACGATATTTCTTGCCGAAACCTCATGTTTCAATACTCCGAGGTGTGCACTGGAACGTAAATTGTTGAACAACAGGCCGTGCACAACGGCAATTCAAGATCAACACACGGTCTGCCTCCACAGACTTCACGGACTTTGTGTGTGTGTACAAAAGGCACGAGGGATTTGAGTGTTAAGACGTTACCCGGAGGCGAGTCGAGGCAATCTTGACGTCTTCACCCGTCCCTGTGTATAAGAACAGCCAATGCGTGCTATCACGTCCTCTGATGCGAACTGGTTAAAAAAAAAAGCCCCCGTCTCTTTGAATCTTTCCAACAGAAATACAGGTATAGAAATGAAGCATTTTGAAATGGAAAAAAAAAATGAAAAAGCTTTTAAGAAATATTGTGTAAAGGATACAGGGGCCGTGTAAAAAATAAGAAAAACGGACCATTTCAATGTTTTTTCCAACTTCTGTATATATCTCAAGTATTTTATAGACAATAAAATGTACATTTAGAGACAGTGTAATGTACATTGCCTTGTTTCTTCCTTAACTTTTTGCATGAGCTCAGTAGTTGTGTGGCACTTCAGTAATTGAGAGTTGAAACGCTTCAAGTCATGGACATGTAAACTATTTATTGTGTGGCCCAAAATTCAGTTGGTTACATATGTATTCCGTTTGTGTTGAGCGTGTGACGCTCAGAATAGTGAACTTAGGTCATCCTGCTACTTACAGCTTGCTTCGGGATTGTAGAGCCAATGGTTTTCTTTTTAAGGTAACCAGGGATCCTCTATACAAGGATAAATGACTCATCTGAGCTTGTGTACAAAATGCACGGAACGGATTGTCTACATGCGTGATATGCCGCGTCCACACATAGACAGGGGTGTGAAACTTCAGCTTTAAAGCTGATTTCAGCTTTTTTGTTTTGGATTTCAGCTTTTTTCCCCTCACTTGCTGTGTACAAAAGTATGGGAAATTTCCAAAGTTCAGCTTTTTACACCTTCAGCTGTTTTCAGCTATTTTTATCAGTGGTCACTCACACCCCTGCATAGAACATGTAGAACAATGCTACGCCCGTGCCCGACTGCTAGCTGGCGCCCTACAAATTTGACTGTGCAGTCGTGCGTGCGATCACGTCTCGCATACGCACGATGTCTCGATACATACGCATGTAACCAGAAAGTTGGGAAGTCGTTTGCCTTGTGTAGAGGATCCGTGAGGTAATGGACACCGTTTGCAAACATATCGTCACAATATCGTGATATATCCTACTTGATTTTAAGTATTAGAACCAAGCATCCTGTGAAATCGTAGCACCTAGTATGCTGTCGTTTTCAAGAAAAGAGTTATTGCCATAATTTCCTCACGATGGTTAGGACCAAACCATGGCGCTTACAACAGAATCACATGCTTTGCATTGAGAAAAATGATGCATTTTCACAGTTTTCTTACAAGGTATATCTACTGAGCTTTAATTTTGACAGGTTAGTTTTTGTTTAATAGCCTGCTTCGGATTTATTGTGTTGTTGTTCCTCGAGTCGGCAAAAACACATTTATTTTTGCAAATGGTGTCCGTTATCTTTAAATGTCCATATTCTGTTTTGTGATTATCCTTAATTCCCTTGACCACATAGTGTGCGTTTGACTTTGTTGGCCTTTGTGTGTGTGTGTTAATGTCAGTTGACTAGTAAGTCCATCATTTTAATCTCTGCATAACAATGTTGATGCATAAAAATGCAGAGATCTTCAGTTATAAAGCATTTTTAAATGTTCAGCAGTAAACCTGTACATTCTGTTTGGAATCGACGGACTGCGAAGATGGAACTAACATTTTTGTATGCCTTGGGCATGTATACTAGTAATTTTTTTCTTCAAAGGCTGAACACAGTTTAAAAAGGGGAATTCTGTCACTTTTGCTCATTTCTGTCAGTTGAAAATCATTGGCCTTTACAGTACAATGTATTGTCATTGAGCTAGTGGTTGCTTGTGTACAGTATATGGCCTTTTTCTAAATGGACCGGCATTTCGAGTTTGAATACTTGTCAATTCGTTCTGTCCAATTGTAAAATTCAGACCCAACGAAAACATTTGAGCATTTAGACAATGCTATAAATTATAGGAATTCAAGAATGAATGTTGCCGATGAAATTTTTCGTTTGCACGTGAATTTTACTGACTTATCTGTTTTGACTTTCATTACGCATGTCTTGTATGCATTGTTATGAAACAAAAATTTGATGTAATGAATGTGACATTTTAAACAGATAATTACATTTTGTAAATGAATAGGGAAATCATCCGTGAATAAAAGACATTATTGAAGTGTTTCTCAGAAAATGACAAATCTTGTGTGCGTGCTTCATTTTTAAATTTTCTCTTATTTGTTACTTCTCTGATCAAAAGTTATATTTCAATGGTTTACAATGAAACACGGAGACTGCAAAATGAACTTGAAAAACGTGGTTTATTATGTTGCATATAAACATTAACAGAATTGCATAGACTTCATATTTTGAGTTCGTATTTTGCTCAACGTGACGTTTAACATCGATACTTGACATTGAGTATTTTGTATACATGTATGAAATATTTGAATTCACACACAGACCATAAATAGTTATGTACATTAATAAAATAGCGGGTGTACAGTAATGTTAATGTTAAAATTCGTACAAATTCTTAAAAAAAAAAAACATTGCAAGAAACGGCATTCGGTTAAAGTAAAAAACAACCCACTTTGAACAAAGACAAATTTTTAAGAAAGCCTGTGCTATTTTCATGCATTGTCAGAGCAACATGGCAAGATATCTTCGTCGGCAAGTTTTTCAAAAACCACACAAATGGCAAAAGGTGAAAGCACACAATGTATTGCGCAAGTGAATAAAAATACATTTATATTGCATCTGATTAAAACGAGGGTGAAAATCCAACTCCTTTTGAAGGTGTGGGCATTTTCATTCATCACTACAATAAAATTCAAATTGGAATACATTAAGAAATACATTTGCAATTTGTTATGAAAGCCCTGGATTATTTTATTCCGAAATTTAAAAAAAACCCCAAAAAAACCTGACATTAAAAGCTGGTCACAGAATGCACAAAATTCTACTCAACTGATTCAGAATGGCTATTCACTGGTCTTTCCATGCATCTTGTTTCCACAAATGGGCCGGAATTAACCTTTTACGGGTAATCCTATACAACAGCACTGCCCAGTTCTCTTCACCAGCCAATAACCAGGATAAGGCCGGCCTCGGGTCGACCTGCGATTTGCTTGCACCGTGACAGAACTAGCCTTGGTCAAGGCGTTACTGTCCATGAACGAACGTTCATTCTTCGCCAATCGATTTGCATATTGTAGCGCGAGGTTGCTGTTCACGCATCATACAGTACATAGCGCGCGGCTAGTGTTTGTTTTTAGCGGCCAGAATACCACGACGGACATCATCGGCGAACACCTTGGCCAAGGCTAGTTCTGTCGCGGCGCAAGCATAACGCAGGTCGAGCTGAGGCCAACTGAAGTTACAAGTGACAGTTAGTGAGACAGTGAGTTACAATGTAGGTGCAAAGAGGCTGGCCTCTTTGGTAAAAATTCAGTGGCAACTGCACTATTGCATAAATAAAGACCTATTTACACCCTGTTAAACAAGTTTTACAGCGAACTGATTTGGCTTGAAATGGCACTGAAACATAAGGCAATTTATTCCTAAAACATACCCACTTCCACATATTTGAAATCCGACAACATCAGTGAATTAAGTCCGCTATGTTCCGCACAGTGATCCCTTTAAGAGATGAAACGTAATTTCTGAGTTCCCGTCACGAATTTCTAAAAACTCAAGAACTGCGATCCCCACTTCCCGAGAAATTCCCCTTGACATCTGTTGCATTCCCCGGCCCCAGGAGTACCTTAGAACCCGGCAGTAGCTCCACTATCTTATCCAGCAGTTGCTCCTTGGGTACCGTGATGGTCTTGTTCCCCATGCGGAGCTGGACAGCGTTACTGTGATTTCTAGGCACCACGCGTCGCCGTCTGTGCTTCTCCTGATATCGTTTGTTCCGCCAGTAGTGCTGCAGGAAGGGCGTGTCGAGGGTCACTGCTGCGCCGAAATTTCTCTCCGGCCAGGCTGGGTGCTTGAACTGGATTTTGCGTTTGGCCGCCAAACGGGCGAAGACGGCCTTCTCCGTGATGAAGAGGTGGCCTCCGGTTAGTCTGGTCTCGCTCTGGTTGAAGTAGGAGCACTCCTTGAGTTTGTTGGGCTCGTAGTAATGATAAGGGATGCGTTGTGCATCTTCCCTGTTTTGGTAGATATAATAAGTGGTTTCATCAAAGTTTTGAAACAAATGGAGGTGGCCTGATACTTCTGTGTCTTAAAGGAGCCGTTAAATTTTGTCTTAAATCTTACATAGAACTGGTGCAGTAGTCTTCGTTGGCCATTCCGTATACCACGATTTCTTTACAGATATCAATCGCCGCAATCAAGGTATACCATCCAGTAGACAGCCAGGTCTGCGCTTCTTTCCTGAAGAGAAAGAGAACAATATTTATAAAGTTTTAGAAACTTTTGTTTTTTACTTTGAGGCCATTACATGATGATAATGATTTTGATAACGATGAAGATATTGTGTCAATGGTGAATAAGAAGATGACAATGATGATAATGATAATGAGGAAATTAATACAAAACTTACCGAAACTGACACAGAAATTCCCACCAGGACTGACACAGCAATTCGCAGACACTCTTGTTTAACTATACTCCCTAGGACAATGTTTTGTATTTCCCTTTGTCCCTGTAATATAACACTCTCCCATAGACTAAGCACATGAACCTACTACAGAGGACCGTTTTGAACAAAAGACCCAACTCCCGAGGACTGAAATGTATTGCGTGTATTTTGTGTGTCGGTCCTCGGGGGGTTATGTAGAACACGCACACCATGACCGACACATAAATTTTCACTGTGACCAACGCAGAAATCCTGACCATGACCGACACAAAATTGTCGCCGTGTGACAGTACATCGGTTTGAACCCTGACAGGGAACATGGTGCTTGTGTTCTTGGGCAAGACACTTTACTGCAATTGTCTCTCTCCACCCAGGAGTATAACTGGGTACCTGTGAGGGTAGAGACCAGATTGCGCTGATCTTGGCTGCAGAAAAGTGGTCTCATGGCCTGATGAACAGGGGTAATAATTGTGAAGCACTTTGAGCTTTTCGTATGAAGCGCTATACACGGTTAGTCAGAATGATCTGGACCTAAGTTCACCATTTTTTATGGCAAATAGAGTACATGTATATTGAGATTAAAAACTGAGTGTTTCATACGAATGGCTATTACCTTGCCTTTCACAGGAATTTTGAATTTTTCAAATTAGTGGCTGTGGTGAGGAGTTATGCCATTTTAGTGGTTCATTTTCCAGTCTGCACACAGAATTGGTTTTGCCGGTTTTTTTCAAAGATGTCAATAACTTTAAGTGAGTCAGTCACCATGACTACATTTTTATTTGTTATTACAATGCTTCACAACAGTACACGATTTCAGTAAAATTGTTGAACCATGGAACCGTGGTCAGAGTGTTTTTTAGCGTGTGTTCTTTGCTAGCGCTTTTCTTCAAAATGGTACAATGGGTAAACATGAAACTTTCACCAAATATGTCCAAAATACTAGCCTATAACATATCTCATTTGCACTTGTTTTGATAATTGCTACATTTTTAAATATTTTCTTTAATTTGGGTCCAGATCATGCTGACTCACCCTGTATAAGCACCCCCATTATTATACTCAAATAGAGAAACACAGAAATCCTCACCCACGCTTGTTTTACTATACTCTCGAGGACAATGCTTTGTGTTTCCCTTTGTCCCTGTAATATAACACTCTCCCATAGACTAAGCACACAAACCTACTACAGAGGGCCGTTTTGAACAAAAGACCCAACTCCCGAGGACTGAAAGGATCTGTTGTTCTCCCTTTGTGTGTCGGTCCTCGGGGGGTTATGTAGAACACGTACACTATGTCACACACAGACTTGACCACAGCAACAAACACAATAATTCTCACCGCGACAGCCCGGTGTAGTTTTTGAACAGCGCTTCAGAGGATATCATCTTGTCCCGTGTGAAGGAGTAGAACTTGACATCGGGAAAGAGGTGGGCCAGCAGGAGAGCAAAGCGGTATTCCTTGGAGATGAACTTCTTGATTTTGGTCTTGGACATCCAGTTGATGAGAACGACGGACGCCCGGGTGCGATTGTCAGTTAGCATCTCCCTAGACGCTTCTACATGGTGAAAATGGAGACATTCACTATTTTTAGGACTTTTTTTTTGGGGGGGGGGAGATGTAACTTTTATTTTGGGTTTTGACCTTTCGGGAAAGTCTCAAAAGTCGGAACATTCTTGTTCCGTATGGAACGTTCCTTTTTAGGAACACTGTGCATTCTCATAGGGAATGGGTGTTCTCACTGGCAACAATGCATATTCCCGATTGGAATGTATAAAAGTTATGTTGGTGAAAGGTAAAACCATTATGAAGAATTTACATCGCCCAGATCGGGGGGGGGGGGGGGGGGGGGGGGCACCACGTTCCTGTCACTCTAGCCTTCTAACCTTCGTTGTCACCAAAGGATTTCTCCAGGTTGACATGCCCGATGGATCGCACCGTGGTGCGCGAGCCCACGTCGGTCTCGTAGCCCGTCACGGGGGCGTTGTTCATGCGGAAGACGCAGGGGGTGGAGTCGATTTCCCGGCCCAGGCTGCTGTTGATGAGATGGCCCGAGCTGGAAACGACGGCGCACTTAGAGCACTGCATGTGCAGCAACTGATGAAAATGGATCATGTGAAGAAAAATATAAAAAAAATAAATATATAAGACAAGGTTTCTAAGTTCAAGTCTTGTACAGGGTGAGTAAAAAAAAAAAAAGGAAACCCAAACGGTGCCCCTTATTTTTTAAAGAAGTTCTGTATGTAGAGCCTTCTGGATCTAGGAAATGAAAACCCCATTAATAAGCTTTCTTTTAGTGAAAGAATCATTCAAATCGCTCATTTACTTTTCCAGTTATGGAATTTTGAAGACAAACACCGTTTTTTTTGTCCACGGATCACAATAAAGGTTAGTATTGAGCAAAACGAAAACTATTCACATATAAAAAAAAACATCCAAACACTCTCATAACAATGATAACTGGCACTTATAATAACATTTATTTAAATAACTGCTGCTTCCAATGTTAAAATAACATGCTTTATAATGTCAAGAGTTTATAGTCTTGCCCTGCCTTCTACTTGGCTACCCCGGAGCCTTGTGGGATTATTCTGATATCATTTTCAGGATCCGACATGGTTTCATTTTTTTTGATTTTCTGATCATTTTCAGGATCCGACATGGTTTCATTTTTACTGAAATATCACGTACCTAATGTGAAGTTTGTCTTCAAAATTCCATAACTGGAAAAGTACATGAGCGATTTGAATGATTCTTTCACTAAAAGAAAGCTTATTAATTGGACTTTCAAATCCTAGATCTGGAAAGCATTACATGCAGAAATTCTTCTGTTTCAAACTCACCAAAAAAGCTGGCGAAATGCCACTCTCGCAGTTTCTGACTCATCTAGACAGCTGGCAGTGATACCATGTTGAATATCACTGAACAAGGGCGGATCCAGAACACAATTTTGGGGGAGACAAAAAAAAATTTTGTCTCCCAAAAAGTGGGTCAAAAAATTACGGTGTGGGGTTCGGGGCCCGCTTATTAGGGCCCCAAAATATTTTGGATTCTCGATGCTCTGTGGTGCGATCTGAGGCAATTTCTGACCACTTTAGCCAATGTTTTTTGTGGAAAAGATGGTGGTGTACTCATTGCCTGCCTTTATTGCGACGTCACAAAAAAAAAAAATTGGTTTTTTTGGGGGGGGGGGGGGGGCCATGGCCCCCTTTGGCCCCCCCTGGATCAGCCCTTGTCACTGAACAGGATTATAATTTTGTAGGAAGAGGGCAGAGTTTTGATTTATGTGTGAAATTACGGGGTAAAACACGACAACAAAACACATGACTCGAAAACGAACATTGCGACAATGCCGAACAAGTTAAAAAGCACGAGTGACAGGGGATGTAGGGTTACTACAAAGAGCAGCCAAAACCACGGGCGGACAAGCAGGAAATGTAACAGTTTGCATGTCTTCAACTGCCAAAACTGGTAAGAATGTCACATTTTCTCTCAAACTTCTGTTCAAAATGAGAGAAACACTGAGACATAGACTGCTTGTACTGCAAATGTAATTTTGGAATAATAAACCCCTTGCAAGAAATATAAAAACACCGAGCGAACTCAAAAAATAGAGGGGTCCTAAAAGTAATTTTTACCCCAGGATTTACAGCAGCGGTTTCATACCTTCTCGCCAGGGAGACTATGGTAGCTCCAGTGGATCTTGTTGTGGGTGTACTCCTGGTCGGTCGGTAACTTTCTCTGTTCTGCCGAAGCCTTCACGATGTCCAGCATTTCCCGGGCCCGTTTGAGTTCTTTCAGGTGGGGCTTTGCCTGTTGTGATGACCCGGTGATGGGCCCACGAGATTTGAGGACAAAGGAGAGATAGGCTGCCGATAGGATGAAGGAATAGAGAAGAGATACGAACAGCAGCGTGCGGATGCTCTGGAAAAAAAGAAGAAGAAGTTTAAGAGTTTCTGAAAAAAATTATTTGTATAACTCATTTTTCCCCCACAAACTTTTATTACCCATAACAGTTACTTACACTTTGCATATTATGCAAAGTGTAAGTATAACTGTTATGGGTAAATAAAGGCCAAGTAAAAAAAATGAAAATAAATTCATACATTTGCAATGATAGTTTGCAAATGTATGTTGTATTGTCAATACAGGTTGTCCCACAAAAAAAACTAATTAATAAATAAACAGAACTAAGGCCAAAACAAAAAATAGTTCTGCTTCTGGTTACCCTACCTACCGTATTTTAACAGCCCTACCCTAATTTTGGGAAAAATGAGGAAAAAAACCCGAAAACCATCAAGTAAGTACTACCTTTTACCCTTGACTACATGCAGACACCTCCATATGATGGTACACACACAAAAATGCAAAATAAAATCCCTACCTACCCTATTTTCAAAAGCCATGTAATCGGAAGCAGAACTATTTTTTTTGGCCAAATGTAATTTGTATTGTTGTGCGCATCAGAACATTTTTTTATGCATTTTGCGCATTAGAAATATCATAATTTTTATTAACTGCCCATATATAGCTATATCATATCTGAGTTTATACACAACATTTCAAAATCTGGTCTGCAAGTCAAAAATTACAAATCTCATTGAGTAAATTTCAGTTTTGTTCAACATTTTACAATATAATAGGGTCGTCCATTTTCGAATAATTTAGTATTCGATTACTCGAAACTGCATTGGACCAAATACTCGGATATTCGAATTTGCCAGCTGCAACTGGTGCTGCGCCGGTAAAAAGTTGCACGAAGAGTGTGCCAGCTAAAATTTGCATGTGGCCATCAATATGGGGCGCTGGAGTGTTTTGCAGTAAGTATTTTTTAACTGTAAAAGGGCATTAACCTGCTTAAAGGATGTGAACAATGAACCACCGTCGACAAAAAAGTTACCGTTGACAAAAAAGTGGCACCTGACAATAAAGCGCCGCAACATTACCATAAAATAACATCACAGTCGTGTGAATACGTGCATAGTTGTTTTGTTTTTGAATATTCAAACTGGCAAAAAGCTATTTGAATATTTGGTTGATAAACCAATATTTGACTATTCGGCATATTCAGGACACCCCTACAATATAAAAATATAAAAACATTTGCATTTCAATCTACAATTTTTTTTTATAATGTTGTTCAGTCTCAGGCCAAGTAAAAAAAATCCCAGTTGATCGTCCCCGCCCGCATCATTTTTTGAAGCCCCATCCTTTTTGAAGCCGCATCCTTTTTAAAAATTAATTAATTTTTATTTCTCACCTCAAAAAGCTAACTTTTTCTTGTATTTCGCTTTAATAAAATACATAAAACATGTTTAACATGAGTAATTTGACTCTACTTACTATTGAGATAGCTAATTAAAAACTGGCGATCATTTTGAACCCCTTTGGCAAAATTCTGAATTGAAATACTTGGCGGCCATCTTGGAAAAAAAAAAATAAATAAAAAGGCCCTCATCCAAAGTTGAAAAAAAAACCCGCCAATGCCGATCAAATGGGTTTTTTTCCTACTTGGCCTTCTACTTGGAAACCATTCAATAAAAAATAGATCAAATAAAAACAAACCGTTCAGTGTGTAATTATAGTCGAGGACTTACAGGTCTTCTTGGGCATATCTGAAGAAAGGCTGGCATTTTCTCATCACTCACATTCCATACAACTCCAGACATAGATCAGGATATATTTTTGTCTGCTAGAAAAAGACACAAGAAACAAGAATTTACTAGTGGCCAATTTCAAGGAATTGCATTTTCTGCTAAGACCAAACATAAATAAGAAATTTAAATTTTTGTTTATGGTAATTAACCCAACCTACCTGGATTTCTGGCGGTCACAATGCCAACCTCAAACCTGTTATTGCCACTAATTTAAGCCAACAATTTTAATAATTAGTATATTTTCTGTGTATATTAGTTAATTAATTAAACAGGTTGAATAAACAGAATACTGTTAAGCTATCCTAAAGTAAACAAAGCATGGATGTAGGAAAATCTATAAAAAAAAAAGTAACTATAAAAGTCCAATAGACAAATACAAAGTCACATAAAACATAGAGCAAGGAAAATAATTATTTTCCTACCTACCTACCTGGATAATTTTAGGGTGTTACCGTAAACACACTACTTTTCCCCCCAGCATTTAGTATAAATACAATGTCTGGGCACAGGCACACATGAGCTTTTAAAAAAATACTGCACACGTGCAAGTTGTAACGATGAAATACGCAACCCTTTCCACTGCAATACAAACCTGCAAACCATTCAGAAACTACTTACTATATCATAGGCTATATATATTCGCACATAAGGTCAAACTGTATGTGCAACAGTGCATAGTGCATGGAGTGATTTCTCACATAAATAGGAAACACAGTGCATAATGTGGTATTCTGTCTCAAGGCAAACATCTGTTGTGCATCAAGTAATGGCTTAAACTTGCCTTAACCAATGTTGACAGGTGATAAGATAGATTGAATGATGGAGTCTGGCAGTGGATAAGGGATGCTCTCAACTGGCTGCGGCCTACAGAATATTGAGACTTAGAGTTAGACTGGTTGTACTGTTGAAGATATAGCCGGGAAGTGCTATTGTATAGGATTACCCCATAACGCCAATGAGTGGGCTAAATCCGGCCCATTGTGACCAGATGCATGACAAGACTTCCAGTGAATATTGCCATTTTGATTTCTGAATCAAATGAATATAATTTTAATTGTGCACTCTGGGACCAGCTTTACTAGGTTGCATTGATATATGCCTTACCAAAACTTGTTACCTATTACATCTATCTAGGAGCATCAATCAATTTATGAAAAATCTATTTTTTAAAATTTCATTATGAAATTAATGTGCTGCTGATGACATAGGGGCCTATAATATGTAATTTTTAAAGGTTTTTCATATTTGTAATTAAGTTTTTGTTTTTTGTTTTTGTTAATGATTGTTAAGCACCTTGAAAGTCATTTTGAAGGATTTGGCGCTATATAAGAATATTATTATTATTATTAGTGTTATTTGTACATGTAATTGTTTTGTCTATGATTCACTGTTTGTAATATTCCGGAAAATGAAATAAATAAATAAATAAAATATCCCCGAGTCACCATTATTGATGTAGGTCACACTTGCAACGCGCGCGCGTTGTCCAATGCAAATTGAATGCTAGTGCGTCAAAACATATCCTCTTCATTTTTGAGTCTGACCATATAATTATGCTAAACTTGTCGACACTGATATTTTAACATAGGCATCTCACCATGGAGGCAGGTTTCTCCATGATCTCACTGAAAAAAAGGCAAAACTCCCCAATGCAAATGACACAAAACAAATTGAAACAAGGAAAGGAAAAAAAAGGAAACAAACAAAAAAATTAACAACTCCCTCCCAAAAATACACACCAAAACTGTTCAACAAACTTTGGATTTTAAAATTCCACAACAACATGCTTTCAAAAGATTCATGACATGCTTCATTTTATCCTTTTTTTATTATTCATGTTCCAACCAACATGACCAAGTGTGCAGTTGAAATTCAGTCACTGATTCAGTGCGTGTGATTGTTTATTTGACAACTATTGAACTAATCAGGTCAAATTGCAAATAAACTTGAGCTCCTGGTCTAAAGAAGGAAAGCGGTTTTGCGGTAGAACATGCGGGCCAACACAATGTCTTTCATGTGAATTGTGTTTCCCCATTGTGTGTTTACTTTTGTTCATTCCATTGTTCCAACCACACACAAAACCGTGAAACGTCAAAGGAGATCCGTGGGTGCCGCCACAAAAGTTCTCAATAAATACCTCGTTATCGCGTAGGGCAGTTGTCTGGTGTAACCATTTTGTAAAGTGATCCAACAGTCGTCAATGCTTATCTTCAAGATTGAATGAAAGGCGGAAACACTACATTATTTTACAAAAATAAAAACTTTCCCATTTTTTTTTTTTCGGATTACTTATCCCGCGCTACAATGTTTAACCAATCAAAACAGCGTTCACAAACGGATCGAGCAATCAACCAATCAAATCTTTCGTTTGAAAGGGGCAATTCTATAGATTGAAAACGAGGTTCAAAATGGCGGACAGCTGGGAATTTTTCCGAGGGGAAGATTTTTAATAAAAGTTTGAACTTCTGTGTTCTTTATCAACAATTGTGAGCTAAAATATCAGTATCATGGTTGTTCAAGAGCCGGTCCAGGTAATGTTGTGTAAATTATTAGCTGAAATGGTGGTTTCATTACATTATTTTACCTGTAAATATTCACTTAAAAATGCGCCTAACGCATGTTAACGTTAACGTGTACAAAGTGGTGCCTGCTGGGCGCATCCATGTTTGTGCACAAACCTATGGAAAACTCGAAATTTTGAAATCACAAGATGAGGTGAAAATTGATGTGTTTGGCGGCAGGTAAGTTGTGTCCCAGTATGGAATTCTTTCCCGGCTATTTCAGTATTTGTATAGGCCTATCTGGGTTTGTATTTACAGGCATGACAGGTGCGTTATCGAAGTACTCCTAGAACTATGAGGCTCCGCGTGAGCGGAGCCTCATAGATCAAGAAGCCCGCAAAATTGCCTGCAGCACAAAACACTAATAAAGTACAAAAACGTCCATCAAAATGCAGCCATTTCACACAGAACCGCTGCACAGTTTGCCCCTATACTCCGTACTTTATCTCTTGACATACTCACGTATCATGTGCGGAACTAACATGGGTGGATTCTGTCGGTTTTTAGGCCAAAATGATGAAAAATATGCCCTTTCCGCACTGAGCCAACCTGACACTTGAAACGTGCACGCATATGATCGAGCGATGATTTTCGGTTCGCTCGGAGCGCGCCGCGGGGGGTACGGTACATGCACTTGTACGCATGCACATACTATCATTTCGCTTGTACCGTACCCCCCGCGGCGCGCTCCGAGCGAACCGAAAATCATCGCTCGATCATATGCGTGCACGTTTCAAGTGTCAGGTTGGCTCAGTGCGGAAAGGGCATATTTTCATCATTTTGGCCTAAAAACCGACAGAATCCACCCATGTTAGTTCCGCACAAGATACGTGAGTATGTCAAGAGATAAAGTACGGAGTATAGGGGCAAACTGTGCAGCGGTTCTGTGTGAAATGGCTGCATTTTGATGGACGTTTTTGTACTTTATTAGTGTTTTGTGCTGCAGGCAATTTTGCGGGCTTCTTGATCTATGAGGCTCCGCTCACGCGGAGCCTCATAGTTCTAGGAGTATTATCGAAGGTGATCATGGTGTAGGCTAGTCCGAGTAACTCGGACCCAACTTATCGCCTTTTTTAACATTTGGACATGGTCTGGCGATAGTATTAGTAGGGTCCAAGCTAATACCGCGAGCTGGACAACACCGTCCCAAAAACCAACATTTTCCAACAAAAAAACATCAGATTTCACCTTCAAAACGGCCTCCAAATTACTAGATATGCCACCTGAGATACAAGTAGACATCGATGATTAAGATGGTTGTACTGAAGTTTACTTACGATCCGGAAAAAAAGTGAAATTTTCCGTTCATTTCGGAGAGCTCCCCTCGCGATCTTGAACACGTTAAATTTGCGATCGTGTTTAATGTTTGAACGACGCGATTTCTTCTTCATGCCCAGCGTACATTCGATGGTCCCTGTATCCCGAGTTCGATTCCGTTACCAGCTGAACACTCCATTATTTAGCTAGAGGGATGTTACAAAAAGCATGAAGTGAACTTGTTGAACAAAATCGGGATTTTTTGACCGAAATATTATATTTTTTTGACCGAAAAGGTATTTATGAATGGGAATAAATGTGTGCTCGGTCGGTATTAATCACTCTGTTTAAGACCCAGGGGTGTGAAATCTCAGCTTTTTTTTGTTTTGGACTTCAGCTTTTTTTCAGCTTTTTCCCTCACTTGCTGTGTACAAAAGTATAGGAGATTTCCAAAGTTCAGTTTCTTTACACTTTTTTCAGCTATTTTTATAAGTGGTCACTCACACCCCTGAAGACTGCTTAGAGTCTGGGTGCTGATAATTACCCTCGCCTCCGGCTCGGGTAATTATCAGCACCCAGACTTTAAGCGGTCTTAAACAGAGTGATTAAAACCTCTCAAGCACACATTTATTCCCTTAATAATATCTCCCTTTTATTATTTTTGAACAGGCTGCAATATGGCAGTGTTTGAACCATTATGCCTACTCTGATGCAATCTTCCTAGCGGAGCGTCTCCATGCCGAAGGTAGGTATCTCATTCGAGAATTTCAAGAATTTGATCAAGGAATGGATAAGTGAGTGTCTTTGCATAGTAGCATGCAGATCATCTCGTGACAATCGTATTGACATGATTGCTGGCTGAAACGGAGCACACTTTTTGCTGTCAACTTGCCCTCAACTCCTTTAAGACACACTCTTCACCTAACAAAAGAGGCACAGCGCTGTACTATATGAGCTTAAGGAGAATTTTGATTTTGTTCATGACAACGGACTTTTCTTCATGCGAAAATTGATCTCTTAGCAGCATGGCAGTTGGCGGCCATCTTGACGCGAACTGGATGTGATAACACACACTGGCTGTTTTTATACACAGGCACTGCTGACAGGTTAAAACGTCAAGATTGCCTTGACTCGCCTCTGGGTGACGTCTAAACACACTAATAAGTCCGTGAAGTCTGTGGAGGTGGACCGCGTGTTGATCTTGAATTGGCCATTGTGCACGGCCTATTGTTCTACAATTTACGCTCCATTGCACAACCGGGAGTATTGAAACATCTGAGGTGTCGGCAAGAAATGTCGTACAAATACTGTTGAAATTACTCTTGTGAATCTATAATAGAATTTCCCTCGTTTCTTTTTTCCACAGTTGGATCTGATGAGGCGCTGTTCCTACTGGCGACGTGCTACTACCGGGCTGGCAAAGGCAACAGGGCCTACTCACTACTACAGATGAAAGGATGCCCGACTCCGCAATGCCGCTACCTCATGGCAAGATGCTGCCTGGATTTAGACAAGTAATACTCTTAGTGCTTGTCCTTTCTAAAATGCTGTCAAATTAAGAAAAAAAAACCAGTTTTGCTAATGTTGCTAGCATCGTGACTTTGGGTGTGATCCCTGGCTACATGGCATATACGGGTTTATGACTTCTGACTAGCACCCCTTGAACAAAGACATTGACAAAGTGTCTTCCAACATAGGGCTGGATAGATCAGTTGGTAGAGCACCGTAATGGTAATTTGGGGGTTGCAGGTTCAAACTCTGTTCCATTCATTTTCTTTGTTCAACTTGAAAAATAACAAACTTAACCCTTCAAGTTTTGCAAAACCCCTTATGGCGATAAAGTTAGCACCCACTCTTCAAATTCCTGTGAGGTAATCTTCTGTAGAGAGTATGGATAACACTTCAAATCCCTGCTCAATTCTTGTGTGTGGCTGAGCTCAGGGCAAGCAGGCAGATTGGGTCACGCTTCACTGCTCTCCATAGTGCTGTTTTTGTGTGTGCAGTGATTCTCTGTGTCACACAGTTACTTTTACACCTCATATCCCTTCACCTGAAACTGACCTGCAGGGTTTTAAAGCGTTTTACATACTGCTCTGAATGTTGTCTTCCCAATAGGATCAGGAGGGTTAATTTAATGTGTTCCTGATCCTAATTTTGTTATCCGACCTGCCTCGCATTTATTCTCATCTCTCCATCTTTCCTTCTATCAGATTGGCGGAGGGAGAGGCAGCCCTGGTCGGCAGTGCTACGCTCAAGCCTCACTCTTGCGAGGAGATCAAGACAGAGTTTGCCGACGCCGCCTCCTTTGCGTTAGCGCTCTTGGCCAGAATATGCAGGTAAAACACATCATTAATAGTGCATGGACTCATTCAGCGACCCCAATTGGGAGCAATAAGAGCCCATCTCAATTCATATCCAATATTTAACAACTCCAAAAGTATGTACCCAGAGGCATGCTAATAGTGCAATCCCTTACATGGTCAAACTACTGAACGAGAATCGTACTTAAATGTTTAATGAGTGAATAATTAATTGTCCAATAACAGCAACAATCAATAACGGATTTTACGGCATTGATTAGTTAGTTAGTTTGTTTGTTTTTCTATACCCCCTTTATTAACCTTATTCATGGCTTTTTTGTCTCTGGCTATCTTTTAAGTACTGGGTATGTTTTTAAAACGTATTTTTAATAGTGTAATTCCATTCATGGTCCAACTACTGAAGAAATACTCTCTTTAACAATTCATCACTCCACCTCTGTAAGTTTGTGCAAGAAGGTTTGTGTCCGGTGTATTTTGTCTATACTCCCCATTATTTTTTTTAACTTGTTGCATGTTTTGTCTTTGGCAACCTTTTAAATTCTTGTGTACATGTGTAATATTTTTGAAATTGTGCAATGACTCTGTCCATGTTTAATCTATGTATTTTTTTTTTTTTTTTTTTTAATGAAGCTCAACTTTTTTAGACTGCATTGATTAGTTAGTTAGTTTGAGTTTTTTTTCTATACCTCCTATATTAACCTTATTCATGGATTTGTTGTCTCTGGCTATCTTTTAAGTACTGGGTATGTTTTTTAAACGTATTTTTAACAGTGTAATTCCATTCATGGTCTAACTACTGAAGAAATACTCTCTATAACAATTCATCACTCCACCTCTGTAAGTTTGTGCAAGAAGGTTTGTGTCCGGTGTATTCTGTCTACACTCCCCATTATTTATGTTTTTTAACTCGTTGCATGTTTTGTCTTTGGCAGCCTTTCTAATTCTTGTGTACATGTGTAATATTTTTGAAATTGTACAATGACTTTGTCCATGTTTAATCTATATTCATAAATACCTCAGACAGTTTAGCCATTCCTATTGGTCGAGAGCCCGTCACGTGGCCGGTATTAAACGGATGATAAAGACATGGCTAGCTGGTCTTAAACACTTTTCCAGTGTCACAATAAAATGTGGACTCCTAAAAATCCAGTGCCTCTTATCGTTTAATTGGTTGAACGTTCACAATCCTCACGTAGGCATGCGCAACACTACCAGGGAGTTAGAATTTTATGGTTCTAAATTCAAAACGCAACGCGCCAGGTGCGTTCTGCGCGACATCGCATAGAACATCATACGCGCGCGTCAATCTCCATAAAAGGGTTGTTTTCATCTTACTCGCCAGCTGAACACTCCATTATTTTGCAGGAGGGATGATTCAAAAAGCATAAAGTGAATTTGTTGAACAAAATCGGGATGTTTTGCACGAATTATATGATTTTTTTTTACCGAAAAGGTATTTATGAATGGGAATAAATATGTATTCCGTCGGTATTTATCACTCTGTTTAATACCACTTAGAGTCTGGGTGCTGATAATTACCCTCGCCTCCGGCTCGGGTAATTATCAGCACCCAGACTCTAAGTGGTATTAAACAGAGTGATAAAAACCTCCGGAGCACACATTTATTCCCTTATTAATTTTTTATTTTTTTTTTTTATTTTTTTAATGAAGCTTAACTTTTTATTGTTAACTTTTTTTACTCATTGTGAATTCAATGCAATTTTGCCTCTGGCAACTAATTTGAATTTTTAATAAACCATGAATAATATAATAATAATAATAATAATAATAATATCCGGGATGAGTTCCGGACAAGTTGCGGTCATAGCATTGGGTATAATTTGCAGGATTCTAAACAACTTCCCTGCAATGTTCCCACAATGAAGTTATTGGTATTGGTGAGTCGAGCAGTTGCTAGTGAAAATTTTCCCGGAACATGTCTGGGACAAATGCAGAGCTACTTCCGGACAAAGTCGATGATTCTACCCACAACTTGTCCGGGACTCGCCCCGGATATGAGTTGAGACACGCCCTAACTGAGGCGGTACCACTTTTACGTGCAGGTGGTTCACATGCACGCAATGCACCTCGACATTTTTATTTAAATTTTAATTTTAGTTAGTCCCTGTTTGCAATTGGTTACACACCCTTGAACGAGTGACAAATTCCCTGACGTTTATAAATTGCTCTGTTTCGTCTGAAGTAGGGTAAGGGAACCAGACTACAAGAACGGCATTTTTTTCTTGGTTTTTCCAGCATCTATAAACACAAAACTTTAAACATAAAATACTTGCCCCAAATTCATCCATTTCTGAAAATTTCAGCAAAAGCAAATGTATATGTGAGGACGTTCAGGCAGAGTTAGATGGAACTGGGCGTAGGCATTAGTGGTTAGAAATGCCTCCCAAAAAACGAATGGGGGTAATGTTTTTCTAATTTTCAGATTTATTGATATTTGTAATCTTTGATGTGTCTACTACACATATTTAATAGAAATATTATAAAAGTCGTGGAATAAAAGTGTTTTCAAGGAAAAACAATTGCCACGTTTCATTTTTACGAATGCAAAACTCAAAACTTTAAAGGACTTTTTCTCAGTATTTTATTTTTTTGACATGTCAATAAATGCGAACTTTAAACAGCCATAGCTTGTCAATGGAATGTCCGATTTAAGTGCAACAAACAGTATTGTAAGGAGCATTGTATTCTCTTTCCTAATCCCTGCAAACCCTCATTTCAACCTCTGTCCAGTTCTGTCTCATTTTGCCAGAACACCTAACATATTACAGTACCAGTTAAGAAGTTACACTAGAGTCATAGTTTAGACTTTATACTTATAGTGTCATCTTGAAGATCAACGTTGTATTTGTTTATTTTTTGTTGGACCCATTATAGTAAAACCGAGAGGAAGTCACGGGCGTCAGAATCACTCCGGCAGAGTCTTAAGCTGAACCCCTTCCTCTGGTCATCCTTCGCAGACCTCTGTAATCTCGGTAAGTTTGTTGATGCAAGTTGGTTGACGCAAGTTTGTTGACGCAAGTTTGTTGACGCATGAAAGTTTTAGAGTGGCACCTCCAGCAACTTCGCTGATGGTCACTACTGTTGCATACTTTTTTCTTGTTTTACTTTACATCGACCAATAAAAGAAGGGCCTTTGCTTCATGAATATGTATGCGGTGTAATAAAAACAGATGTCATCCTTACATCAGTAATCTCAGTCACACACACTTCCTTGCATGTACCACTATACTGCTCTTCTACTCAATGTTTCAATCCTTTAAAAATCCTCTGACTCGCTTCTAAGACATTAAAGCAGCGGGGATGATATCTAGTGTAAATGTAGGCCTACATTTATCCATAGCCATGAATGAAGAACACAAGGCACAGCATAAGAACGTGACACACTGCATCTTTTAACCCTCATACTGTTTGAACAGTCACAGACAGTAAAAAATTCCATCCACTTCCCCTGCCATGCCTTTTACACAGGCTAGTCACCAACAGTCAGATCATATTGTAGGCAAGCACTCTGACTAGTCAAATTCAGTCAACAGACAAATCTGGCAGGAAGTAGGCACAGTTGGCTTATCAATCACCTACAGTCAAAGCATAGCTGCATAAAGTTACGTAAACAGTCACAGCCAGTCAGTCCTGCTTTATGTAGGCCAGGAGCTCTTAACTATTAAAAACAGTCACTTGATTGATTTTGACTGAAAGGACAACTTGACACAGAGTGCATTTTTGCATAGGAGGGTTAAAATCAACCAATACCTCTAATGCATGCAGCCGCAATTCTCCAAAATCCTCCGAAAGTGGTTGATTTTGGAGGATTGAGGAAGGTTAGGGTTAATCACCTGATCATTGTTTTTCTTGTTTTTCTGTTGGCTTGAGTAGGGGAGAAGCCAGACCCAAGCAAAGTGTTCCAGATGGCGTCGGTGCCGGACCTACCCACACCACAGCAAGACCTGTACCCCATCATAGACACTGAGAACATGTCGGTCAACCATCAGCAGCCTCCCACGTCAGACTCGCCCACCATTCTGGACACGCCGCAGGTGAGAACTTGGTGGCAGGCCAAAAAAAAACCCACCAAGACTGGAATTGGATTCAGGCCCACTATTGCAGTCGGCGTCTCAGTTTTAACAGAAATAACACTTAAACAGATGACAAAGTTGTCTTCCATAGAGGGTCCGTCACTCACGTTCAGTGGTTCCATAATTTTATAAATCCGTCGAATATAGTGCAGCTACCGATCGTGAGACCGTAACTCTCTTTTTAAGGAACTGATAATTTCTATAAAAAAAATATTTGGGAGTTTTAACAGGTAAAAAATGCAATGCAAAATGAAGGAGTTTTGCAGATTGTCATTGAATAATATAATAATGTATGTTTTGAATATGACTAACAAAACTGCTTTGATAACTCATACAAAGACAAAAATATTAAAATAAAAAATGTCAATTTAAATTAAAAAAAAAAGGTTTACATTTTTACATTAATTAATAAAATCTGATTTTTTTAGATTAAAAAAAAAATCATGATTTTTAACAACCCTGCTTATTGCCTGTTTACAACAGCTCCTTGTGAACGATGCGAATTTCTTTTCCGTAGGTGGGTTGAATGTCATGAATAATTCAGTTTCGATCGGGCCAGTATGTTTATTCATGAAACAGAACAATGATATCAAGAGCATTGTTGTTATTTAGTCAACCAGTTACCTTAAAATAATAATAATAATAACAGGTTCTTATATAGCGCTTTTTAACTAAGATCAAAGCACTGTAAATTATTATTACTCCTAATCATTGGGCCAATTAAACATTCCATATACCATCTCAGCTCCCTGGGGAGTATACAGCTCGATGCTGCCTGTTAGGCGCAAGGAAGCTAATTCAACCACAATAACCATCACTGCCCTCATAGGTACCCATTTACTCCTGGGTGGGGAGAAGCAATGAGTGACAAAGTGCCTTGCCCAAGGGCACACGCACCATGACCCCGTCAGGACTCGAACCCACAACCTGCAGCTTTACCCACAGACCACGAATCAGTGCCCTTAACCACGAGGCCACAGCACTCCACTAAAAAAGCATTTCAAAGTACGGACGTCGTCGAGCTACCACAGTAGCCTAGTGGATAGCGTGATGAGCTATGGATACCAAGATCCCTGGTTCGAATCCACGCTGCGCTGCTCATTTTCAGCGACTATTTTCCTTCTCCAAATTTATCGTTCAAAAAAAGAGAACGAGAACCTAAGTGTCTTGCAACGATTCAAAGGAAAACTGAATTATGCATGACATTTGAGCAACCCACCTACGAAAAAAAAAATTCGGTGAGGGACACCCTGTTTGCGCGCACTGAAGACAGTTGGTTCGTGTGTGAATAGCGTGAAGTACGCGAGTGGTAGGCATACAACGCCATTATGTATAAGTATCTCTCCCATTGTCATGTCAACTCACGCCTTGTAAGCGTTGCGGGATGATTGTGCATGATTGAGTCCACAGCTCTGTGAATTCACCTCATGTAACACCCTGCCCTCACCCCAATCTGTACAGGACAACTCCAACTTCAATGTACAGCTCTCGGGGATCAAGCCCCTCTCCAACGTCTTCACCCCGGACCAGCAGCAGGCTGACCTCCACCACTCACCGATGGACACAGGTCTCTGCTTGCTGCTACCCCCGCCTGCCCCCACCGGGCCCATCAGCTCCGCCAGGTTCCAGAGAACCAGACCCCGGGTCGGCAGGAATCTCCTGGGAGGGCCGGTCTCTGTCAGCCCCCTCACGCCCAGGTCAGTTGCAGCAGGGTTCCCATAGTCATGGAAAAATCCTGGACAGTCCTGGAATATAGAGGCATATAGAATCATTTGCATTACCCAAATAGCAGGCATGCAACTTTTCCTCGGATCCGCTGATTTCCTCCTATTTCACTTTTCATGAATGCCATTACAAATTGAAAAATGCTGTACAAAGTCTTGTGTGGTTTGGAGATTCCTTGTTTTTCCTAAATTCCCAGTTGCATGCCTGAAATAGGCCTGGGCGAGTAGTGGATTTTTCTACTCTGAGTACTCGCAAAGAAATTACTCGCCAGTAGTCGAGTACTCGCGAGTAGTTAACTGAATTCCCATAAAAGCAGAAAAATAACATGTACGTTAGTATGACGGGAAATAGCTACAAGCAAATAGTGTGCAAGTCACAAAACATTCTTCGGCACGGAGATATTCTTACTGTGCGACGTTTTGGGTTATTTACTGGAATTGTTTTGTTTTTTTGACGAATTGATTCCTAGAGAGAGAGAGGTGGAGGGAGTCATTCCCTGTTTGCGGTTAAGCAATGAACCCTAAACCGTAAAGTGCTGCTCATGAGTACGTGCTTCTACTCGCGTCAGAATGAGTACTTGAGTAGATGAAAAACCAGTACTCGAGTAATCGAGTTACTCGCCCAGCGGTATACCCAAAGTAACCTACCGAGTTGTTATCAAAAATGTTTTTACTTCGTTAAAGATCGTACTGGTACTAAACACCCGTGAACATGGGCGTCGCGAGGGGGGGGCAAGGGGGGCACTTGCCCCCCCCTGGAAAAGCAAAAAAAAAAAGAAAAAAAAAAGGAAGAAAAAAAAAAAAGAAAAAAAAGAAGAAAAAAAAGAGGCGCGAAGACAAAGTGGTGTAAATTTAATGAGTTGGGGGGGGGGCAAAATGTCCCTGCCCCCCTCTAAAACTGATAAATCCAGAATGTGTTGAGAAATACAAGCATTTTTTGGCAAAAAAAAAAATTTGCCCCCCTCTAAAAAAAATCCTGGCGACGCCCATGCCCGTGAAATTATTCCATCTGACTTGCTGTGATTTGGAAGAAATCAAGAAATGTAGGTTGTTTCCAACAATCAGTCAGTTGACCGATTTTTGGAAATAAAAGAGTGCTATCTATGTGATCAAAATGGTCGTGCATGGTGTTTTGATGTTTTCTCGAAAAGTGTAGCCTGGCTTTCAGTTTGAAAATTCCCCACAAATGACATTCAAAACCTGTTTTTTTTTCCATCGTGTAGCCCTAGTTTAGCGTGTGTTCACTGTGGTGTTTCTTGTTTTGTTTTTATTCTAACCAAATAGTTTTGGGGTGTTACCTGTTGACACTCCGAGCCCTGGGGAGACCATGAGCACCGCCTACATCACACCGTCCCCAACCATGTTGGACAGCCAGGCAGTTGACATTAGGGCACCTCAGAAACGGGTACGTCTACCTTTCCAATAAACCACAAAGGGACACTGACTAGGTGTATTGTAATATTTTTTTAACCCCAACTCCCTGGGCCTTTTTGCTAGGATGTAGCCTCAATCCTGCACAATCCTCCAATTGGCCTCATGGAAAAATAGCATTAGCCTCAATCCTGCAAATTCCTCCATTATTTCTTGAATATGGTAAAATCCTGTCTGAATCCTGCAAAATCCTGTGGCAGTGACTGTCAACATGTTGAGGCTTGGCCAGTGACATCCTGGAGCAGTACGGAGGATTTCAAGCATAATCCAGGCCTATATTTATGAATGGCTGAGCAAAAACAACACAAGGTCCGGCCCAAGACCTTGACAAAGTGCATCCTATGAAATCAGTAACGCACTTTTGCCATGTAACCTCAATCCTCCAAATTCCTCCACTTTGGCAAAGAGGATTTTGAAGGATTCAGGGCAGTTAGGGTGAATAGTTGTGTATTCAAAATCTCATAAAAACCTACCAAGACATTATAAGGTGATCGCTTCAATAAAATGATAATTTCAAATCAAACAAAATTGGAAGTGAAAGCATTACGAGTCTATGCTGATTCACGTTGGACTAATAGTGCCTTGTTGCATTGGATGAGTTTGTAGAACGCTGTGGTTCCATGATTACGGTGCTGGACTCCTGCATGGGCATCGCCAGGATTTTTTCCAGGGAGAGCAAAGCACATTTTTATTTCCGAGTTTTTTTCACTTTTTCAACATATTCTCAATTTATCATTTTCCGAGCGTGGGCAGGGGAACATAGCCCTACCCCCCATCAAATTCACAACAATTATTGCTTCGCACCTCGTTTTCCTTTCTTTTTTCCCCCTTCCCCCTCCCCTTTTCCGGGGGGGGGGGGGGGGGGGGGGGGGCGCCAAGTGCCCTCCTTGCTCCCCCCCTCGCGACACCCACGGACTCGTGTGTGATGTAACTAGGGTTTGATCCCTGACAGGGAAACATGGTATGGCGCTATTCTAAAGATGAGCGCACCATTCCTGCTACATGCACATGAAATAGGATAACTGCTGAAGACTTTGTGTACGGCATGCATATTCCATCTTTACTGTGCGTCAAATTTGCCTGGAGATAAACTTTGGCCTCGTGGCATACGGGACACTGACACACTACATTATTTTGTGATCCGTTCTCACGGGTTGGATAAGTAATAATATAAACATCACATTATTGGGTTTTTTTCTGTGTCTATTCAGGGTATATCAAGGAGATCACAGCTCACTAAGCCAGCTGTCTTCAGCCAATCAGGCAACTCCAGTAACACCAACACCAAGGAACCAAGTTCGATGCTGCTCAACCAGAACTCCAGCCCACAACCCAGGTGATACAACTGACCCAAATCATGGGCTCCCCCCCTCTCTGCCTGTTAATCCCTGCCAAAACATACAAACACACAACTTAAAGGGAATATACAACATTTGCAAACATCGAAAAATAAAACTACCAAGTTTTTACGGAATACCTTACTAGGATGTTGGTAAATGCCAGCCTAAAGCATCCTTTAAAATTATGGCACCTGGTGTCAAGTCATTTTCAAGAAAATTGTATTTTTGTATACATTTCCAACGGTGGTTGGCCGACCACCGTTGGAAAAACCTAACTATTTTTCAACTACTGCTCCAAATTTAAAAAAAATTTCAGTCCAAATGTAGTTTGCTATTGGTTACATGTTCATGAATGGGTGCAGGCCAGCTAGACTGGTTTCCTTACCTTACAATTTTCTGACATCTATAAATTGATTCATTTTATCTTTAGTGGAGTCAGGGAACCAGACTACTGAAACATTTTTGTTTTTCTTGGTTGTTCAAGCATTTTCGAACACAAAACTTCAAACATGTCAGTTAAACAATATTTGATCTATTATACTAACCCCTCAAATAGTTCATTTCTGAAAATTGCAGCAAAAGCCAATGATGTATATTCCCTTTAACACTAACCCCAACAGGTTTTCTCTAGGCACCCTGCCAAGTGCAACAAAATGCAACTTGGCTGAAATAAAAACCCTGCTAAAATGCAACAAACAGTGGATTCTGTTGCATTGTGCAGTGAACCCAGTGCATACCACTGCCAGCCTTGGCACCAAACAGTTACCTGCTAAATGCAACCAAATGTAATAGTGGATTCTATTGTTTTGCCTTGGCACTATTAGCAGTTGCCCTGCTAAATGCAACAAAAATGCAACAAGCACAGGGACTTGAGTTGGCTGCTAAATGCAACAGTATGCAACATTTTTTTTTTACCTTTGTTGCTTTCTGTTGCACTTAGCAGGGTTAAGGTTACAAAAAAATTAGATGTGTTTAAGAGCATGGGTGGAGCGTTTTAAGTCATTGGTGAAGTTGACTTTGGTGGGTATTATATCAACTTCTACTCTTGTCTTGCAGTGCGGCTCAGGTCTTGTTCCCAACTACCCAGGGAGTGCGGAGGAGCTCTAGACTATTCTCCAACAATTCAGTCAAGGTAAGGAGCCAGGCCGTGCTCAAAGTGAAGACTGGTATCAAACAGCCTGTGAAATTGTTCCTCCTGAACTGTAAGATGTAATATAAATATTCATAATATGAATATTCATACGTTGTGTACAAAGTCAAGAGCAGATCATTCTAGTCTGTATTTGGTACCGACTTGATCTCAAGTCTGAAGTCAGCCTCGACTCCATGGGTGCGTGCGCGTTCCTTCACTAACCCCTGGCTGTGATGTACATGTAAACGATATGCTGACTAGCTATTCAGAACACACTGCGCTCGTATTTGAAAGACTGCACGCCCCATAATGTGCTCGCGTGCTTTGCACATCACGTCACGTACAAACTTCTTTTTTTTTCAAAACTGCGCGATGCCTGTACGATATGGATTATGGCAGCCTCATTTGTCACCCCAAATAACCTGTGTCTTTTGTTGTAAAAGGACGAAAGAGGTACGTACATTTAAAGGGAATATACATCATTTGCTTTTGCTGTAATTTTCAGAAATGGATGGAATTGGGGGTTGGAAATATATAGCAAATATAGTTACACTGACTTTTTTGAGGTTTTGGGTTCGAAAATGCTATAAAAACCAAGAAAAACAATCATTTTCCTGTAGTCTGGTTCCCTGACTCCATATAAGAAGAAACAGGGCAGTTTACATACATTGGGGAATTGTAAGGTCAGGGAACCAGTCTAGCTGGCTTGTACCCGTTCATAGGTGTGTATTCGATTGCAAACAAGTGCGATGGTCAATTGAGGCCAGTATTTGAAAAAAAAGCCAGTTTTTTTCCAACGCTGGTCAGCCGACCAGCGTTGGAAATTGATACAAAAATAGCACTTTTCTTGAAAATGACAGTATACCAGGTGCCATGATTTTACAGGATGCTTTACACTATCATTCTCTAACAGCATAGCTGCCAACTGTTACTAATTTTTCATAATTATTACGAATTGTTTGTTAAATTACGAAAATACGATTTGCCACTAAAACATTACGAATTTCCCATTTTCTACCTAATAGAAAAAAAAAATACTTGTAAAGTATCATTTTTGACCGAAAACTTCTGGCGAAATGTCGCGATAATGGATGGACTGGTGACAAGTCTAATAAGAATGCAGTCAAGCACCTGATAGACATCAATGCAGTGTGCGCAGTGGAGTACTTGAGGACCAGACTAAAACTATTTTTCAATGGTGTGTCGTTTGTGTGCATCTCGTGGATGTGTGGTTGTGTGTACTGTATGTGAGTACTTTTCAGTGACGATTGTGAGCACATTTGGTCGCTTTTTGCCGGGTTGAGACCCATCAGTGCGACAATTTAATCATGGAATTTAATAAGAGTATGGTTGGAATAATTGGTATTACAGTTTGAGTTTGTCACAACGTCCAGAAAAGATAAATCAGCATGCGTTTGCAAGGTATGTTGGCGGGATATTTCTATTGCATACGGTCATGACGGTGGCCCTAAATCATTGTGTGTAAAAACATTGATACGAACTCGAAACTCCACATCGATAGCATGCATCTCCAAAAAAATATGCGCATATTTTATTATTGTTATTATTTATTTGACTCCAACAAACAAATACAGACATTAAAAAAAAATTAATTAAAAAAAAAAAAAAAAAAAAAAAAAAAAAAAAAAAAAAAAAAAATTATCCTTTGGCCTACATTACATTATTATTCACAAGAAGAAGGGTATGCACATGAATGTGTACATGTAAACCATGTACCTGTACTCGATGTTGGTAAAGCTTTTGATAAAACGAGCAGTTGAAAATGACCGCGCGGGTTGATTACTAATTGGGATTTTGAAATGTTGGCAGCTATGTAACAGTCCAGCAAGGTATTTCAAAATGGCGTCGCATTTCTAATTTAATTTTGTCATATTTTGACACATTTAAATTAGACAAATCCAGGGGTTAAGCTCGTGCAAGGCAAAATGGGAAACAACATGGCGTAGCAAGATCGTATCCATGGAAACGAGGTTGGTCTTAAGTAGCCACTGATGCGACATTTTCATCGGAGACCGACATTTTTGATAACACTACTGCGTACATTATGAGATACAAGGGAAAGCCGATAACATAACTAAAATGAACATGTACCTTTCTTATCTAATAAGTTTTTGGGTTTTTTTCTCAACATAAAGGAAAATGCTACCAAGAAAACCACGACACGAAGCAAGATCGGCTCACCTCGATGCCCCAAGGGCAAGACGAAAGGTAAAAGCAGCCGGGCGTCCACCATCACGCAGCCCCCGGACTCGGAGGACTTGATCAAACCGGACAATTACAGGACGTTGGAGTCTAAGGCAGCCTACGCCGCCGCCTCGCAGCAGCAACAGCTGATGAACTTCCAGAAAGCCTCCACTGGTAAGCCCTTGGTTTTTGGGTCAATCCCTAGCATTTCAGAGTTGTCCAAACCAAAAAAGTGTGTTTTGAGCAATGAGTCAACCAAAATATAATTTGGTTTCATAGAGGCGAACTTTATTTACTAATTTTTCATTGAATGGTATGTGGGTTTGCATCCGACTGGGAACATGGTGTTTGTGTTCTTGGGCAAGACACTTTACTACAATTGCCTCTCTCCAACCAGTATAAATGGGTACCTGTGAGGGTAGAATTGTGGGAAAGGGTTGGCCCATTGCCAAACAGAGCGTGGGAAACATGACAAACATGTATATCGTCATGGCTACGAAATTCTACCACCAATGAGAAGACCCGATGCCAACATCCGAGCAAAACTGTTTCAGTCGACATGGCTGATAGGTCATAAAAAGCGGCACAGCTAGGACCGCCCAAAACTCATCACGGTTGAAATTCATGCGGATTTCTCAAACACTTCCATCATAGCAACATAATTGTCAAGGAAACCAGTGACGTGCAGTGAAGGCCCTCGTAAATATTCATGAGTCAGTTTCTACCAAAAAGTCTTCCATAATGATATTGGCCCGGTGATTTAAGTTCATCTACTCGTGCTCTTTTGTCTGCACTAGATATTGGTGTACTCCTAAAACTGTGCAATAGGCCAACACGACCAAGTGGTTTTCTTGTGCATAGTCATTTTCTACCCTCTGAAAATTAGTTTTTATTCTTTTAAATTTTTTTTAGCTCCCATTAAAAAAAATTGCTCGGCCGCAGTAAAACAAACTTTGTCATTCGTTGATTTCGATGTCACATTCAGAAGTGAATGACACCATATTATTTCATAAAGAACACAATATATATTTTTAAAAGAATAGAGACTAACTTTATGCTGTATTTTCTAAAGATACTACATGTACGTTGTTTAGTTTTCAATATTTCTTACATATTCATTACACGATAGAGCAAGGAACATGATTAGCCTACACTCATCATTTTTCTTACATTCTAGATTGCGGAAATGAACTCTCTTATACCTCGCACAGTCAAATTAAATTTATGAAAATGACAATGCATAATTATGGAACTTCGGTAGGATAATTATTATTTTGGGGGTGTGGGGCATTAATTCTTCGAATGCTTTATTACTCCACATTAATTACAAATAATTATAATATAATGAATACCGAAGGGTCTCTTGATGAAGTCTAAATATTTTTGAACAACATTTCATATCATTGCCATGACGTGGTAACTTGTGATGGTCTCCCCGTCTCGTCAAGTAAATGGTTGCTTCTTGAGTACCTACTCAGAAATCGACAAGGAAATGTTAATACACATGTATATTATAGATATTAGGCCAAGCAAATTTTTAATACATAGCAGAATGTTTGATGTCCAAGGAATCCTCATTTAATTAACAATAAGTTGATTTTTAAGTCAGGTTTGTACCAATCATAACAACAAAGTTGTGATTTTATTCCCTGGACCTTTATTCTGTCCGGACGCGCGGAGAAAACACCGCGATGCGGCCAGACACAATGCCACACAGCCCACCGCTCGCTACGCGTTTGGCACGGTCAAAGTATAGTTCAGATCCCGCTCCACACTGCACAACACAGCAACAGGGATAATACGTGCACATTACCACGTGTCAAACAAGTCTGACAACGGCCGATCCCGCTCCACACAAAGGTAGTAGACTATCAGTCTGGTTCCAACTCTCGCGACCGTTGTCAGCCACAATTTGCTCGTTTCGCCTCTGTTGTACCATGGAGTTATTTCTACGTGGTTACTTGTACTTGTGCCTCTCTATTATTACAATCGAAACCGTCGGATCGAACACGTACGTATTGTACGAAAACTGGCGTTAAACCACCATGTTTTTTTTCGAATAATACCAGAAAAAATTACTTGCTGAAAAGGCTTATACTAGGCCCCCCTTCATTTTTGGATTTTGCATTTGACCATTTTTTGTTTAGAAGTCGGTATCGTAATGTTTTTTTCCCATCCAAACCAAGATAATTTCGTGGGGTCGCTTTTTTTAGCGCTTTTAAAAGGGGCCGTCGCGCAGTTGACTAAACCAAAAGTATTTTTTTTATATTGTGACAAATGTTTTTACTTATTAACTCCTCTCGTTGTTAAGGTTCTGGTAAGAGAATTCGTGAATGCCGGTGAAAAAAAAATCGTGAATAAGGCCGGTCTCACTAGCGCGAAAGCCAACGCCAATTTTTGGCGCATATTTAATTTAGTTTGCAGGGTGAGCAAAATGAAGACGTAATTTTGACTTCGCTTTGCGTGAGTTAGGTTGAACCGTTGAACCCGTATACAATACATGTACATTACCGCACAAGTATAATACTAGTCACATCACATTCCTTCATGTGCTCACGAGGCGAGGCTCACAACATGGCTAAGTAGTTGCGGTTTTGCAGGTCGGTATTCTGCAGACTGACCGGCCATTCATATTTAAATGATCTCTCTGGCACTGAGCCTGGCCCGGCGGGTCTGCAGAAGATCGGGCATATTCATACCTTTTGTTATTTAAATGAAGCGTTCTGGCCCGTGCCAGGACGGGTTGTCAAGGGCTCTTTTGTTAAAAAAGTCTGCAGGATCCTTCAGAAAGAACGGGGTACCGACGATCATTCATTATCGAGATGGGGCCTAACAGACATTACATGCTGAAATCAACTTCACACATGTTATAATAGAAACATACTAAATCGTGGCATTCTAAGTTCTGTTTATTATTTTTAGCTGCAAATAGCAGCTCTACAAGTACTCATGTCTCCGTCAGTCCGTAGGTTAGATAGTTAGTTAGTTAGTTACTTAGTAACAAACATTGACATTGTCTATTGCTCCTACATATTTTGACTGATTTCAACCAAACTTTGTCAAAGGTATCAGTAGCCCAGCCCCAACAATTCACATGACTATTAAAACTGGGGTAACAGGTCATCATGGGGTCAAGGTCAAAATAACGTCAAATTTCAAATAAGCTCAAATGACAAAAGTAGCACTGTCAACATGTTGACCTTAGTCAAACATTGAAAAAATGTCAGCATTGACCTCTTTGTCTGACCTACAGTTATGGGGGTCAATATGGGGTCAAAGGTCAAAAATAGGTCAAATTAAAAAAAAAAGCTCAAATAACAAAAGTAGCGCTGTCAACATGTAGGCCTTCGTCAATCATTCCAAAATGTTCGCGGTGACCTCTTCATCTGACCTACAGCTATGGGGTCATAGGTCAAAACATGATGAACACGCATTCGTTGGCCCCAATTTTAGCCCCAAGAAAACATTTTTTTGTAGCCCTCCCCTCCCCTCCCCCAAGTGCATTTTATCACATATTACCTCACTGGCTCACCACTCCAATGAAACCTCTTGTTGTCCACCCTAATTTGATAACCCATTCGAGGTTCTGATGCTTGTAGGTTTGAAGATTTCATAAATTTTCCCTTTTTCGGCAGTGTCCACTTTTGCGTGGAATTGCCCAAATGTGAAACTTTGAAGTTAACTAAACTTTGTTAACTATTTATCGTCTCTAGAGGGCCTGCTCGCGCTCCTACGAGAGATCGGCAAGGCCTACCTTGCGCTGAGCCAGTACGACAGCCGCAAGGCCATCACTTACTTCTCCAGCCTACCACCGCAGCACTACAACACGGGCTGGGTCTTATCTCAGGTGGGCCGGGCCCGGTACGAGCTGGCTGAATACCAGAAGGTAGGAAAGTCTTTCTTGTCTTTACTAATAAACTTCAAAGAAATTGACACATTTGCCAAAAAAATGTATTTTTACTGATTTAAGGAACAATACAAGTTATCTGAAGTAGATTGGGATTTTGGGATAGGCATCTTCATTTTCCTCAACACAAAAAAGGTTTCCACTAAAAGCCCTCCCTTTTAAAATAAGGGAGTAAATACGTGTTTGGCCAGTTGTAAGCAAGTACGTTTAAAACCGACTAGAAGCCTGGTCTTCCGCGACCAGGACCATCGCCGATTTTAAACCTTTTTTTTTTGAAAACCAGCCAAGCACATATTTATTTCCAAAGTCAAAATAAGTCAAAATCCACAAATTTCCAACGATTTTGTTCAACAACTTCACCTCATGTTTTGTGAAATACCCCTCTGGCCATGTCCATGGTATGCGCCTCGCACGCATAGTGCTACAAATTTCCTTGTATGGAAAAAAAATCCACCATTTAACCACCATGAGGAAATGCTGGTCATTGTTGTTTTCTTGAAAATAACAGCATACCATCACAGGATGCTTGATCTTTTTAGTTACTGAGGCCAAAAAAAAGTTTCTGGTATGCGCGCGTGTCGCCGTAGCCATGCGCGTCGGCAAAATGAAAAAGGTTTTTTTTCAATGAAAGATGATGTCTCTAAACTGCCAAACTCACTGGTTTGACTGGAATCCTGCTGCTGCACAATTTTAACGTGTTTTTAGATGGGGTTATGGTCGAGAATAAGCTTTATGTGGCCTCTCTGGACTCCCATATATTTGCACTAAGTTTAGTCGGGCACCATTTGCAGTCATCAGCCGACATTTGAAGCAAAAAAATCAGGAAAAAAAAAAAAAAAGCCGCGTCGCCGCACCATGTTTTGGGCAAGCTCCATACCAGAAACCGGAGACTTTTTTTTTTGGCCTTACAATCAAGAAGGATATTTCATAATATTTTGACAGTTGCGTTTTTGAGTGTTTGGAAATGTTGTCATAGCTTAATAATGAAAAGGTGCACTTTGTTTACCTCAAAGTGGTGGGTCACGAGATATCAACATAATTGCTTACGTCAAGTATTGGAAAACCTGTCTCTGTGCACCTGATGCAGCAGCCATTTTCGGCCTTGCCTAGACTTATTTTCAGCAGTGAGTACAGCCAGCAAATCAGGAGCCAAGCTGTGCATAAAATGTACACCAAGAACGCGACAGTTCACGTGGGAGTTCAGGTCCCAAAAAAACCTTCTCACTCAACCATCGTGTTTTCTTACCTTTTTAGGCAGAGCGGCTGTTCTCAGAGGTCCGTCGGCTGGAGCCATATCACCTAGAAGGCACGGAGTACTACTCCACGGCTCTCTGGCATCTACACAGGGAGGTGGCGCTGTCCACCTTAGCTCAGGAACTCAGCAATTTTGAGACGGAGTCGCCCGAGGTAAGAGGGGAATACAAATGCTGGAGTGTTTTGCAGTAAATATTTTTTAACAGTCAAGGGCTTTAACCTGCTAAAAGGATGGGAACAACATCGACAATAAAAAATGACCGTCGACAAAAAATGTGGCACCTGACAATGAAGAGCCAAACTTTACGATAAAATAGCATCACAGTTATGTGTGTACGTGCGTAGTATTTTTGTTTTCGAATATTCCAACTGGCAAAAGCTATTTGAATAATTGCTGGATAGGTATATTGGGGGCAGCTCTGCGCCTGACACTCGCGCCTGACACTCGCGCGAAGACTAAATATTTATTTATTTCTGGTATTAAAGCCAAGGATTCCTCAAAAATGCCATAGGCAGTGTAGCTCGTAAGCCTGGAGAAGCCTGTAGAGAGAAGCAATGAGAAGAAATAACAGTTCCAGAGGTGGGAGGAAAACCCAAGAAGAAAATTCTGGGGGGAAACCCACTGAATCAGGTCGGGACTGAAAACCCAATCCACATGTGGCCCAGGCAGCCTATTTTAGACAGGTTCCATTTAAAACAGCCTACCAGGCGTCTGAATATTACAATTCTTAAACTTGTTTAAAACCAATATCGTTTCCACAGCTTGTAAATACCTTTAGAATGTGGTAAATATACTTGATGTAATATTTGAGTTTTGTGCTGTTTGGCCATTTGGGCACTGTATTATTAAATTTTGTGGTAGCGAAATCAGTAGGTTTAAAGTTGTCAAAACGAAGCATGGTGTAATATTAAAGATACACCTTGTACTTGGGGGTGTAGAATCTGTAAGCACAGCAATGTACAGTAAACTCAGGCTAAACCGGCACTCTCGGGACCCGAGAATTTGTGACGTCTTACGCGAATGCCGATATATGCTAAATCGTCATTTTGCTGACTTACATGGATGGTCTTTTGCGCACATGATTCATTGCACTAATTGGCTTCGATTTACCCTGGATTATCTCCTAAGTGCTTTAGTTGAATCCAGCAAATTAATCCTCGAATTGTATCATCATGTTTGGGGTATTGATAGTGGAGACCATGATACATATGTACGTGCACAGTAACAAATTAAATGCGTGCATGGTTGGGTATATACCACGCACGCATTGACTGCAGCATGCAGTCGTCATTCAACAAGACGACCCCCAAAATGGACAGAGCGCATGCGTACAGCCTAGAGGAGGTACTGGTATTGATATGCTCACAATGCATGCATATATGCGATGTATGCAGCAATGATCCTATAGCGCCGCCTAGTGGTATGCAGTAGGACAAACTTTTTCGACACCGATGCATGCAGCGATCACTGGACAAAGGATTTTGTAATGCTTTTTATGGAAAGGGGACCGAGAGTAACATGACGACTTGAGCGAAATGGCGACTTATAAAAGCCGACTTAGAAATAAAAAATTCAATGGAAATGCATTACGGACAATCGGGGACTTTAGTCAGACGGCCGACTTGAGCGATTTGACGAGTTGTACGATGTCGGTTTAGCCGGAGTTTACTGTAGACAAGAGGACAATATAAAGTATGACATATTGTCGTTTAGAATCATGTCGTCTCCCTTTGGTTGTATTCAGGCCTGGTGTGCGACAGGCAACTGCTTCAGTCTACAGAAGGAACATGACATGGCCATCAAGTTCTTCCAGCGAGCAGTCCAGGTTCGTAGGATGAATCCAATGCAGATACTTGTATATTTTACACAGAACAAACAAATTGTAAAAGTATTTATAAGATCTCGGGGAAGTGTAAGTTAAACAGGAGGTCGTGAGTTTGAGTCCCACCCAGGTAAATGTGTTATTTATTTCTTGCAAGCCCCAAACAATACTGAGTATACATTATTTTTAAAATATTGAAAGAAGTGTGGTGACTCATGAATATGCATGAGGTGTAATCGTTTTGTTTCATTGGACTGGTAGATCCCCAGTTTGCCTACGCCATAAAGTTTGGAACTATTGACCAATGGAACTATTGACCAGTGAAAGAAGTGTGTTGGCTCATGAATATGCATGAGGTGTAATAGCATTAACTCATTTAACAGGTGGATCCCCAGTTTACCTATGCCAGAAAGTTTTAGAACTATTGACCAATGAAAGAAGTGTGGTGGCTCATGAATATGAATGAGGTGTAATAGCTTTATTTCATTTGACAGGTGGATCCCCAGTTTACCTATGCCATAAAGTTTTGGAACTATTGACCAATGAAAGAAGTGTGGTAGCTCATGAATATGCATGAGGTGTAATAGCTTTTTCATTTGACAGGTGGATCCCCAGTTTGCCTATGCCTACACGTTACTGGGTCACGAGTACGTCGCAACAGAGGAACTGGATAAGGCTATGTCCTGCTACCGTACAGCGATCAGGATAAACACTAGGCACTACAATGCATGGTAGGTCGCTTCTAATGGACATTTTGCATCTAAACGATGCAAATTGTAACTATTTCACGGTTCCAGCCACTCTGGAAATCAGGGGACACCTCGAAAATGAGTTTCCAGTTTTTCCAGTCAGGAAAAAGTGAGGGGAATTGGAGGGGTTAAAATACAAAAAATCTGGAAAAACTCAGGGAATTTGACAGTGACCCAGAAGAAAGGTTTTCGCCATTTCGGCGTATGTGCGTCTTTTGCCCTGTGTTTAAATTGTGTCCATTGACTGACTGACTCTGTTGCATAGGGTGAGGAAAGGATGGCTATAAGGGGAGAACGGAGGCCATCGCTTGTCGACAAGTTGCCTGTGTATTATCAGTATCTTAGTTGCTTTGCTGCAACCACCTCTTGACTTCCCAGCAACCTCGTTAAAAAGTACAAAATATTTCTCATGGATTTTGGGGAATTTCTTTGGGAAATATAAGGGAAAACTCGGGGAACTTTGTTTCATTGAATTGCTGGGAGCCCTGTATTTGCGGATACTGAACAAATGTATCTGCTGAAAGTAGCCCCAACTGGAGAGAACATCAAGTTTGTTCATTAACGTGATATGCTACTTCTGATAATAATAATGTGCTTACATGTATATAGCGCTTTTTTACTAACGGTCTCAAATCTCTTCACTATTATTACCCCTGTACACCAGGCCGTGAGACCATTTTTTTCTTCAGCAGCTCGAGATCCGCGCAATCTGATCTCTACCCTCACAGGTACTCATTTGTACTCCTGGGTGGAGAGTGGCAATTGTAGTAAAGTGTCTTGCCCAAGAACACAAGCGCCTTGCTCCCCGTCATGGTTAAACCCACGTACCGTGGCACATGAGTTGAGCACTGTTATCATTGGACCAGGGCACTCCACAATGCATTCACATTGCAACATGTGACTGAAATTATCTTATATGTTCAGATAAATGTTGTCAGTGTTTGATATTTGCCCATTTCGGAATGGGGTTCCATGTCGTGCTGAAGAAAAACTTAGTTTGAGCGACTCTCGTCAACCCATTAGACTTATGAGATTTTAAGGTTTGCATGGTGGAAAGATACTAAGACGAGATAAGTTTGCGGTAGCACCATGTGAATCAATCTCTTTTGTGTGTATGTGTGGTTCTTTTCAGAACCACACATACTCACATAAGAGATTTATTCACAGGGTGCTACCGCAAACTTATCTCGCAATTAGACTTAGGTTTCAGACAGGCAAATTTAATACATTAATTTCTCATTTGCAGGTATGGCGTTGGTATGATATACTACAAACAGGAGAAGTTTGCCCTAGCCGAGATGCATTACCGCAAAGCCCTGGCCATCAACCCCCAGAGCTCCGTCCTACTTTGTCACATAGGAGTGGTAAGTGAAGTACAGGCACCAGACTTGTTTTTTCTTTTTTTCATCCCTATTTTTGAGCAGCTGAGTTTAAGAAACCATGCGAATTTATGCATTACATATTTACACAACAAATTTGTTGCGCAGCTGCGTAAGATACTTGAGATCGGTTTAATGAAATTTACATGCTGCAAAACATGTTGAGTACTTTCATCATCTTGAATGAGCATTGTATTACCTTGAAAAACAAAGTTTTCATTTTTTTGCTCGAGGGGTGGAAAGCTAATTTCCAGGTTATTTGGTATTCCATGCATCATATTATATTCTTATTCGAAAAACAAGATTTTGACATTATATTTTCTAATTTACCACCGAGTGTACTATTTTAATAAAAATTGTTCGAAAACAGACAAAAAAAATAAGCATCCGCATGCATTGATCAAGCAAACGAAAGATATCCCCACTGTTACACCCCCAACAGCCACGGGAGCAGCCGCTGCAGAGTGTTCATTAAAAAGACTGCAAAACTGCAAGAATAAAGACAAATGGACACTGGTTTAGCTTGGTGTGGTGGTCAATGTTCCTCACTCATCGGAGTCTTAGATCAGAATGACCCAAGAACAAAGACCATCACACAACCCTCCAGTGCCCCACAGGAAGTGACATATCCTGCCACATGTAGCCAACAGCTGTTTCCTGTGAAGGTGGGGTATCTCACATGAAACAGTAGTTGGTACACTCAAGTACTGATAAACATTAAATGCAAATGTGGTTCCAGTAAAAATGGGGGAGGCGGTATTTTAAAAAAAATGGGGGGTGTCCCAATACTACAACACCCACTCTAATAATGGATGCTTCCCCAGCAATACAGTTGGGCTATCATTGGCCCTCTCTATAGAAACCTAATGACATGCATTTCCCTGGGCGCATAAATGAATATCCGTCTGAAATCATATTAGTCAAGGCAAGATCTGGCCTTGGGGGTTACTAGATACTGACATTATTCTAACGACTTCAAAATGTGTACTCGAACAGGTACAGCATGCGCAGCACAAATCACAGCAGGCCCTACAGACTCTGAACCGGGCCATCGCCATGGACCCTAACAACCCTCTATGCAAGTTCCACCGAGCCTCCATCTACTTTGCCACGGAGCGCTACCAGGAGGCCCTACAGGAGCTGGAGGAGCTGAAGCAGATCATACCCAAGGAGTCCCTGGTCTACTTCATCATGGGAAAGGTCAGTGTCACTCACAGAGGCCTGGTTCTAAACTTGACCATTCTTGCTAGCCAGGGCAGTCTTAAAGGGAATGTACAACATTTGCAAACATCGAATAAAAAAACTACCAAGTTTTTATGAAATACCTTACTAGGATGATGGTAAATGACAGTCTAAAGCATCCTGTAAAATTATGGCACCTGGTGTGAAGTCATTTTGAAGAAAATGGTATTTTTGTATACATTTCCAACGATGGTCGGCCGTCCACCGTTGGAAAAACCTAACTATTTTTCAACTACTGCTCCAACTTACCCCTTTTTTCAGTCCAAATTTTGTTGCCATTGGTTGACATGTTCATGAATGGGTGCAGGCCAGCTAGACTGGTTCCCTCACCTTACAATTTTCCCGGCATCTATAACTTGATCCATGTTATCTTTAGTGGAGTCAAGGAGCCAGACTACTTGAACATTTCTGTTTTCCTTGGTTTTTCCAGCATTTTCGAACACAAAACTTCAAACATGTCAGTGTAACAATATTTGATCTATGATACTAACCCCTCAAATACTTCATTTCTGAAAATTACAGCAAAAGCCAATGATGTATATTCCCTTTAATGGGAATGTACAACATTTGCTTTCGCTGTAATTTTCAGAAATTGATGGATTTGGGGGTAAGTATTTTATAACAAATATTGTTACACTGACATGTTTACAGTTTTGTATTCGTAAATGCTGGAAAAACCAAAGGAAAAAAACATGTTCTTGTAGTCTGGTTCCCTGACCCCACTTCAGATGAAACGGAGCAATTTATAGATGTCAGGGAATTGTAAGGTCAGGGAACCAGTCTATCTGGCTTGTACCCGTTCACAGTTGTGTAACTGATTGCAGGCAAAATGTGGACTAACTCAATTTATTATTCACTAACAGTCCAGTAAGGTATTTCATAATAATTTGGTAGTTTTGTTTTCCGATGTTTGCAAATGTTGCATATTGCCTTTAAGAGGCCCTGGCAATTCTGTAAACCGAGTCTGAATCTGTTACTATTTTGACACTCTCTGTTAGTCGATCAGATTCTCTGCATGGACTTAATGATTTTTTCGTAGGGTTAACTTTGTTAGCCAATAAGAGAGGGCCTTGCAGGACAAAACAGTGCACTGCCATTTATTGAGAGCGTTCGATTACTTCCCTGAGCTTACTCGTGCCTGGCTCCTCGCGAGATGACAGACATGCGCAGTGTAGCTAAACAAACAAACGGTTTCGGGGAAAGTTTCGTGTAAGAGCTGGAAAGTGGAACTTTGACAAGACACTGAGGCTGCATCCAAATCAACTGTCTAGAGCTAGGTCTAGGTCCACGCCCATTGAAAATACGCGGGGAGGGCTGACAATTATAGACGTAGCTGTAGCTCTGGAAGCACACAGCCTGAGGCGCCTGCCGGACGTCACGTTGGCAGCCATGTTTATTGCATGGTCTTACGGGATACTTACCCAAGTAACCGGCTTGGCGAGTCGGTTACTTGGGCCAGGCTCGAGTAAGCGCGAGAAGTCACGTGAGAGGTAAATCGAACGCTGTCGCGCTTGCACGAGTAAGCGCGGGGGAAGTAATCGAACACACTCATTTGGTAGAAAGCCCATTCTTAGTAGGCTTTTGTAAAGAGCAATCTGATTGGTCAGGAAAGTCAGTCCATATTTGGAAGAGATCACAAATAATTGATCTCATGAGGTCTAAATAGGAAAGATCTAGTAAGGCCAAAAAAAAAAAGTCTCCGGTTTCTGGTGTGGAGCTGGCCCAAAAAGTGGTGCGGCGACGCGGCTTTTTTTTTTTTTTACCTGATTTTTTTTGCTTCAAATGTCGGCTGATGACTGCAAATGGTGCCCGACTAAACTTAGTGCAAATATATGGGAGTCCAGAGAGGCCACCTAAAGCTTATTCTCGACCATAACCCAATCTAAAAACACGTTAAAATTGTGCAGCAGCAGGATTCCAGTCAAACCAGTGAGTTTGGCGGTTTTGAGACATCATCTTTCATTGAAAAAAAACCTTTTCATTTTGCCGACGCGCATGGCTAGGGCGACGCGCGCGCATACCAGAAACCGGAGACTTTCTTTTTTGGCCTAACGGTCAGTGGCACATTTTAATGTTAGTGCTCCGTGAGGCCTCTGCACCATGGTACTTATTTACTGAAAATTCGAAGTTGATTGTCTGCTACCTAAATTGGTAAATTAGCACCATAAATTAATAAAAACAAAATTGCCAGACCTATATGCCCCGGGCCAAGTGTTCTTGGACGGTGGACTTGGACTCCCCGGATGCTAACAGCCAAATCGAGTATAACCAGGAATTCTTAAAATTGATTGATTTAAATATATGTGAATATTTATATCTCCAAATATATGAATATTCGAATCTGCAGGTGTATAAGAAGTGTGGCCAGACTCACTTGGCTCTGGCCAACTTTTCCTGGGCGGTGGACTTGGACCCTAAGGGCGCCAACAACCAGATCAAGGAGGCCTTGGACAAGAGGTATCTACCAGACGATGATGACCCGACGGCCGACGCGCTGGCTGATCATGGGCCTAGCGATGCTGGTGAGTTATCAAGTCATTCGGAGAGGAGAGATGTAGTCAAGTCCAAATAAATCATATGTCAATCACGTGTCAATCAAATGTCAGTCACATGCCAATCACATGTCAGTCACATGTCAATCACCTGCGAATCGCGTGTCAAGCACTTTTCACTCACGTCAGTCAGAAGTCAAAGTCAATTAGGAAGCCAAATCTGAAATCAAATCATAAGGCAAATCACAATTGAGGTCCAGGTGTTAGAGTGATTAGACCAAGACAGAGTCATCTTAGAATAGAGTTGTATTCACATCCATCACAAGTCCATCTTTAATAAGTCGACCACAAATCAAATCACAAATCAACCAAAAATCAAATCACAAGTCAATCACAAGTCAGCCACAAATCAAATCACATGTCAATCACAAGTCGCCACAAATCAAATCAGAAGTCAATCACAAGTCGCCACAAATCAGAAGTCAATCACAAGTCGCCACAAATCAAATCAGAAGTCAATCACAAGTCGCCACAAATCAAATCAGAAGTCAATCACAAGTCGCCACAAATCAAATCAGAAGTCAATCACAAGTCGCCACAAATCAAATCAGAAGTCAATCACAAGTCGGCCACAAATCAAATCACAAGTCAATCACAAGTCAGCCACAAATCAAATCACAAGTCAATCACAAGTCAGCCACAAATCAAATCACATGTCAATCACAAGTCAGCCACAAATTAAATCACATGTCAATCACAAGTCGCCACAAATCAAATCACAAGTCAATCACAAGTCGGCCACAAATCAAATCACAAGTCAATCACAAGTCAGCCACAAATCAAATCACAAGTCAATCACAAGTCGCCACAAATCAAATAACAAGTCAATCACAAGTCGGCCACAAATCAAATCACAAGTCAATCACAAGTCGGCCACAAATCAAATCACAAGTCAGCCACAAATCAAATCACAAGTCAATCATTAGTCAGCCACAAATTAAATCACATGTCAATCACAAGTCATTCACAAATCAAATCTCAAGTCAGTCACAAGTCATCATAAGTCAATCACAATGCAAATCACAGTTCCATCACAAGTCAAATCACAGTTCCATCACAAGTCAACTCACAAATCTTAATATCTCTTCTCAAAAAGCCAGAAATAAATAGTTAAAAATAAATAAATAAAGCTGTTTCTAACATTTCTTCTTACAGACACCGGGGACAGCGACGCAGTGGGCGAGGGTGATGTGTCACAAGAGGGCGCTGTTGAAGTCGACGACATGCAACTCCAAGCTAATGAGAGTGACGAGAGTTTATGATCCGAGCTCGGATACTGACAGTAACGTCCCAAAACAAATATCACTGTGAACCCAACTAGATGTCCAGTTGGTCGTTGCGTAGTGATTTTTTTAGGCAATGCCGAAGCCACATTGGCTTCAAGTACAAACATGTTAGGAGAGCTTAGAGTGAGATTTGGGTAAAAAATAAAAAAGATAGGCTGGTGCCTAAAATGTAATGATTGACTACACAGTGATGCATACATGGCCCCAGGGAACCAGACAGTAATGGCCGCATGTGAGTGTAGATCCCACTTCTGACACCAAATTGGAGCCCTGACTTGCAGATGGGAAAGATGTGCGTAGAATTAGACTATTTTTGCTTACAGCATGCCAAATTTGTTAACTCTACCAGTCCAGTTGAAGTTTGTACATGGGGCTGTCCTGATTATCAGTGTACTGAGTATTCAATTTTGGATCATCAGCCGAATATTTAAATGCTTTTTGCTGGTTTTGAATAGTCGAAAAAATAAAGTACAGGCATGGTTCCCATCCTTTTAGCAGGTTAAAGTCTTTGTCATAAAACACTTACTACAAAATACTCCAGTGGCCTATAATATCGATCGCTGCACGCAAATTTTTAACCGGCGCGCTTTGCGTGCAACTTTTGACCAGCGTGGCACCCAGTTGCAGCTGGCGGTTCTGAATATTCGAGTATATGGTCAAACGCAATTTCAAATAATCCAATACCAAATTATTACAAAAAGGACAGCCCTTTTTTACAGGCGATGTTTGCCAGGTTAGTTGAGTACAGTGTGCTTAGCTCGGAAGGTTTGCGCTCATAAATACCGAGATTCCTTACTTGTGAAGTGTGTATGTGGAGGGTTGGTTTTGCTCGCCTCATACCGTGAAAAGTTCAATATTTTTGTACTGTGTTCTTTGTTTCTTCTTCAGGTCATCTATTCGTAGGTTTGTATCATCGAGCATACTGTGCAATCTAATGCAAATGTAAAAAAAAAAAAAATACTCATGCATATGCCTTGTTAGCTCTGTACCACATTAAACTGCATCAGCCAGTGAAAAATGTAGTTTGTGAACGTCGGATGCAATTATGCCAAAGTTGCTTGAATTATCAGCCCACTTAACAGGGCCCAATTTCACGGCGCTGCTAAGCACACAATTTGCTGCTAACAGAGCCTCCGTCTATTTCTTGGAGACCGTAAGCATAAGCACAGCAAAAGGCAACCTTACCTCAGAGGAAAATTTGCTTAACTTAGTAACGTAACAATAGAAATCTCCATGCACGCGCGACCCTTAGCACGTCAATGCCGTCAAATAGTGCTTAAGGTTAGCAAGTTTTTCTGCTATGCTAAGCACAACTTTTCTGTTAAACAGGGCCGTGAAATTGGGCCCTGGTCGTAACACAAGCCATGTGTAGGATTAATGCAACATCTTTGTTGCGCAGTGTACTTATGGTCAATTACACACAACTTGATGTAGCTGCGCAGTGTCAATATTATGCACACTAATTTTGACGAGGACGATCACAACTTACAGAGTAGTCGTTCATATAAGTCATAAAACAGTTTAATTTTCCACCTGCGACTTTGAATAAATCTAATCTCACAGTGGAGTGCCAACTCTTTAAAGTCTCGTCACTCTAAAATAACAAGACAATGCAAGCCTAGTAAAGCTGGTCCCCAAGAACCTAACACTTTTTTCAATTAGAATGGCTGAAAACATTAGTAGAATAAACTTTAGTGGTAATGTGACGTCATGCTTTGGCAGCGTATGATGTTAATTCACGGCCAAAGTATGATATCACTTCTTCCCAAAGTCAAACTTCCTGCACAATGGTGTATGCACATTCCCAGACAAAGCTTGTAGACGTTGACAGCATAACTGGTACATTCAGCGTTCTTGTTAATAAAAAAACCCCAGTTTTTAGTGAAAATCCAGCAGAAAATCTGTTCGCGTTGTCGTTAATAAAAAAAACCACCTGTTTTTAGTGAAAATCAAGCAGAAAATCTGTTCGCGTCGGAGGACGTGATAACACGCACTGGCTGTTTTTATACACAGGCACGGCTGACGGGTTAAGGCGTCAATATTGCCTCAACTCGCCTCCGGGTGACGTCTAAACACGCTAATCCCTCGTGCCTTTTGTACACACAAAGTCCGCGAAGTCTGTGGAGGCGGACCGTGTGTTGATCTTGATTTGTCCGTTGTGCATGGCCTATTGTTGTACAATTTACGTTCCAGTGTACATCCCGGAGTATTGAAACATATGAAGTATTTGTGGCATTTGGCTGTATATCAGAAGTTGGCTAGAAAATTTTGCCTTTTGCGAAAATCAAAATTTTAGGTAAAAATAATTCCGGCGCGAAGTGGTTAATTAAAGGTAATATACAAGATTTGGCTTTGCTGTAATTTTCAGAAATGGAAGGATTCAAGGGTTAAGTATTTTATAGCAAAGATTGTTACACTGACCTGTTTAAAGCTTTGTGTTCATAGATACTGGAAAAACCAAGAAAAAAAATGCTGTTCTTGTAGTCTGGTTCCCTGATGCTACTTCAGACGAAATAGAGCAATTTATAGTCGTCGGGGAATTGTCAGGTCAGGGAACCAGTCTAGCTGTTTTGCACCCGTTCATGGATGCGTAACCGACTGCAAACAAAATGAGGACTAACTAAAATTGGTAAATTGGGGGCAGTATTTGAAAAGAAGTCATTTTTTTACCAACAATGGTCAGCCGACCATTGTTGGAAATTATACAAAAATCCCACTTTTCTTAAAAATGACGGCACACCAGGTGCCACGATTTCACTGGAGGCTTGAGACTATTCTCTTACAGTCAAGTAAGGTATTTCATGATAATTTGGTATTTTTTTTTTTTTTATGTTTGCAAATGTTGTATATTCCCTTTAAACGATGGGCGGTGTGTGTTATTCAAGTACTGCAGTCTGTTTTCAGACAATTTGTTTTCCAGAAGTAATTGTATATTTTTCCCTTGCTGCTAGCTTTTTCTCTTTTCGTCTGCCTCCAAAAACAATCTTCTCATTTGATATGTATTTTGCAATTGTTGAAAAGAAATAGCTTGATAGCAGTATTTTTATATATCAAACATGTATTGTCTGTACTAACTACAAGTATACTGGTGGCATTCATATCATCAGAATTAAAAAAGTGTTAAAACTAAATTTCCTTACCAATTATGTCACATAGCTAACAGAAGTCCAGTATTTTAGAATTAATTTCTGTGCTTATAACTGTTGTGGAATATTCTGGGATATCATGCAATTGCATTTCAGTTTTGAGTAAGAAACACTGAAGGTAAAGAGTTATGCTGTATAGTATACAACTAATGAATGTTTATGAGTGCAATGGTAAGAATAATTTCATGAGGTGACAGATGGAATGTTCCATTCCACTCGGCTTCGCCTTGTGGAATGGACCATTCCATCTGTCACTGAATGAAATTATTCTTTCCATTGCACGAATATGGAACATTCATACAACACCGGAATAAATCCTTGTCATCTGATTGGTCAGAGCCACAGACAACAGGACTGTGGAATGGAAGTTCTGTTTAAAATAGAACTTCTATTAAAATACTTGGCACTTCGCAGACATTTTGTCTCCCAGAATGTTCAAGTTAAGCATGTATGCAGTGGACTCCTATTTTAGAGGGTGTTCTGTTGACTTTTGAAAGTCTTGATGTTCTAGCGGGTTTTTGAAACCCTGGCTTTACTTCAGCTTGGGTCTAGATTCATTTTATAGAAGCCTTTAATGTCAAAAACAAATTGATATACTTGAAATTTGGTTAACATTTGATGTTTCTAAAGCAGTACATGAGCTGGAGTCCCAGAAGTCAGCAACGTAAATTCGCTGAAGCCACAGCTGGAACAAAGCCTACATCTCAAAAACACCTGTAGTTTCTTTAATGCTTGTAGGGTGCAACCAAGTAAGCTGGCCAAAAATCCGTCCGCCAACTCATGAATAATTGTTATACATTCAAATTATTCTGTATTAGAGAGTTCTGAGAGCCATAGAATTGGGGGATCGAAGACATATGGCACTGCACCTCTGGCCTGGACTTGGGGCTTCCAATTCTGAGTATTTTGGATGCAATTGGGTCTGAAAGTGGCGCTATTTAGCCATGTTGTGGAGGGATCCTTTTTCAAGATGGCTACTTTTCCAGTTTGGGAAATATTCGTTTTAGGGGTGGTCTTCTTTGGGTGAGAATTTCTCAAAAAAAATCATTGGTCAACCCACCAAAAATAATGGAAAATGAAAGATGACATGTTGATCATCATTTTTCTGTGCAGCCTGAACACCTGTGAAAGTTCTGAGTATTTTAAAAAGAGTTTTTGCAAGTATGGGGTTTTATCACTGGTGTCTAGGGGAATTTATTTACTTGGTTGCACTCAATATAGGCTGGTGCCAGTTTCAAATATTGCATGATTGTACTGTATTGCAGTAGGACTAGGATACCAGTCACAGGACACATTTATTGAACCATGGAGGATGGGCCAACCTGACATTTTCCTGAAAAGGTAAAGAAACTTGCAAATAACACCAATTGTTTCTGTAAATTTTGTGTAACAATCAATCATAGTAGATTTTTGTCTCTATCTGTAGAATTCAAGGCTTGGGCTTATAAGAAGTATGCTTGAAAAGAATTACTATATATGGTGTAATAATGAGATAATTTTGATGTGGTAAACAAAACAATGTGCCATTATTGGTGTGTGCATGGGTTGTGTGTATGACAAACTGTTTGATTCAAAATGTACTTGCAAGTATGCTGCCCCTGTGTATATTTAATTAACAATGATATTAAAAGTATTGTACAGTCTAAATCCAAATTGGGTTTTGTTATGATTATTACCCCTGACAAGGAGGTTATGTTTTCATCGGGTTTTGTTTGTTTGTTGGTTGGTTCGTCTGTTAACAAGATAACTCAAAAGGTTATGGACGGATTTGCATGACAATTTTATTAGGGGTGGTCCTTGGTACAAGTACAAATTGATTAGATTTTGGAAGTGATCCGGATCTGGGTCTGGATCCAGGATTCTTTTAAGGATTCCTCACCATTAATGCGAGTATTTCTTTTGGGCGTACAGACAATATGGCGGGGAATTGTTTAGCCTTGGAAGAGGTTTGTGCTCTCTGAGTGCTTTCTAGTTTTCAGATTAAATTCAAATTATTTTTTGAAGTTCTGTCTGCGATAGATAGCCCCCCTTTTAAAAGTACATGTGCATGGTTTCAATTGCGCTTTGTGCATTGTTTTCGTTTTTGAATTAACAAAATTGCTCAAAATCTTAAGTAGGGTGCTGAACAACTAGCCTGTTGAAATTTCAGCTCAGGCCAAGTTCGAGCAAGGACCATTAGTGGACTAGTTGTGAAAGACGTCAAACTCATCGTCGTTTACTACGGGACAGGCCAAGATGATCGAGGTTGATTTGTGACGTACCTTACGCCTGCGCACTAAGAGCAACGTGCGAACATCTCTAGTCAAACCCTGGTCAAAATGTCATCGCAAAACTTCTGGGTCCTGGCTCCCTGCTGTATGTTATGAATGCATGCGGCTATTGGTTACCAGCGATGCAACCAGCCCCAGTAGGTTGGTTCTAAATAGTCGACTAGCGTAGTCAACCATCGTCAACTAGACAGAGTTCGGGCAAGCATTAGTCGAACTACGGTTAACCATTGGTCAACTATTGTCCCTGCGCGAACTTACCCCTAGTGGATACTTTACATTTTGAGAAAACACAGAAAACGTATTCACAATTTTTGGGGTCTAGTAACTGGTTTCCATTGCAAATGCACGTTGGGCACACTTTTTTTAAAACCACCTTTATTTAAACTACCTTTAACCCTAGCCGCCCTGAATCCTCCAAAATCCTTTTTGCAAATTAAGGAATTTGCAGGATAAAGGTTACATGGCCAAAGAGCGTTGCTGATATCGGAGTACGCACTGTGTCAAGGTCTTGGGCCAGACCTTGTGTTTATTGCTCAGCCGTGCATAAATTTAGTCCTTGATTATACTTGACATCCTCCGCACTGCTCCAGGATGTCACTGCCTCTGCCTCAGCCTATTGACAGTCATAGCCGGAGGATTTTGCAGGATTCAGGCAGTGGTCACCCCTCCATGGACCACATTCAAGAAATAGCGGAGGAATTTGCAGGATTGAGGCTATATGCTATTTTTCCATGAGGCCAATTGGAGGATTTTGCAGGAATGAGGCTACATCCTAGCAAAAAGGCCTAGGGAGTTAGGGTTAATGATTGTTTTTTTTTTGATCGCAATTATTTCTGGTGGAAGAATTTCACAGGGTATTTGGTACCATCCTATCTTCACTTTGGACAAGGAGTCTCATTAAATCATTATTGATGGGTTCATTTCAGGGTAATTATCAATGTTCCTACATGCACTTAGATGAAACAAAAATCTCTTTAGAAAACCAATTAAGGAAAAATGAAAACCACGTAATTCAAAAAATCAAAATGAACATTTTATTGTGCATTACATTTACTTCTGAATAGGTAAATTAAAATTTTATCAAAAAACTTACACTATTCATTAGATTTTATTGAGAACAAAGTAAAATAATTAAGTAAAAGGTCAGCTGTCAATAAAAAAACAAACATTTCAGTATTTTAGTCGAACTCTAAACATCTTTTTTTATACTCCTTGTAAAATGTACGAGGATTCAAATTGTAACTTTAATATCACAATCTTAAAGTATCTCTTAACAAATTTTGGCTCCTAAAACTGAACTTCCAATAATGCACCAAATGTATTGCTTATTGAAACTTGGATATAAGGACAATCGTCCTGCATTCATAAAACTTTAATTTACTGAATAGTTCTTAAAATATAATCTCTGAATAACTATGGCGTGGGTAGGGAGTTTACAAGGCACTGATATACCCAAACCTGAGTAAATATTGGGGTTTTTTTTGGCAGCAAATAATGTCTTTCTTTTATCAAACCAGAAAAAAGACTTGGGCCTAAAATCCATGTTTCTGTTTTCCATGTGTTTATTGCGCTGTGCGTTGAACAGTTGCGGGTCCATGATGCGTATTCTGTAAATCCATGTATACGTATTTGTCTGAACACTTGACGGATGTAAAACTCAAATAGAGAACGCACAGCAGTTTTGCGAGAAGAAACGTAAAGAAAAGAAAAATCAAGTCTCAATCAAATTTTGAATTAGCTTTGGCAAAGTACACATTTTACAAAAATCAACAGATTATAACTTCTCAACACAATACAAAGGGTAGGAATATTGCATGTTTTATCAATGGGGTGCTTTGAAAAGTAATATCGAGGCAGTTCCTACTTTGTTTCAAAAAGATTCACATATAAACTGCTTCATTTTAAAACCAACCACTACATCGTTTCTTCAAGTTGCAAACAACAAATCCCATGCGTATTGTATGTGTCGCCCGTTTCAATCGCAACCTGAGGCGTACATAATTTCAACGAATAACGCACTACGGATAGCGCACTGTGCAATACGGATACATGGATCAGACCTTAGCCTTTCCATCCAGCCTGATTCAAAGACCTCTAGAAGCTGGACATCTAACAGTTCATTGAAGCCAGCCGGGCCTTGTACTCCTGTATAAACCTAGCCTCCTTCTCCAGCATCAGATGCTAGCCTCTCCATCCAGCCTGAATCAGTGACCTCTAGAAGCCGGACATCTAACAGTTCATTGAAGCCAGCCGGGCCTTGTACTCCTGTATAAACCTAGCCTCCTCCAGCATCAGATGCTAGCCTCTCCATCCAGCCTGAATCAGTGACCTCTAGAAGCTGAACAGCTAACAGTTCATTGGAGCCAGCCGGGCCTTGTACTCCTGTATAAATCTAGCCTCCTCCAGCATCAGGTGCTAGCCTCTCCATCCAGCCTGAATCAGTGACCTCTAGAAGACAGACATTTAACAGTTCATTGAAGCCAGCCGGGCCTTGTACTCCTGTATAAACATAGCCTCCTTCTCCAGCATTAGATGCTAGCCTCTCCATCCAGCCTGAATCAGTGACCTCTAGAAGACAGACATTTAACAGTTCATTGAAGCCAGCCGGGCCTTGTACTCCTGTATAAACATAGCCTCCTTCTCCAGCATTAGATGCTAGCCTCTCCATCCAGCCTGAATCAGTGACCTCTAGAAGACAGACATTTAACAGTTCATTGAAGCCAGCCGGGCCTTGTACTCCTGTATAAATCTAGCCTCCTCCAGCATCAGATGCTAGCCTCTCCATCCAGCCTGAATCAGTGACCTCTAGAAGACAGACATTTAACAGTTCATTGAAGCCAGCCGGGCCTTGTACTCCTGTATAAATCTAGCCTCCTCCAGCATCAGGTGCTAGCCTCTCCATCCAGCCTGAATCAGTGACCTCTAGAAGCCGGACATTTAACAGTTCATTGAAGCCAGCCAGGCCTTGTATTCCTGTATGGACCTAGCCTCCTTCTCCAGCATCAGATGCTAGCCTCTCCATCCAGCCTGAATCAGTGACCTCTAGAAGCCGGACATCTAACAGTTCATTGAAGCCAGCCGGGCCTTGTACTCCTGTATAAACCTAGCCTCCTCCTCAAGCGTCAGATGCTAGCCTCTCCCTTCAGCCTGAATCAGTGACCTTTAGAAGCCGGACATCTAACAGTTCATTGAAGCCAGCCGGGCCTTGTACTCCTGTATAAACCTAGTCTCCTCCTCAAGCGTCAGATGCTAGCCTCTCCCTTCAGCCTGAATCAGTGACCTTTAGAAGCCGGACATCTAACAGTTCATTGAAGCCAGCTGGGCTTTGTACTCCTGTATGAACCTAGCCTCCTTCTCCAGCATCAGATGCTAGCCTCTCCCTTCAGCCTGAATCAGTGACCTTTAGAAGCCGGACATCTAACAGTTCACTGAAGCCAGTCAGGCCTTGTACTCCTGTATAAACCTAGCCTCCTTCTCCAGCATCAGATGCTAGCCTCTCCATCAAGCCTGAATGAGTGACCTCTAGAAGCCGGACATCTAACAGTTCATTGAAGCCAGCCGGGCCTTGTACTCCTGTATAAACCTAGCCTCCTTCTCCAGCATCAGATGCTAGCCTCTCCATCAAGCCTGAATGAGTGACCTCTAGAAGCTGGACATCTAACAGTTCATTGAAGCCAGCCGGGCCTTGTACTCCTGTATAAACCTAGCCTCCTCCTCCAGCATCAGATGCTAGCCTCTCCATCAAGCCTGAATGAGTGACCTTTAGAAGCCGGACATCTAACAGTTCATTGAAGCCAGCCGGGCCTTGTACTCCTGTATACACCTAGCCTCCTTCTCCAGAATCAGATGCTAGCCTCTCCATCCAGCCTGAATCAGTGACCTCTAGAAGCCAGACATCTAACAGTTCATTGAAGCCAGCCGGGCCTTGTACTCCTGTATAAACCTAGCCTCCTTCTCCAGCATCAGATGCTAGCCTCTCCATCCAGCCTGAATCAGTGACCTCTAGAAGCCGGAGATCTAACAGTTCATTGAAGCCAGCCGGGCCTTGTACTCCTGTATAAACCTAGCCTCCTTCTCCAGCATCAGATGCTAGCCTCTCCATCCAGCCTGAATCAGTGACCTGTAGAAGCTGGACATCTAACAGTTCATTCAAGCCAGCCGGGCCTTGTACTCCTGTATAAACCTAGCCTCCTTCTCCAGCATCAGATGCTAGCCTCTCCATCCAGCCTGAATGAGTGACCTCTAGAAGCTGGACATCTAACAGTTCATTGAAGCCAGCCGGGCCTTGTACTCCTGTATAAACCTAGCCTCCTCCTCAAGCGTTAAGTCCAAGTGGTCTTCCTCGTGGTCCGGAATGTCCGGGGCGATGTCGGCAATGGCCTGTTTCTGCTCCTCTGTCAATTCATCTTCTTCATCATCTGGTGTTTTCGTTTGACTTGTTGATGATCCTGTAAGGAAAATAAATTCACAGACAAAAATCTGATATTTACTTTTTTCAAACCCCAGAAATGATTGACTTACTTCTCAACAGATGTCTTATTTATGTAAAATATGTTTTCGTTCATACAGATTTTGTGAGGAGTTCATGTTGTATAAGAGTTGTGTTAAATGGCAGTGTCTTGAGAATGTACTACGTGTAAAAAAACAACATGCCCTACATTTGGTCCTAAATAACTCTGTTGTTTACCAATGGAATAAACCAAAATTTCAGCTCATGTAAACAAGACATGACACATTTTATGAAGAGAGTTTCATCAGCTTTGTGCAAGAGGATCAGATTTAAACGGCATACAAAAAAAAAATACTTTCAGAATGTTGATACATCGCTGGAGACAGGTGGCAGAAGGCTGTGCTGTGGCCAAACATTTCTGAAGAAATGCAGGATCACCCCTGATGTCATTGCCCACCTCCTCGATCATGTGTTGCGCCAAATGATCGAGGAGGTGTGCAATGACATCAGGGGTGATCCTGCATTCCTTCAGAAGCTTTCGGCTGCAGCTCGCGCCTTCCACCACCGTCTCCAGCGCTGTATCGACATTGGAGGATGCTACGTCAAAAGTGGCAGATTCTGAAATTGAGTATTTTGTTCGTATGGCATTTAAATCTTCTCGCACAAAGCTGATGAAACTCGCTCTATAAAATTTGTCATGCCTTGTTTACATCATGTAAAATTTCAGTTTAATTCCATTGGAAAACAATACAGTTATTTAGGAGCAAAAGTAGGACTTTTTTTGGACACGTAGTAGGTATGCAGGTCTAAACCAAAGTTGGAGGTTTAATAAAAACTTAAATAAAAATAGAATTTGAGACTGAAGCACTTGTGACTCATCTGTGATTATCTTATGAGGATCTGACTGCAACTCTGGTTTTAAACCATTATTGGAACAGGGCGTGTGTCCTTAAGCAAGACATCTTACAAGAATTTAACTTGTATTGAGGAAATGGGTATGAGTTGAGAGTGTAAACACCCATGTAAATTCCTTGCAAAACAAAAAATCAACACAGTTCTGCAAGACATCGGGTTCCACAAGATATCGGGTTTCACCTCAACGACATCTGGCTCCCACTCCTTCAGACTGATGGGTCTCCTATACCCTAGGTCCTTAACCTTCACCTTAGACTGATGGGTCTCCTATACCCTAGGTCCTTAACCTTCACATTAGACTGATGGGTCTCCTATACCCTAGGTCCTTAACCTTCACCTTAGACTGATGGGTCTCCTATACCCTAGGTCCTTAACCTTCACATTAGACTGATGGGTCTCCTATACCCTAGGGCCTTAACCTTCACCTTAGACTGATGGGTCTCCTATACCCTAGGTCCTTAACCTTCACATTAGACTGATGGGTCTCCTATACCCTAGGTCCTCCCTCTACTGAGACTGCAACCCTACTGTTCCACTTCAGTGGGCAGTAAGCTTGCTCTAGGATCCCAGCTACTTGGCATCCTCACAGGATGCAACTTCACACTTCATTGACTTCGCCTTTTGCTACTTAAGTATTCACTTTCTTAGAGTTTAGGCACTCTCCTGAAGACGGTCAGAGCATACTGACCAGAACGTCGAGTTTATACCTCTGGTTCTTTTCAGAACCATTCTCTTAGTTGAGAAATTATTCGCACATGGTATTTCCGCAAACCTTTCATTGTTTAAAAAATCAACACGTTTATAACAGACTCAAATGATTTACCCGATGAAGATGCCCCTCCAGGCTTTGTTGACGAAGATGTGCATGCCGGCTCCGGAGGTAAAACCCCTCCTCTCGCGATCAGAACATCCACTGTTTTCCTGATATCACCACGGTAACGATACAGCGCCAGTCGTGCCACCTCCGGATCGAAGCCGAGCTCAGAAACCTGTACAGAATACAACAATGCAACAACCATTTCATTTCATTGGTTGATCATTGACCAATCACAAACAGTGTTACACAATCACATAGGGAAATAAGTTCTACTACGAGGGTTTGATACATGCTGGCACATGTGACATTTTACAACCGTCTGCCATATTTGTTTGAAAAAGAAAACCCAAAGATATACCATTAACATATTCTGTTTTTATTTATTTTAAAGTTTAATAGAAAAAAAGTTGTGAATTTATGACTGTGATAGCTCATAACTTTCTGTCTCATTTACCCTCTGTGTAACTGTCTATGACATCAACTTTGTGTAGGTCAAAAAGGTTAAGAAAAGTATCATCTGATTGGTCAGTGCTCATAGTGTTATGTCTGAATGGCAAATTTTAACCAATCGTATCACAGATTTAATTGCACACTTTCTTCACACTGGCCTATGCTAAATCAGATTGGTCAGTGACCGTAGTGTAATGTCTGAATGGCAAATTTCAACCAATCGTTTCACAGATACGATTGCACACTGACCTGTGCTTTAATCTTATTGGTCAATGCATACTGTGTTATGTCTAAATGGTAAATTTAGCCAATTGCATCACAGATATGATTGCACACTTCCTTCACACTGGCCTGTGCTATCATGTGATTGGTCAGTGTTCACTGCTCATGTTGTTATGTCTGAATGGCAAATTTCAACCAATCGCATCCCAGATGTGATTGCACACTTCCTACACAATGACCTGTGCTATCATCTGATTGGCCAGTGCTCATAGTGTCATGTCTGAATAATAGATAATTTCAACCAATCGCATCCCATATATGATGCACCCTTCCTTCACACTGACCTGTGCTCCCATCTGATTGGTCAGTGCTCAGAGTGTTGTCTGAATAATGGCTAATTTTAACCAATGGAGTCCTAGATATGATGCACACTTCCTTCACACTGACCTGTGCTATCATCTCATTGGTCACGTCCCCTTGCCACGGCTCGTCGATGCTATCTCCCAGTGCCAGGAGGTCAGGCTGTTCCTGCATGACCTGGAGTGAGTTATGGAGGTCGTTGTTGGTCTGTTTTAGTGCTGCCAGGACTGCTTGCTCAGGGAAACCCATGGACAGGAGGGAGTCGTAAACTTCAGATTTTATCCTAAAAAGAATACAGAGTAAGTACATTATTTCTTACTTGTACACGTACTCATGGAAATAGGGACCATTAGAAATGGTGCGGATACTATTATTAACCATTTCGCGTCAGGATTATTTTTACCTCGATGCCAGACGGGTTCAGGCCGTCATCTGCGGGTAGCACACCCTGATATTTCCACCCTCGCTCGCTGCGAGCGGGTCGCTGACAGATATTTCCGGGCTCGCTCGTTGAGTGATTATCTGTCATCCGTTCCAAATGCCGCTAAACCTTTTTGTGTATGCACATCATCCAAGGTGAACTGGTTATAAGAGCTCATTGGCCGAGAGCCCGTCACGTGGCCGGTCTTAAACGGATGATAAAGACATGGCTAGCTGGTCTTAAACACTTTTCCAGTGTCACAATAAAATGTGGACTCCTAAAAATCCAGTGCCTCTTATCGTTTCATTGGTTGAACGTTCACAATCCTCACGTAGGCATGCACAACACTACCAGGGAGTCAGAATTTTATAGTTCTAAATTCAAAACGCAACGCGCCAGGTGCGTTCTGCGCGATGTCGCGCAGAACATGATACGCGCGCGTCAATCTCCATAAAAGGGTTGTTTACATCTTACTCGCCAGCTGAACACTCCATTATTTTGCAAGAGGGATGTTTCAAAAAGCATAAAGTGAATTTGTTGAACAAAATCGGGATGGTTTGAACGAATTATATGATTTTTTTTTACCAAAAAGGTATTTATGAATGGGAATAAATATGTGCTCCGTCGGTATTTATCACTCTGTTTAAGACCACTTAGAGTCTGGGTGCTGATATATCAGCAGACAGACTCTAAGTGGTCTTAAACAGAGTGATAAAAACCTCCGGAGCACACATTTATTCCCTTATTAATAACATATGCTGTTAAATGCGCCCATCCCTATATTTCCCGCGACATCGCATCACTTACATTTTGCTTACATGAGTCCATGTCAATGCAAATGCATTTCGTACCAATGTGACTCGGACATGAATCAAATGACTCGTGACTCGGACTCAGAGCTGAATGAAATGACTTGAGATTCACACTCGAGACTCGACCCTAGAGACTCAGACTCAACTACAATACAGGGTCATACCCACCATTCACCGTTGGCCGTCTTTCCCAACTTTCGCTCCCTCGCCTTTTTCTTTCGTTCTTCTGCCTCCTTTTCTCGGATCTCCTTCCTCCTTTGTCTCTGCTCCGTTATCTTCGTAACGGCCACCGAGACGTTGCCGCTTGCCGCCCGCAGGCCCAGCCTGGCCTCACGGACGTCAAAGCCCATGGAGACCACCTGCATGAGCTTGTCCTCGTCAACTTGCAGGGTGGCCCGTGTGTTCTCTGCCTGTGGGCAAAACATAAGGTTGATAGACAGCATGGAAAAAATACGCCATCAAGATTGGACTCTTTGCAAACTGTGAGACATCCCAAACTTCAATTGGGAATAAGTTTTCCATGGTCCAGTGGTTGCGGTGTTTGAATCATGTATGATGGTACGTGGGTTCGAACCCTGCCAGGAACATGGCGTTTGTTCCCTTGGGCAAGACACTTTACTACAATTGCCTCTCTCCACCCAGGAGTATAAATGGGTACCTGTGAGGTTAGAGGACCGATTGAGCGCTGATATCGGCTGCCGCGTAGGCCCATGGCCTGATGAACGGGGAATAACTGTAAAGTGCTTGGTATTGTTGATACCATAGAGAACGCTATAAGCGTTACAATGTAATTAACTTTTTAAAATTTTGCAAACGAAAGTCAGTTGAAAATTAAAGGGGTAATTCCCCAGTTTTATAAACCTCAATGAAAAGAACTTTAAAAAAATCACCAAAAGCAACCAAAAAAATCCACGTATCATTTTTAAGCTTATAATCTGTATTTTATTGAAATATAGTAGTAACAACTGATACGTTTGATCATGATTAAAATGCACTTTATGATTATAAATTTTATTATGCACACGGTTTGAATTGTCCAAAGGGGAAGATCTGTATTAATTTTAACCCATTAGCATTTGTACTAGTTACATTGTATTACATTGTGTTTATTCACTGAAAAATCAGTAAAACCATAGAGTGCATGGGATTCGGGCGCTACAGTGAGTAATAGGCAGGGCAGTTTCGGCGCTACAGTGACTAAAGTGACAATATTTAAGAACATTATTTTGACCAGCTGGCTGGAAGAGTCTGTTTCTGAAAGAATTTCAAAAATTTTATTCAAAATCCAACAAAATCCTGTATACATGAGGATAATTTTGAGTCCCCCCCAAAAAACCCCACAACAATCTGAAATGTCACACCTTCTGCAGCAGTGAGCGAGCGACATCCATCCTTCCCTGATAGAAAGCCATAATACCCTGTAGTAAGTACAGCCTGACGTACAGCGCTAACTCTGTGGGACTGTCACCTTTTAGACTGGCTAGTCGCTGGAGATTATCACCGTAGCTGCGCCGAAAACCGTCCTCGCAGATCTTCAATTTGGCTTCTGCGAAGGAAAAAGCAAGTTCAAACGAGACAGGGCAAATTAAAGCTGATGCCAGAGTGCACAAAATCCTATTCCATTGATGCAGAATGGCAAAAAAAAGTTTGTAAACTAAGCTGTAGCTGAGCAATTCCGCAAAACATCCAATGTACATCCGACCACATGATGTACACGTACGTGGTCGTTAAGGTGGAGGTACCTTAGTTTGGTCGGTAATTGTTTTCTACTCATTAGATGTCACATTATAAGTGATGTATCACATTCACTTTTCAAACAGCAGCTCATTAAAGTGTCTGACATGCATGTCAAAATTTACGAGTATTTCCTATACCCTATCCTGAGTCCGAGTCCCGAGTTATGTGGATCGAGTCCGAGTTCGAGTCACGAGTCAAACAGGTTGAATCCAAGTCACCAGTCACGTTCAAGTAGTATATATATTGGAAATAAATGTTGAGGTGCTGCTAAAACCCCACATTGTAAATGTTTCCATTTTTTTTCACAGCTTTTCTCTTATTCAACGAACTGGAAGTACATGTATAACATGTCAAATTAACAAACCATGGGATAAGCCATTGAAGTTGATTTAATTTGTAATTACACATGTATTGTTGATGTATCTTATTGTGGCGCAGCCCCTAACGTGGCGCACTTTGATTTTTCGCCTGTAGCACCTAGCTAGAGCAAACATTTTAACTGAAATTTCCCAGAAAGTGAAATTACATCAAGTTATAAACACTTCCGTTCATAAATATCGAGTTTATCTACCCGTTACAAAGTTAGAAGAAAACTTTATTTTGGCGTGATTTTTCGATTTTATTTTGAAGTGCAACATGAACCCTTTGAAAATGCCCCGAAGACTAAGAAAATAATTTTCTGACAAACTTCTGGCTGGGTATGTAAGTAGAGATAATAATGATTTATCAGAATTTATCAACTTTACAGAAATTATTAAATGTTAATTTGTAGTTTTCCGAGATTTATTCAAGTGCGCCACGTTTGGGAACACTCCACCAATTTGTGCCCAATTTCCGGACGCCACCGTTTTTGAATTTTGGATTGAATTTCATGACACCAATATTTTTCACAGAGGTTAAAAAGCAAGCATTAATAAGGTAAAAGTACCAGTATTTCACTGCATGAATTTGAGGTTTGTCAACGAAGAAGTTTGGAAACGCTACACGAGGAAAGTCGGGTAAACGTTGAAGTGCACCACGTTAGGGAACACACCATATATTGTTGAGTCTCGAGTCACACAGGTCTAGTCCAAGCCTGCAGGGTCGAGTCCGAGTCCGAGTCACACAACTCTGTCAGTCAGTGAGATAGGTAACCAGTGATACTTACCAGCATCGGGCAGCTCACTCACGTTCTGAAGGCAGAGATAGCACCATACGATATCCAGGCAGAGTAAGGCGTAGTTGTCCACCGCTGTCAGGATTTCAGACCGACACTGACTGAAATTTGATAAGCAATAGACTCATTAAAAAGAAAGGCACTTTGCTGAATAGCTGATCAATGAAATTATATGCGAGATCAACTCAATGGAGTCTGTGCGCAAACAAGAGAGGGCGCTTTTTTACCACTTTCGAGAGCCCCGTGGACAGGACACACTGCAAGAATGCACTGTGCGTACGACTGAGTTTACTCTGAATGTGCACAAAACCATAATGTCTTTGCGTGAGCATCTGGCCCAGACGGTATAGACCATTATCATGTTGCAGCCATTTGACTTTTTCCCATTCAAATCAATGTAATCAAACCGAGGCTGGAAGGACAAATAGTCTGGTTCCTTTCTGCCCGAAAAACATTATCATTCAGTACTGTTATTGGATACAGAGAACATGACTGAAATGGTGGCAGCATGATAAAGGTCTACTGCATTCGAATGTCTCTCCCAGTGGTCTGTCCCAACTCTCCCTTTCTTACCATTGTGGGTGAGAAATTGTGCACGGAGCCCATTAAGTAAGGGGGGTGTAGTCTGACCCGCCTCTGTTTTTTTTCCCCATGCCATTTTTTTTTGTTTTTTTGGTGTCAAGCATTAGTCTTTTTGGACTGATGCTTGGGCACATTTGATATCAACATACTAGTCCTGCAAAATCTCAAAAATTCTATACAGGGTCCGTGCATAAGAAATTGCTCACTAACAGAGCCCAGTACAAATTAATGATAATGCGAACTAGAAAATACTTCTCCAATTGGGCTAAAAAAAAATAAATAAATAAAAATTTAGATGTTCTAAACAAACACACCCAAATGTGTGTTCACCATCGGTCGTGGACGTCCTATTGTCCCTCTTTTGTTTGTACTTTTTAGGAAGTCTCCCATAGGTTTTGTTCACGACCCCAATCGCGGACGTATGCTGGGAATCGTGGACAATATTGTTCTCTTTTGTTCTCTGGTATTTTTTGTGAATTGTTTGAAAAGATACACCTATTCATGCATTCTGAATTTCAATAACAAATATGCCCCTTTTACCAATGAGAGAAACTCTTCGAATCTCAGACATTTTTTGAGCAACGAGCTCTGAAGTGAAGTAGATATTTACTCGTCACGTGAGCCTACAACAGATTTCGAGTTCACAGAGTATACAAAACCTGAAAGCTTTTTCGGCCTCCAAAAGTATCAGCAATGCCTCGCCGTGCTGCTTTCGCTTTAGACACGCCCTTCCTTTCTCGTTCAGTGCGAGGGCGACAGACAACGCCTCTCTTTCGCTGTCCGGCAGATCAATAGGCTTTCCAGTCTGGTCGGCAATTTGGAGGAAGTACTGGTCCCCTCGACTCCGATGACCACCTATGGGGGAAAAAAAAAACTGAATGGGTAAAATGAAATGACGAGTAGCTTAGAAATAAAATACTGTTACCATCCAAAGTGGCATGCTTTGCACATTGTTTGTGAGAGTTTTTAAAGAGGTTGTGGAATGCTCGAAGACATTTCCGTCATTTTTCGGGTATATGTAGCCTAAGATGTGATGAAATAAAAATGACTATTGTTTCTGTCATAACATCAGTACAAAAGGTACTTTTGAGAGCTGTTTTTCAAGTCCTGTCATGCCTGTTTCGACCCGAACGTGCAATTTGTGAAAAAGTAGTCGTTGCGGGCAGCAAACAAAACACAGTAAATCGTGACGTAATAAACAGGACTCCCTATGCAGAGTAGCATAAACGAGTCCTGTTTATTACGTCACAATTTACTGTGTTTTGTTTGCTGCCCACAATGACGACTTTTACACAAATTGCACGTTCGGGTCGAAACAGGACCTGAAAAATAGCTCTCAAAAGTACCCTTTGTACTCATTTCATGACAGAAACAATAGTTGTTTTTATTTCATCACACCTTAGGCTACATATACCAAAAAAATGACGGAAATGTCTTTGAGCATTCCACAACCTCTTTAAGGCCCGTTCTAGACGATGTGCTACTGCCTTGCCGAACTCAATTTACCAGTTCGTGCCAGAGATGACGTGTATATACGCAAAGGTTTTGCGGTATAGAAAACGGCTGGGCACCATTATGTTCACGACACAGCTGACGAAGGATGTGCACTAGGCGGAGTGGCACTCAAAATACCTTTTTTTTTCGGGTTCAGCTTGATCATTTTGACATTTTGACAGGATCCTCTTCTGCATAAAGGATACATATTGTGTCATAGGTGAGTTTTTGCTTGTAATTTGAACGCAAATGTAAAATATTGGCCCCAAAAAAGCGTAAACCTCCTTCTAAGTCTCGTGTTTCCCTTTGACCCTATGGTCGCCCGATCATGTCCGAATGTTAAAAAAAGCCGATAAGTAGGGTCAAAGTTACTTGGACTAGTTGGGTCCGGTATTTCAACCGAGTCAATCGCAAATCCACTTCACAAGTCAGTTCACCATATATTATCTGGGGATGAAGCATGACAAATGAATATCAAGGTCCATTTGAATGTCACGGTTCATTTGATTTTTTTTGGGGGGGGCAGAGGGGCAACTGATGACATATTGTTGATGTACCCTAACGTGGCGCGGCCCCTAACGTGGCGCATTTTGATTTTTTGCCTGTAGCGCATAGCTAGAGCAAAATATTTAACTGAAATTTCACAGAAAGTGAAATTTCATCAAGTTATAAACACTCCCGTTCATAAATCGCGAGTTTATTTACCCGCTACAAAGTTGAAAAGAAAACATTATTTTGGCGTGATTTTCCGATTTTATTTTCAAGTGCAAAGTGAACCCTTTGAAAATGCCCCGAAAAATAGAAAATAATTTTGTGACAAACATCTGGCTGGGTGTGTAGGTAGATATAATAATGATTTATCAGAATTTATCAAGTTTACAGAAATTCTTAAATGTTAATTTGGAATTGTCCGAGATTTATTTAAGTGCGCCACGTTAGGGAACACTCCGCCAAATTGTGCCCAATTTCCGGACGCCACCGTTTTTTAATTTCGGCTTAAATTTCATGAAACCGAAATTGTTCACAGAGGTTAAACAGCAAGCATTAATAAGGTCAAAGTACCAGTAATTTCACTGCATGAATTTGAGGTTTGTCAACAAAGAGGTTTGGTAACACTACACGAGGAAATTTGGGTAAGCTTCGAAGTTCGCCACGTTAGGGAACACGACTATATAGCCCATCCATTGGCATCAAGGGGTAATCCTATATGATAGCACTGCCCCCTCACAAGTGATGTTCAGTCAGTCAGTTAGAGATAGGTGCAAAGAAGACACTAGCAATTATGACCTGTAATTATGAATGATTCACCCTCGCACAACACTGACCATCTTTTCTCTTGGCCAAGATGGCCGCTGCCTCTTTAGTCTTGACCAGCTGGGAAGCCCGCTCCTCACGTTGCCTGGCTTCACGCTCGCTCTGGGACAGACAGATGACCAGGACTTGCGAGCCGTTCCGGACGTGCTGGGTGTAGATGGAAGGGTCGTCCTGGATGACCGAGCCGCAGCTGATGAGTTTCAGGTGGTCTGTTGGTATGCTGCTCATGTTGGCAATTCTACAGGTGAAATTTAACAATATCATAATAATAATAATAATACCGGAGTCTTATATAGCGCACGTATCTACCAACAATTAGGTACTCAAGGAGCTGGTAATTATGTCTATTTTTCAAGACAGGTAAATGAAGTTTATGAGAAATGTGAGACCATTTATGAAGCACCTTATAAGGGTTTGCAAAGTGCTGCGGCGCACATTGCAGCCACTGCCAGAAACACCGGGCAAAACCCCTTCTCTTAGCGATAAGTGTTTACTGGGTTCTTTAACGTGCATTACACAACACACAGGACCTACGGCTGTACATCCCATCCCAAGGACGAAGCAATAATGGTAAAGTGCCTTGCTCAAGAGCACAAGCACCATGTTCCCACGGTCAGGATTTGAACCCATGCACCACGGCACACGAGTCAAACACTGTAACCATGGTAACCATTGGACCACAGCACTGTATTGATCTAAAAGGTATTTATAAATTGTGGCTGTTGATCAAGAAGGTATTTAGGGGCCTGGACCTGATATCCTTGCTCAGGCCCCCCCCCCCAGGCCTCTGACCAGTTTTAAACCACACATTTATAACAGCTCAATCACACTATTTTCCCTGCATTAAAAACACAATAAATTACATAATTGACTATGTAAGATTTTGTAAACAAAAGTCTACAAATTTTGCTAATTACAGGATTATTCACAAAAATACAAGAGTCCAAACAACTTTCCCGTTTGCTAAATTGACAGACAAAAATTCCTCAACACTGTCACAAAAATTGGCTTTAATGAGTATTTTTTCATTTTTGTACATTTTTGTGCCTTATACATAACTTTATTTTAACAGTGTTTTTTTTTGTACAAAAAGCGCTCCATACCATTTGGCGTGATTCTAAATTTTGGAATGTTCAACATACCATAGTTTATTCAGTTAAATGGAAGAGTCTAGCTTGACTCGCTAAAGTTAATTAGTCGTCATCTATGCTAAGCTCACCATTGTTTGAAGTTTCATATTCTTTTACTCTGCTAGGGCCAGAGAGTAAGTTTCAATGGTCTTTTGTTGGTGTATTGAGATTCCTCTGGCCCAGCATGTTACGTGCTCATTAGCCTCATTCCAAAAGGATTAAAGATATAGCCAACCATTTAAAACCAGAGTGCAAGGAATTTCAGTAGGGACATTTGTTGCCTGGGACGTGCTGGGTGAACATCCAGAGTACTGGGATGTTCCTGCGTTTTACTTTGGTTCTGTATGTAAGTTGTGAATTTGTTTTTTAAAACCTTGGGTCTGTTCTAGCCATTCCTTTTTCTCCTGATTGGTATGTTCCTTGTTTTTATGTATTTGTTTTCTAAAATAAAAAATAAAAGCTGCCCAAAAAAGTCTGGCGCGGCAAGTGAGGAAGTTGATAATTTGGGGCCGTATCATAAGTCCGACGCCTCATGAGGCGATGGACTCATGAGGCATAAATTCCGCCTCATAGGTCTGACGCCTCATAAGTCCGACAATGGACAAATGCTGTTTCCGACTTATGAGGTGTCGGAGCTATGCGCCGGACTTATGCGGCGTCGGACGGACTCGGACCTATGAGGCAGAATATATAAATGTTATGCCTCATAAGTCCGATGCCTCATAAGTCCGACGCCTAATAGGTCCGAAATTTCGGACTTATGAGGCGTCGGACGTATGAGGCGTCAGACTTATGAGCGGACCCCGACAATTTTTCTGTGATTTCAGTTGTTAACTCGAGTTGTTTATCGTATTTATTGGTTTCCTTCAAACCCAAATTTAGTTCTAGTGTCACCTTTAGGGGTTTTGTTACAATACCTTTATGTGTGCACGAGTCAGAGCTGTTATCAAGCCCATCTGAGGTCAATCACAAGTCAAAACACAAGCATGGCTCAAATGAAAGCACAAGTAGAGTCACTTGTAATGGGGGACAAAACACTTACTACTACAACTATGGTATGATTATCCGTAACGTAAAATGCAATCCGGCCCACCTTTCTCTGAGTTGTCTTCCAGTAATTTCCAACTCCACCTCCAGGTCCAGACACTTCCTGGCAGCCGACACGCCCTCTGGGACCTCCCCCGTTAGTTTGATCTTCAGCTTGGCCACGCCCACCCCTGGCTTGTTCTGTCGGGCGGCTAGCTTGGCCAGGGCGTGTTGCCGCAACCTCTCGAAAGTGTCCGCTATGGTCTGCTTCGGGAGGCTCAGCTCGGACGAGTAGCGGTCCAGGAGCTCCTGTTGGAGATGACAATGAGTCAAATTGACAGTGTACTGATGATGGACCACAAGTCATCACAAGTCCATAACAAGTGAACCACACGTCATCCAGTGCCATGTCACAAGCTATTCAAATGAATGGCGGCAAAGGCATTCCTTTTTCACAGTTATTGTTCATCCGCTGTTACTTGTGACTGGACTTATGAATTGACTTGTGATGTACTTGCATATGAACTTGTGATGTACTTGTGGTCCATCTGAAGTACCTCAACTACAGCAGTGCAGATTTCCTAGTCTATGGAATGTCCCCTTGCACAGCAAGGGTCTATATGAGCAGATTCAGCGATTAATTATGCAAAACAAGACTGCATCTTGACCTTAAGATTTTGACCATTCAGCGGGCGCCTTCTATCAGGTCTTCCGTAACCCATTGTTGTATTACAAAACCATGGCATCAAAATTACCCACAGCTTAGTCCACATTTCTAATCGAAATAACCTCAGTCTCTAAAGACCACTCCGATTGGCTGGCCCGGGTTCGCATAAAATTCACACGCTGCATCATGTTGCCTGTATGCAAAATTAGGCTTATTACAAAATCTGCAACACAGTCCATTTCAAGAGAGAATAACAAAAGAAGGTGAAAATGTTCAAAATCAATTTTATAAACTCCTTTTTTATTTGTTTAAGTTACACCATCAGACCTCAGGATATACTCCCATGGTTGCATTCTCCTGGGTGTATGGGGGCAGCCATAACTTCATCTTCTCACTGTTCAGCTTCTGTCGGATCGCTTGAGTTGCTGCCTCTTCATCATCTATGTTGTTGCTGGCCATTATTCTAGGCATGAAAATTTAAATAATACGTTATTTAAAAAGGGGACTATATTTTAATTTTAATTGTCTGTAAGGCCATGTAAATAAATAAATTAGTTTCTTGTTCCCACTTGCTGTCTTTTTGTAGCTTTCCTTTTTGTATTGTAGCTAGATGTAGAAAAGTTAGGTTTATGGCTCCTTTGGGCACAATATCAGCAAAATAGACGAGAAAATTGAAGAATCCATCGGCCATCTTGGAAAATCCACCATCTTTGGGGAAAAAAGAAAGAAAGAAAAAAACAGCACCCACCTCCTTCATTTTTTTTTTAAAAGGCCGGACGAGAAACTAGTTTTTGCTTTTACCTGGCCTAATGCATTATTTGCAAGTACACCCCCAGCATGCAACTCCTTTTTCGATTTGACTTTGGTAGATGCTAGTACAACCATGGTACGACCATTTACGACTGATGACCCAAGTCAAAATTTGAAAAAAAATGAGAACTTCTAAGTTCTAGCGCTCCCCAGTGGAGGCACACAGCAATGCTTGCTAAATTACCCAAAAAGATGCGTAATAAACTTCCTCACATCATGCACATAGAAAACAAGACTGTAGTCTATCTTGTCAATCCACAATCCCTATTTCTTTAAACTTAAAGAGAAATAAATAAATTAAGGCAAATATAACAAACACTGACAAAACTTGAAGAATGATACGTACATCAAACAGCCGTCTGTTACTCTTGTTCCCTACACGTACACAGAATGGCTCTTGTATTCAAATATGAAGCTATTTCATGTTTGTAACAGATGCAATTCAACCCAAATCAACAGCTAGAAAAAAGATCGTTAATCGTAAAGACCAAGCGAAATCGTTATTCCTCAAATGTCATACATGAGCAATGGGATCCGCTTTATATATTTACCTCAAGATTCGTTTTTACAATCTGCACCAACAGATAGATTAAACTTAGTTTAGTTTAAGCTGAATGTCAATTGTTTATTATGGTGAATTGAATGATGTTGCAAAAATAAATGCAATTTCCTCTCGATCAAAAAAAAAGTTAGCCTTTTAAGTATCCTATAAATGCGCTTTAAACATTAATTGTAACTACTAAAAGATTGCTTGATGGTAATATTTTTTTTAAAATAAAAAACACTGTTTAAAACAAATATTATTAGGGATTACTACATTGCAAAAATAATTAAATTGATCAAATACAAAATGGCGGCCTCCAGGGTGTTGACGTTTTGGAGGAGTGGCACGATTGGAATGAAAAATTAGCCTCAAAATCATTTTATTCTGAAAATAACAGTGAGGTAAACGTAATACTTTCGCATCTATTATTATTGCATGCAATTTGCTTTAGATATTATTGTACTAGACCATGTATTTTACGTGAAACTTTGTTGGCCTAAACTTTCTAAAGTTTACGTCGGAGACGGAGGCCGTACGCTACATGGCGTACACGAAGCCTTCGCCGCTCGTACACGACGTAGGTAACTGCAAGTACGTTCAGCTCAATTGTCAGTGTTAGTCACTCATGGGATGGGTGATCGTGTAGTTACGGGTCCCTCAGTCTTGATCGATCAAATAAGAGTCAAGGGTGCTTTTTTTATCATTCAAAAAGGGACCCTTTCAACCGAAAAGTAAATCAGACTTCTCTCAATATAATTATAAAATGACACCTTTTTTTGTAATTTTGAACAGTTCTTTTGGGTAGAAATTACGATTTTCGTACACAGTTTACTAGTAGCCCTAGCTGGAGTTACCCAGCCCTGAGTTTTATCATTGGGTTGTCAGTTTTATCATTGGGTTGTCATGTAGGACAACCCAATGATAAAACTCAGGGCTGGGTAACTCCAGCTATAGTAGTCCCATAATTTAAATGTGGCCAATTTACTGGACTAAGGCTCCGTAAATAAAGGCCACACTTGGAACATGTACCCGAAAATGTAGAACTTTGTCAAATTTTGATTTTCACATTTAGACTAGTATATTTGTAGTTTCAGTATGCAAGCACACTCACCCTTTTTAAAGTGATGGAAATGGAGTCCAACCTTTCTCAGACGTCTATTTTACGAAATTTACGTGTAATTTTCAAGTTCGTTTGCACACGTTTGCGTATCTAAATTCGTGCTGATGGATCGTTTCAACTGTCAGTCACGTAGACTTGAGTCAAGGTGCATGATGTGGCAACCCGGACACAAAAAAGACCATGCGAGTGGCAGAGCTTGTTGGCTGCGTGTGCCGCCACTGCACTCATGTGGTCTTTTTGCGAGGAAAATCTGTCTGATATCTAGCTAGGATGATCCTTAGCGTTATGTTTATGCATATCTCACCTCTTGAAAATCAAACTGGTTTCGGAGTATCAATAATGATATGATCTAGACATCTTGGCCAGTCCTACAACTTTTTCACTTACTTTCAAAAATTACTATTTCCCAGTTCTGTCTTATCGAATGCACTTCTCATTTTTTTCCTCAACAACCTTTTTACATCAAAAATACTTATAATGTACGTTTCTGCTGTCTATATTTGCTTACTTACAATCCACGTATGCTGATACCGCCTGATCATAAGGACTCTGTTGGCCAGTTTCTCCTTTGTGACTAATGTTGTGGGTAGTGGTGTGCACGACTTAAAGTCTCCATTATTTTTAGAGTATCGTCGAGCTTAAATGTTATCTCCCTTAATTAAGGCAAGTGACGACTCCAAAGGTGCAGTCACTGTGGACATGTGGTTTTATTTCCTCATGACAGTATCACAGTTTGATAACATCTAAATGGATCCGCGGGCTGTCTACGAGAAGAACTCAGAGGAAATCTCCACCAATATCTTCCGAGGCGCCACTGCTGGGGTGGTTCCTCAGGCTCAGCCCGTCATGGTCGTGGAGAATGACCACAGCAAGGACAAGATCACCTTCTTCCAGCGATTGTCCCCCGACCAAAAGAGCGCATCGCGTTTCTCCCTGCCGGATTGGTTTCGCCGTTCCAAAGGTACCTACTCAAAAGTTCTTGAAATCAAAAAAGAGTATTTGCCCGTCTTGTGAATAGTCTTGACTCCAGACTGGAGTTAGATTTTGTTAGCAGGTCCATGGCAAGTACAGCCAAACTGCATAGTGGTAGACGGTGATATCAAGAAGATGAATCAAATCCAGGCTTAGGAAGTTGGGCATTCAGGCCCGAGAAATTCGGAGCATACTGCACTCATGTTCTTTGTGAATATTGACTGCTTAACCCTAACTGTCTGAATCCTTCAAAATCCTCTTTGCCAAAGTGGAGGAATTTGGAGGATTGAGGTTACATGGCAAAAGTGCGTTACTGATTTCGTAGGATGCACTTTGTCAAGGTCTTGGGCCAGACCTTGTGTTTTTTTTGCTCAGCAATGCATAAATATAGGCCTGGAATCCTCAGTACTGCTCTAGGATGTCACTGGCCAAGCCTCAACATATTGACAGTCACTACCTCAGGATCTTGCATTATTCAGGCAGAGGCCACCCCTCCACGGACCATATTCAAGAAATAATGGAGGAATTTGCAGGATTGAGGCTAGATGCTATTTTTCCACGAGGCCAATTGGAGGATTTTGCAGGATTGAGGCTACATCCTAGCAAAAAGGCCTAGGGAGTGAGGGTTAATAACCCTCCTGCTGTCTGAACAGTCTCAGATAGTCAAAAAAAATCAATCCTCTCCCCTGCCATGCCTTTTACACAGGCTAGTCACCAAATGTCAGATCATATTTCAAGCAAGCACTGTGACTAGTCAAATTCAGTCAACAGACAAAAGTAGGCATTTGTCCCCAATTTACCAAATTTAGTTAGTCCGTATTTCATGTGCAATCGGTACACATCCGTGAATGGGTGCAAGCCAGCTAGTGTGGTTCCCTTGCCTGACAATTCAACGACGTTTATAAACTTCTCCGTTTGGTCTGAAGTAGGGTCAAGGAACCAGACTACAAGAACAGCATTTGTTTCTTGGTTTTTCCAGTATCTATGAACACAAAACTTAAAACAAGTCAGTGTAACAATATTTGCTATAAAATAGTAATCCCAGATCCATCCGTTTCTGAAAATTACAGCAAAAGCAAATGTTGTATATTACCTTTAATAATAACCAGGTAACAAATTTGATAAAAGTAAATTTCATCTTTTTTCTTTTTCCCTTATTTGTCTCTTTTAAAAGATACATCAGCACCGTCGGAGAAAGAAGCCTCCACAGCAAAGGGGAAAAAGAAGGACTCCTTGCCCCAACCCTTGCACTCTGCCTCCTCCCTTCCGGACCTCCACGCCAAGAGCCAACAGGAGGACAAGCCAGAACCTGTCAAGAAATCCGAGAGCGGTCTGAATGCCTCCTTCTTGGCACCGTTGGCTGAGCTGGGACAGATATCCTCTCGGCTGAGAATCGAGGTACCATGGAAGCAGGTACAAGATTCCTCTTTCTCGAAGAAATCTGGATGCATGTGGATTGTACAAATACAGCATGGTTTGAAGGGAAGTAGTGGGAATTACTGGTCTCGAGGTCAGCTTGACTTCCTCCCGACGTGAAGTGGAGGAAGGTAGTCAAGCTGACCTACACCGTGGGACCAGTAATTCCAACTACTTTCCAGAAATAAACCCTGTTTATTTGTTTTACTACACCTCATAAAATAGTAGCGTCACTGCCTTGTTATTAGCCTCACTGCCTTGTCGATAACGGCCTTCGTAGATTTTGCATCTATATTTAGCACAAGATATTCAAGTTCTTCGTCAGTCAGTGAAATAGTCTGGTGCCAACACTCTACATAAGCAGACTGGTTCCGTAAAGATTACATGCCAAAGACTACATGTCTACGAGGCGGGTTCCAGAGGGAATTTTTGATGCTACCAGAAAAAATACCGCACGGCAGCAAGCTGAATATTCACCGGGATGACCTGGGCGCGTATAATTTTTCCTTCCTGGACACGCGGTGGATCGGCCAATGAAGTGCTACAATTTGATCATGAATATTTATGAGGTGTAGTAAAAGTTTTTACACTGTCTTGCCTTGCATGACCATAGAGCAAGGACCCAAGGAGTCAGAACTCTTGGGCGATTTACATTTTGACCATTAACATACCAATCCCTTGGGAATGTCTATAGCTACAGTACTGTGACCGCAAGCCTCGACCATTCAAAGCGTGAATGCCAGCGGCCTTTAAACACGATGATCGTTGCCGCCTTTTTAGTTGGTAACCAACAACCTCCCTATATGCTGCATAATAAGTCATGTCACGTCGTTGCTCTTTTTTGAAAAATATATTTTACGACAAGATAGGTTTTTACAACTGCGCAGTTGTTAGATGTGAGTTATGAACTCAAGTTAGCAATGTGCAGTTGTTGGTGCTTAAAAGCGTTATCTGTCCCTGTAATTTGGAGATAAATTGGATTTCTTTCAGATAAGTTTTCATGTATTTTCAGACATTTTAATTGGCAATATATCATTGATGAAATGTGTTTTTTTGGAATATTTCACAAGTTTTCACACTAAAGGTACAGACCATTTTGTTCTTCATGAAATGATTGTTCCAGTGATGTTGACCACATTTATATACAGTATCATCCAACTGCGAACAAACACTTCAAAATCATTCATTTTTAGTGATGTATGACAACTGCGCATGCGTATTTACCATGGTACTGTCTACGAAGCCAAGCAAACTCCTTTTTTTGGCATTAGTGAGCGCGGATCTCTATTGTGTCGAGATTAGCGTAGTGAGCAACTGAGCAAGCTGGTGCCAGGTGATTTCTATTGTAGCTTTCGAGCGCGGCGACCATCATTTTACTTTTGAAGTCTTGGAGTACGAACTCCTTGGGTCCTTGCCTTGCATGACCAAGAAGGCTGCAGGCTTTCAAGAATTCCCACTTTTCCAACTTTTCCTTGTTTTTTACCTTGCTTCTTCATTTTTCTTGAAATTCCAACTTTTTCCTGTTTTTTTTTTCTCCACAACTCTGAAAAATGAAACCTCATTGAATATTTTTCATAACAGTGTTAGACACTGTCCTATGTAAATCGCACAATGAAGGGCTTGGGTGCAGGAGTACTGCAACGGTACTTCCAAGAGCTTAGTTGAGGATGGAGCACAAGTGTTGTGAGTACAGAACATGCCAAATGAGGCTTATGATGCCGTGCATTGGTGAATATCAAAAAGTACTCCTGAAAGCCTGCAGAAGTCCTATTTTTGACCTGATTTTGTCCTCCAAAGTCCTCCTTTCGTCCTTGTTTTTGATGAAAATTTTGATCTCACTATTCTCCTACTTTCTCACCTGTGTCTGCTTGAAAGCCTGAGACTTTACAATGGTCAGAAAATACTATACAATGGCTGAAAAGGTACTATACGCGGAAGAACCAAAGGTCTATGCATATAGTATACAAATATTGAATGCTTCGAGTGGTGTAGTAAAACTAGCCTCCCAAGGTGATTCATGGACATTTTTTTTTCCCGAGGCGAAGCCGAGGGAAAATAGAGTGCTCCATGGATCACCGAGGGAGGCTAGTTTTACTACACCGTGAGATAAAGCATTCAATATTTGTTTTATAACACTTCACCCACAGATTCTGCTTGGTTTTAATATATTAAATTATTTAAATCTGAACACAGTTTAAATAAACGTAAATTTCAATACAAAATTGGTGGAAAATGTGTTACCCCTTCACGAAATGTTTGAACCCAGCATGCATTTACACACAAATACTGCGCCGTGGATATAGTACTTTGGTTGCTAATGGTATAGTACTTTGGTTGCTATGGGTATAGTACTTTTGGCCGTGCACAGAAAGATAGCAAAAATAGAAAGTATCATGTGACTCGCTCTTGGCCAATCAAGACACAGAATCTGTGTGTGAGGTGTTATAAGTGCGCACATTGCTCATATTGTTTATCTTATGTTGAAAAAGTGATCTGTGGAGGATTCTATTTTCCTTGGCTTCGGGAAAACAAAACGCACCATGGATCACCAAGGGAGGCTAGTTCTACCACACCCCTTGAGCAGTCAATATTTGTATATTTTTATTCTCTAGGAGGTAACCAAATCAGCCTTCCAGAGCCCCACTCGTCAGGAGCGTCCACTGCCTCAGTCCAGGCTGTCCCTACCCCTCAAGCCTGGTGGCAGCCAGCGTAGCGAGGACTCCGAGTCACGCTCACAGTGGGAGTCCAGCCTTGGGAATAAGCAGCCGGCTAGGAGTCTGACCACGGTGCTTCGTCATCTGAGCACCGTGGTGGATAGATCTGGCCAGGTAACGATTCTAACACCATCCGTGCCTTGTAGTACATAGGTGAAGTGCTATGAAATGTTTGTTACTGAACAGAAGTTAAACACAAACAGCCATTGTAAAAGCTGTTCTTATCCTCATCGAAGCTGTTTAAATTATGTAAATCTTGCACATTTTATTTTATGGAATCGGCTGCTGGCACTGAACACCTTGCACTCTGCCTACAGGTACCGCAGGATTACCGGGACAGCGACTTCAAGCAGTACTGGATGCCGGACAGTCAGTGCAAGGAGTGCTACGAGTGCGGGGAGAAGTTCACCACGCTGCGACGGCGCCATCACTGTCGCGTCTGCGGCCAGATCTTCTGCAGCCACTGCTGCAACCAAGAGGTGCCTGGGAAGTTCATGGGATACACTGGTGAGTCAGTAGTTATGTTACACCCCAACTATACCATCGATCCTAACTATAGTTGGGCCGGCCTAACTATAATAGTCCTGGCCTCATGATAGTTTTCACTCCAGAATTCATCCAAAACGTGTCTAAGACAAATGAGTTTCTCTGGCACTTTGCAGCATATGTGACTGACGTGTACGTATGGCATGGTTTGTAAATGTGCTCCATCAAACATGCCACGCATGAGCATAAATAAGAAATAAATTAATCGACCATCATCCTACCCTATTTTTCCTGGCTATAAAACTTAGGAACCAATTTTTTTTCTCTTCAGAGTAATAGGAAACAGATCGTTTGTTGTTCTTAGCCTAATAACTTGACATGGATAATAAATATATAATATAGCAAGACTAGGCAAGCCTAGTAAAGCTGGTCCCACAGCAGTGTGGTCTATGGGATGTATGTTGTCATATGAGTCAATTTTTTGTGTCGCCTAAACAAAGTTTTGGGAGACACTAACCAGTCTTAAATTCTGTGTGACCATATGACCGTAGACTCGTATGTGTGTTGAAATTTTGCAAATTGTATAACTTCTACATGCTTTGATGGATTTTTACGAAACTTGGATGCAGTGACCCTTGATTTGGAGCAAGTGACAAGGCAAGACTGTTAAAGCTGGTCCCAGATTACACAAATTCTACATGTATTGGGTTTATTCAGAATGGCTATGTATTGGAAGTCGTTTTATGCATCTGTGTACACAGTGGGTCAGATGTAGCCCATTCATTAGCATTTAAGGCGTATTGCTATACCAAAGCACTGCCCAATTTTCAAGTGACAGTGAGTGGGTGAGTCAGTCAGTCAGTGAGGTACAAAGTGGACGCTAGCCGGGCCTTCTCCGGGACCTGCTCAAGTGTGAGACGAAATCGAGAGCAAGCATGTTTGAATCCATTCAATCCTGGCAGGAAATCTCCGCGTCTGTACCTACTGCTGTAAGATCGTCCTGAGCTATGCCCAGTCCTCCATCGGAGATCTCAAGATGCTACAAGAGGACTACTTCACCTTGGTGGCCGGGGAGATGCCTTCCTCCTCAACCACGCCCGACATCATGACACCCAGGAAGAAGGCAGCAGACCCCGGCATGCCGCGCCAGAGGTAAACTGGGCCCACGGCCCTATATCATGACGTTGTTGAGTAGAAAGTGTTGCCTAACAAAATTGGTTTGAATTTAACCCTAACTTCCTAGCGTCTTTTACTAGGAACTGGACCAAATTCATCAAACTCCATCAATCGCTGTGCATCCAATACAAAACTGTACATGACATAATGAAATCCACCACTGACGCACTGGTTGACATTCATGGACTTGCTACACATGGTTTTTATCACAATAGCAGTACAGGAAGCTAGGCAAAATCAATCAAATACCCCTAGCACTGCTTCAGGCCGTTAGACCCAAGTCCATCATACTCAATCAATATTTAGTCATGCCAGGCCTTCTGGACCAAGTCCCCCAAAATCCACCAAAATGGGGGGATGGATTTTGATGGATTTGGGGTGGTTAGGGTTAAACATGGATTTGTGTACGTTTATTTGCGATACGAAATAAGATGCCTTTAGAAAAATCAGTGATGTGAATTGACTCATGCGAGAATTTGACTACATTTGACTCCAGCAAACACACTAAACTCAATAGTGTTGACCTAAGTACTGGACTCCACTCGACTCAACTTGAGTGACAACATTCAGTAACATGTTACAACACCTTTAGTGATTTAATTTGTGGCTAATTTTTCTTTGGAGGACGTTCAGCAATGGCAGTACAGAGGGATGTTTTGACCCGTTTGAGTTGGTGCAAACCCCGACACCGTCCACGCTGGGGAGATCCTTTGATAGCGTTGCACAGGAGAGGCAGCATTTACTGAAGGTAAGTATCGCAACCAAGAAAAATAACACCGCAGGGGTCAATCTCTTACTTAGACATGGTCACAGTTGTTTACAAAATTGCATGTTGCGGTCACGTGATGTCAACTTTTAGCAAGCAGCTCTCTTCTGCACTGCATGTATATCTCTTGGAATATAAGAAAATCACTGAAGGTGGTTTAACACTGTGTGGGCACACTTTTTTTACATGCCTTCGCTACCGAAATTAGGTACGAGGCCCCAAAACCGTACATATGCTTTCTCTGTTTTCTAAAACTGTATCCACTGAGCTAAAAGTTCTACAGGCTAGTTGTTGTGCACCCTGCTTAAGATTTTAGCAAAAATGCGCAAAGCTAATGATCCTGTGTATCTGTGCAATGTTTAAAGCAAACACGACAAACCCTTGAAACTGGAATTAATATAATAATAATAATGATAATACCAGAGTGTTATATAGTGCACGTATCTACCAACAATTAGGTACTCCATGGGCTGGTAATTACGTCTATTTTTAAAGACAGGTAAATGAAGTTGATGAGAAATATGAGATCCATTATGTAGCACCTTTATAAAGGGCATACAACGTGCTGTGGCGCATATTGCAGCCACTGCCAGAAACACCGGGGCAAAATCCTTTCTCTTAGCGATAAGTGTTACTGGAATCTTTAACATTCATTACACAACACACGGGACCTACGGCTTTACGTCCCATCCGAAGGATGAAGCAATAATGGTAAAGTGCCTTGCTCAAGAGCACAAGGACTATGTTCCCTGTAAGGATTCGAACCCATGTACATTGTACCACGGCACACGAGTCGAACACTGTAACCATTGGACCAGAGCACCCCATATAATATCCTCATTTGATTGTCAATTGTCTACAACTTGTCTCCTTCCCATTCTGCTTTGCGTCCTGTTGCTAGGACTCAGCCCAACTCCACCAGCTGTGGCTGCTGATCCAGCACCCATCCAACGGCATCATGTTCCAGAGCCATCGGTTCCGGCTACGCACCTACAGCGACTGCATTGTGGGGAGTGAGTTGGTGGACTGGCTCCTGCTGAAGGACAAAGCCACACACAGGTGAACAGAGATGCCACTTTTCCGGTTTTAGCCAGAACTCCGTTTTTTTATTAAATCTCACAAAATTCCGGGGTTTTTTTTCCTTGTTGATTTTTACCTCATTAGTGCTCTCGAGTTTAGTACATGTAGGCCTACATGTTGTAAGGATTGCGCACGCATGGCACAACGTTGTTCGTTGAAGTAATCTTAAAACAAGTCTTTGTTGTTGCCGAGCCTGCATGCGACACAGGTGGCCAACGTACTTGCACGCAGTATACAACGGCGCCTCGGGTGCTGCATCGCGTGCTATAAGCACACAGAGCATTCAGCCTGGAAATCAAGTCTATCATTTCAGTAATCAGTGGTTTCTGATCGCAGTGACATATGTGAATACAAAAACGCATAGTGCAAAGGTCATGTACACCGACAGTGTTGTGGAATTGGGCATCTTTGGTGTGGAATAAACGTTGGAAATTGGGGTAGGCAGTTCCGTGGTTTTTCTTTTCAAGCAGACCCTGTGGCATCTCTGGGTGAAGAGATTCATTTCATAACCCTCCTATGCAAACATACACTCTGTGAAAAGTTGTCCTTTCAGTCAAAATCAGTGAAGTTACTTTTTTTTAACAGTTAAGGGCTCCCAGCCCACATAAAGCAGGATTGACTGGCTGTGACTGTTTATGTAACTTGATACAGCTATGCTTTGACTGTAGGTGATTGATAAGCCAGCTGTGCCTACCACTTACCTGTTTTTGTGTGTTGACCGAAGTTGACTGGTCACAGTGCTTGCAATTTCCAACGACGACCATCGTTGGGAAGAGACTGACTTTTTTTCAAATATGGCCCCTTTATTTACCAAATTTACTTAGTCCACATTTTGTTTGCAATTGGTTACACATCTGTGAAAGTGTGCAAACCAGCTAGCCTGGTTCCCTGACCCGACAATTCCCCGATGTCTATAAATTGCTCCGTTTTGTCTGATGTAGTGTCAGGGAACCAGACTACAAGAACAGCATTTCTTTTTCTTGGTTTTTCCAGCATCTATGAACAAAACTTTAAACAGGTCAACGTAACAATATTTGCTATAAAATACTAACTCCAAATCCATCCATTTCTGAAAATTACAGCAAAAGCAAATGTTGTACATTACCTTTCACCCTAACCTTCCCAACTCCATCAAAATCCATCCCCCTTTGGGGAGATTTTTGGGAGACAAGCCATCTGTACCTAGTCCATCAAATCCACCTATAGTAGTGGTGGTCTTGTGGTGGATTGCAGCAGATTTGGTCCTGACGCGTTATGTGAAGCAGGGTCAGTGATGGATTTTGGCGGACTTGGTCCAGCACGCAGTGAATACAGTAGGGAATTAGGGTTAATGAGGTGACTGTCACTTGTGAATTAGACTTGGACAAGTCGGTTACAAGTCTCACCTTGGCCCAGAAGTTTGAAGTACCTCATACCACCAACAAATGTGCGATATCTGGCCCATTGTGCAGTCCACATGCATGAAAAGACTTCCAGTGAATAGCAATCTTGTAGCAATTCAATAGAATTTGTGCACTGTGGGAGCTTTACTGGGCTTGCTTTGTGTTGTTGTTTTGTTTGCTAGGCTGCAGGCTGTCGCCATTGGCCAAGCACTACTAGACGCCAAGTGGTTGGAGTGTGCTGCCAGCCATGATCGTGTCTTCCACGATGAGTACGCATTGTATCGAGCTGGCAAAGTGAGTGTACTCCGTGCGCAAGTGCCCCCTCTATAGTCAGAAAGAGAGAGTCGAGGAGACCACTGGAAGGGACCCTCGAACACATTGAAGCCCACCCCTGAAGCTCACACGAAGATGTTGTGGGTCCGTGCACATTCAGATTAAACTGAGTCGCGCGTGCTTCGCGCCATATGCGCACGAACCAATATAAGATAAGATAAGATAAGATAGAACTTTATTATCCCTCAGGAGGGAAATTAAAATGGCCTTGACAAAGAATGGGTTATAAAAACATACAATCATTAATTAAAAAGATGTAGAAATGCAATGTAGTTACCACAAACTTATAAATCCAATAATTACAGGTAAAAAACAAACTACTACATATAATACACATATTACATTACATTAATGAGGGATCAGGGTCAGCCACACGGCAGTTCATCGTCCCAATTGCTCATTGTACCATTTGATAGCTGCTGGAACGAATGAACTGCCGTATCGCCGTGTCTTGATCCTTCGTTGTAAAAAGCGATTACTTATGGAGTTCGTTTGGAAGTCGGCATTCAGTGGGTGATGTGAGTCGGAAAGAACCGTCTTAATTTTATTGCACATAAAGAGACCTGTATAATGCCTCTGGAGACTCTTGTTGTAAACCAATAGCTTTACTGGCTTGCTTAACTATTCTGTCTAGCTTAATCCGATCCTGGCACCTCATATTTCCGTAAAAAAAATATGCACAAGCAGTGTGTCTTTCCCACTGGGATTTTGAAAATGTTCACAGAGCACCATCCAATGTTTGTGCACAAACCCCACAAATTTATACATTTCAGAGGAATGGATTTTTGCTACAAATATGCTCCAGTGTAAAATTAACACGGACCAACTTTTTACCAGGCTTATTTTCCCTTTTCCCCGTTAGACGGCTCTCTCCTCGGCTCAAGGGAAGGATATGGACATCAGTCTGACCGCTGAGGGAGAATTGGATGAGATCGAGGACAGGATGGAACCCAGCTGGTTCCGAGACATCAACCAGGAAGATAAAGGTGACCTGACTGATGACGACGGCCTGGGTGGGTATTCACTTGTCTATTTCTTTCAATTCTTTCTGGTAATTTTTACGCATAGTCACCCAGAACAAGGCTAAAAGCCGCCCAAGGTGCATGGCTACAAGAGAAATTTAAAAGGCGAGGTACTGAAGAGGTAGGGATTAACATTCCTCTTGAGACAGGACAGGTCATAGGTTGGAGGGAAACAAGCACCAGGCAAGGAATTCCAAAGAGATGCAGCACATGGGAAAAAGCTATTGGAATATCCTTTTGTTCTACATCTAGGTAATGCAACAGTACAGGGTGGATAAAAAACCGAAACCGAGATATTATTGCTAATTTGAACAGACGTAGGCCACATGTGAATCACAGGGAGATATCCTCTGTTAGGGTTGAATCTCCTCTTTAAAATGACACCCTGATCATGTCATTACATTCACGGTTGACTGAGCAGTGACCAATTTTATGAAAGGGTCTATTTAGAGAATTGCGCCACTTTTCATGGTGAAATCTCTTTTTCCCCCCACCTGCCTTGATTGGCAACCATAGCCTTTCACTCTGTGACAATTGACACAACAAAAACCAAAATTGAAAAGTGGCGCAGTTCTCTAAAAAGACCCTTTCATAAAATTGGTCACTGCTTAGTCAACAGTAAATGTAATGACATGATTAGGGTGTCATTTTAAAGAAGAGATTCAACCCTAACGGGATATCTCCCTTTGATTCACATGTGCCCTACTTCTGTTCCAATTAGCAATAATATCTCGGTTTCGTTTTTTTTTTATCCACCCTGTATATCGATGAGAACAGTCCGAAAGCCAAATTTCTCTCTCAAACACTCTGATTGGAGGAACAAGGATGGGCAGAGTAGTGGAGCAATTCTTCATACATATTCATGAATCAAATGTACCTTTGTCATTGGTTGAGGATTCATCGCGCTAGGGATGTAAAAGTAGCCAGCCAGTGAACGCATGATGCATTGCTCAAACTACCGCCCAGTTGGTTGGTAGTACTGTGAAAGCAATACCCAAATAGAACTCCTAGACTCCCAAAGTTATGAACAAGTTGCGTTGGCTGAGGTTGCTGGTTGTACCATACTAAAACTTTTATGACGGAGAAACGACAGAATATTTTCTGCTTTTGAGAATGAAACTAACTAAAGTCAACCAAAAAAGAAAGTCCCCCCTTCCAATACTTTTTTGTCTAACTCAAAAACTACTGAGCACCTCTCACTCAAATAACGACTAATCAGTACAGAAATTCCCTAGCAATCCAGCCATACTCTTTATTTGGCCCAAAACAGTCATAATGTGTACGAATTTATGCAATTTATGACAAATAATACTGAAAACAGTTGCACTTTTTTATACGTGTAAGTTGTGGTTCACACTCACCTTGCACGTATACAAAAGTGCAAATTTTTCCGGTACCATTTGTCATAAATTGCATAATTTTGTACACATTGTCACTGTTTTGCTGTTTTGGGCCAAACAAAGGGTATGGCTGGATTACTAAGGAATTTCTGTACTGATCAGTCATAATTTGAGCAAGATGTGCCCAGTAGTTTTTGAGTTAGACAAAAAGTATTAAGGGGGGACTTTCTTTTTAAGTTGAGTGTATGTATGAAAGGTAATAATGATAAAATGATAAAAGTAACAATGAAAATGACTGGAGCAGGGTTTGGACCTGCGACCGCCAGATTACCGTTCCGGTGCTCTACCAACTAAGCTATCCGGCCCTACGTTGGCAATTCTCATTATGTCAATGTCTTTGTTCAAGGGACAGAAGTCCGAAGCAATATATACCCGTGTATGCCATATAGACAGAGATCGCACCCTAGCAACATTAGCAATGCTGTAAACCTGGGAAATAGCAAACAGGAATCACTCAGAGGATACGGCTTTTTTATTAGAAATCGTTCAACTTTATATGCACTTAGTCCCTTTGTGGTTTATTTAACGATTTCTAAAGATGAAATTCGATATGAATTCTGTTCAAGGCAGTTTGCACTTTAACTCGTTTTAACCTGCCGGCTTTTGAATCAACTTTCAATAAATCTAAATGAATCCGTAATCATAAAGAATTTTTTGCTACAGAAGATTTGCCTTTTTTTAGTTTTGCTAATTTTTAAGGTTTGTACAGAGCAATAATACTGTCAATTTGCAAAAGCGCACTTGTTAATTTTGGTTTTATGTTCATTTTGCCTCCAAAAAATAATTTTATTGGCATTAAAATCATTTATAATACAAAAAAAAATTGTTGCGTTATTTTTCTTTTAAAAAAAAATATATTCTTTTACTGCTTTTTCTTTCTATTTTTGGTCCCCTAATTGCCTGTTTCACCCTAATTTTTGTTGATTTTTGCTAACCTTGTGTCCCCACCACACCTCTCGTAGTGAAATGTATGCCGACTCAGTCGGACGATGCTGAGTTTGTCAAGAAGCACCGGCGGGCCACGTCAGGGGGCGACTCGATCGGCACGTGGACCAGGGGACTGCGCCCCACCTCCGACCTCTTTACGTCACCCAGCTGTGACAAAGGTACTGGGATCGCAAGCGTTGTTTTAAAACTTTTGCCCTGTCAGCTAGAGTTGTAACCGAATCAAAGTACAAGTCAAATCGCTAGTCAGTCATAATTTAAAAAAAAAACATTCAAATGTCAAATATAAGTAAACCACAACTAAATCATGAGGCAAACACAAGTTAATTCGTAAGTCATTATAAAGTCAGTCACAAGTCAAATCACATATCAAATCACCAGTCAATCACAAGTCATCAAAAGTCAATCACAAGTCAAATCACATGTCAAATTACTAGTCAATCTCAAGACATTTAAATTTCAATCACAAGTCAAATTACAAGCCAGACACAAGTCAATTATAAATCAAATCATACTTTGAATAAGTTAACTCACGAGTCAATCACAAGTTGAATCACACGTCCATCACAAGGCAGTCACAAGTCAATCACAAGGCAGTCACAAGTCAATCACAAGGCAGTCACAAGTCAATCACAAGGCAGTCACAAGTCAATCACAAGGCAGTCACAAATCAATCACAAGGCAGTCACAAGTCAATCACAAGGCAGTCACAAATCAATCACAAGGCAGTCACAAGTCAATCACAAGACAGTCACAAATCAATCACAAGGCAGTCACAAGTCAATCACAAGGCAGTCACAAATCAATCACAAGGCAGTCACAAATCAATCACAAGGCAGTCACAAATCAATCACAAGGCAGTCACAAGTCAATCACAAGGCAGTCACAAATCAAACACAAGGCAGTCACCAGTCAGATCACAAGTACCAGTTGATAAACTTTGACTTAAATAAAACCTTACCCCCCCCCCCCCCCCCCCGAAAAAAGCTTACAAACAAGTGAAAAACGAAGCTGTTAACTCATAGCATAAGCTTGATTGGCACTAGCTGAAATTGTTGACGTACCTTTTTGATTTTGGAAGCTGTCTGGTTTATTTAGTTTTGTTTGCGTATTAACTGCAAATGCATGCTGTAGCGTAAACCTACATGTAAGTGCTGGAGCGGTTTGGGTCGTTATAAGGAGTGACAGCTATTTATGGCACAGCAACAGCAGGTTTTGTTTATTGGGCATGGGCAACTCTCAGCTAGAATAGAATAGAAAATGGACCATTTTAGAGAGCAATTCACTACAACAGTTCATAAGTGACTTTTATATAACTGACATACAGATCCTAGTCACTTACATCACGTGGCATTCGTTATTGCTCCCATTCATGCCACGGCTCAAAAAGTACTATCCGCCCATGGGGAATGGGTAATACTACTCAACAGTTGGGATCATGACGCGGTATTTGTGTGCAAATGCATGCTGGTGTGCGCGTTCAGCGTTGCGCGAACCGCGTATTGTCCAAAGAGCCAGCGCTACAGCGTTGGGTTCAAACATTTTCGTGAAGGGGTGGTTTGGAAGAGACAAATACATTTTCCTCCAGTTTTGTATTGAAATAAAAGTTCAAATATATCAAATGACAAGGATCTATATGTCAGTTATATAAAACAAATATTGAGTGGCTTTAAATTGTGAAATGGGAGGAATATTATCGCTCGGTAAAATCTGGACTTTTCCATTTCACTCGGCTTCGCCTCGTGAAATGGAAAAGTCCAGATTTTACCTTGCGATAATATTCCTCCCATATATTTGTATATTATTGAGTGCTTCCCGTTTATTTAGTCAATTCTTAAAGGCACGTACAGACATTGGTAGTTGCCCGAAAACAAACTTACGAATTTAACAAGAAAACCTGTCATCAAAGTGAAGATAGGGATGGTACCAAATACCCTGTGAAATTATTCCCCAAGGAATAGTATCGTTCAGAAGAAAACAATCATTGAAGATGGTTATAAAAAGTGTGCTCACATAACGATATTTATTAAATACTGCTGATTTAGGAGTTGTACTGGAGAGGGTGCAGTTTAAAATATGAAAAGGTATATAAAAGGTAAAATATGAAAAGTTCTAGAAAAGACTAGCTTTTTTTGCTTTTGTTTTCTTTTCAAAATGTAGAGTGTCCACGGAGCTGAAACTTCAACCATTTGTTGCTTCAAATGAAAAACAAATATCACAAAAAGCATATGTACTCTTCTTTGTGTTTGCAGCCGGTGTGGAAACTTTGCAAAGGGAACTCTCTGGACCGTGGGAACAAGAGGGACCTGTGCCGGGCCTTGGAGAAGTCTTTCCAAACGGTAAGCTCGATTACAATCCTCATTTTGTTAGGTTCATATACCGGTACTTCATTTCCAGTACAGTAGACTCATAAAGTTATATTTAAAAAAAAACAAAGATCATACTGTGTATACTACGCGCACATGCGAACGTGCCGACATGGACGCGCTGCCGCCATACTTTAGGTGAAACAATGGACCGATCGGGATTGGTCATAAGCCCCGCCAACCTTAGCAACGGCTTGGGAACGTCATACGCTTGGTCAAAGTCAACAAACTGCGCAAGTGCACTCAGTCTCCACTTCGCTCATACACCCCGCCCTGCAAACAGGACGCTGGGATACTCTGATGAGCTTCACAGAATCTTGTGAAGGAAGTGGCCTATGACCTATGTATAAAGCATCTGGCTGCAGCTGTTCAAGACCGCAGTTAGACAATGTGCGCAAATGCTATCCGAAAACTGCCATAGAAATGCACACGTTCCATACCGGATGTGATATCTGTTTCATTGCGGACCATGTGGACAAAATTTTGAGCGTCGCATAATGGATCCGACCGTTTGTGATTCGAAACGGAGCCTGAGCAAGTGACGGGAAATGTAAATTTACTTTACACTGAACACAGATATGTTTTACAGAATTTCCTACATTTTTACGCTTTTCAACGAAAACAAAAATCTCTAAACTGAAATAAAAGAGTAATGAATCAGTCTTAACGGCCGTTTCAAACCTTGCAGAGTCAGAATCCAACCAATCAGAGCGTGAATTCATCAGAGTATCCCAGCGTCCTGTTTGCAGGGTGGGGGGTACGAGCGAAAATCTCCGCATGCAAGATGAAACATAGATCATAGTACGTACGTACATGAATGCACGCACGTGCGCACATGCTATATCTAGAAATCAATTCAAAAGTGGGTCCATTGTTATACCTAAAGTATGGCGGCTGCACGTCCATGTCGGAACGAGTACATGCAACGAGTGCGCTCTCTAGTTTCTGAAATATAACTCTATGAGTTGACTACTCTGTGCATCAGTTTGGACCAGTGATTGGAAATAGGAAGAGGGTGAGGTTGCATTGTGACCTGCTCCGACAAATTGAGAACTAAGTCACCAAAATATCAAGTTATGAAATTAATGTCACAGCATCAAGTAGAAATTTAGCAATGTATAGAAATTCAACACCACTGGTTAATTGTTGGTCTTTAAAAGTAAGAGAGAAACTTGCAATTTTTTTAAAAGTACATTTATAAAGAATTTACCGCCAACTGATGCCTAGCATTTTAACTCCTATTTCTCCATGGTCGGATCAGGTCCAATGTAGTTGATGTTAATATGTGAGTTTAAGGAAAATGACGCCACTGCCTACAGATTGTCACATGCATTGGCATTTTGGGAGTCAAATTTTCGTGATGCGCATCAGCTGTGCAGTATTTCAAAGAAATTGTGAGCAACATGCGTGCGTGTTTAGAACATTTTGCACACTGCGCGCTAAAATGGAGTTGAACATGCAGTTGTAATTTGCCTACAAAGATGGCTGTCTATGAGAGGAGTCTATACAAGGAAAGCCTTGTAAAGCTGGTCCCAGAGTGCACAAAATTCTATTCAATTGATTCAGAACGGCTAAAAAGTTGGAAATGAAACATGGAAACCTGACTCATTGCCTAGCATGTATCATGTGTAAAATACATAAAGCAAGCGGCGGCAGACTAATTGCTTGACAGTCAGCGTGTCAGTAGGTGAGTCAGTCAGTCATGTGCACAAAGGACGCTGGGCTGGCCCTCCAGGATCAGCACAAACAGGTGACAGGGCTCAAAATGATAAAATAGCATGCAGTCGACACAGTGTCAGTATGTTTCAGTATCAGGGATGAGATTTGTCAGGATTGTTTCCTGATTTCAGGAATTCTTGTCACGATTTTTCCTGATTTCCGGATTTTTCCTGATTTCAGGAATTTTTTTGTCAGGATTTTCCCTGATTTCAAGATTTTTTGTCAGGATTTTTCCTGAATAAAGGATTTTTAAAGAATGTCTTTGGAAATTCGGAATTCCTGAGGTTTTTTACCCATACAAGTTTATGTAAAAAAAGACTTCAGGGGTATTTTAAGGGTTGCCTTTAGGCAAATTACAAATTTAAACATGTATACCATAGACCCGACGTTGCTTTTGGACTCTCAGCAACCTTCAAACCTTCTGCCGATTATTTTGTGGATTTCATATTCTCCCAATCTCACTCTTCCAGTATTCATTCATTTATCTGCCTTTCTTCGATGTTTTTGCAAAATTGCCAAAATCTTCTGAGCGTACAATTTTCTGCAAACAAAGCCTCCCTCCTCCATTTTTATCGAGGCCAGTTAATACAAAAGAGAACACGCTTTTTGCTTGTATGAGGAAAACATTGCTTAAAATAGTGACGCAACAATAGGCATTTCCCGAATAATCAATTCTAACTCCCTAGGTATTTCTGCTAGGATGCAACCTCAATTCTGCAAAATCCTCCAACTGCCTCCATGTAAAAATAGCATACAGCCTCAATCCTGCAAAATCTTACTCTGTTTCTTGATTGTGGTCCTTGGAGGGGTAACAACTGCCTCAATCCTGCAAAATCCTCCAGCAATCACTGTCAATATGTTGAGGCAGAGCCAGTAACATCCTGGAGAAGTGCGGAGGATTTCCAGTATAATCTAGGCCAAAATTTATGCACCGCTGATCGTAAACATCCTCCAAAATCAGCCATACACTTTCGCCGTATAGCGTCCATCCAGCAAAATCCTCCATTTTGCAAAGATGGTTTTGGAGGATTTGGGAAGGTTAGGGTTAAAACTTTATCTCTCAAAAATTTGTAAATTGAAATTTGATCACTGAAATCTTCTTTATAAAGTTTGTGAAGTTAATTTTTGATCTGTAAATCTTTGTCTGTAGTTGCAAAGATGTACATGTTTATTCAGCCACTTTATAGAGACACTGACATCCCATAATCGTTCACTGTGATGATAAGACGGGGAAAAAAATAAATGTACAAATTGTCACAGTGAATAGAAGCAAAGATCATATTGAAAGATAAACTTGAAAAAATGTTATGTCCAAATTTTGTACGGTAAGACTTGGAAGGTTTGTTTAACGGAAAATAGCAGTAGCACTATGTAGTCAGATCTCTTATGTGACTTTGTGAGGTTTTGAAAAGAACCGGCTGTGAAAAAAAATTGTTTTGTATGCATAATGTCAGACCATATGGTGTCATTTGCCACCCATTCTACAGTACGGTTGCATAACCCGTGCACTTCAGAAAATGTTGTTTAAACAAAAAAAAACTACTTTATTCAGATTTTAAACATTGCAAGTCTCTGAAAAATAGCTGTCATTTTGCGCACAAATGAACTGAATTGCTCACAAATGAGCTGAATTATTGTCTGGCAGTGAATTGTGCGAAGAAATAATTCAGTAGCTAAACACCGGTGGATTTTTTTGTTCAATGTCTCATTCAAAAATGAATAATTTTTATATTCCTAGGAAAATAGCAATTGAAACAAATTGATTTATATTTGGAGGTAATACTCGCAGATTTCATGGGGAATTCATCTTTTAAAGTATGTTGGCTATATCATTATTTGTTCCTTTTTCATGTAGCTTTTCTGTTCATGACTGAACGATATTGATAAAACCCACTTGCCATTAACCAAAGCAAGATTTGTATCTATGCCGTTCGGTCTTGCTGATATCATTTGGTAGTCATTAAACATTAACAGCATGGGAATAAGCCAGATTTTCTTTATTCCTTTTGTTGTTATCATAAAACTCCGGAGTCCGCAACTTCTCTTAGGCAAGAGACATGTACCCTTATCTTGCTGTATTGACATACCGATGTAGCAATATTATCGTGCGGACACTGAATAATCTGAACAAGCAGCTTCCGAGATTATATTAAATGCATACCCCTACTTCACTCATTGTTTTATCATTTACAAATTTTCAGAGACAAAATAAGTCAAAAAACTATACTATAGAGTGTCAACTGTCATTATGTGATGAAAGAATAGCCAATAGAAAACTTTCATAAGTTTTGCCTGAAACAGGGGAGAAAAAAAAACACTGGACGTTACTGTCCCACCCCTGGACAGTTATATTATTCTTGAATTATACAGGAAAAAGGAGCTGTTTAGGCCCCCCCAAAAAAGTCTCCGGTTTCTGGTATGGAGCTTGCCCAAAAAGTGGTGCGGCGATGCGGCTTTTTTTTTTTTTTTACCTGATTTTTTTGCTTCAAATGTCGGCTGATGACTGCAAATGGTGCCCGACTAAACTCAGTGCAAATTATATGGGAGTCCAGAGAGGCGACATAAAGCTTATTCTCGACCATAACCCTATCTAAAAACACGTTAAAATTGTGCAGCAGCAGGATTCCAGTCAGACCAGTGAGTTTGGCGGTTTTCAGACATCATCTTTCATTGAAAAAAAAACTTTTTCATTTTGTCGAAGCGCATGGCTACGGCGACTCGCGCGCATACCAGAAACCGGAGACTTTTTTTTTTTTGCCTTAGATGTGCTACATTTCTGGTGTCAGTTGTGGGTTATGTTTTTACGATGGTGTAAAAATCCTGGTAATTGTTAGGAATTTATTTAGAAAAATCTTTAAAAGGATGACACGGCAACTCTACCGTAACTTGCCTTTTGTGGAAGAAATATTTATAATTTTAATCTCGTCCTTACTAAGTGATATCTATCAGCTGCACACATGCGTATTTCTCAGATGTATCTATAGGCTATCTGACCGTATGAATTGATTAAGTTCATGGATAATGCTAGATTCTTTTAGGTATGAAGACTTTCAAATTTGACGGATAAAAGAAGGGTTTGTCACATTTTATCTTATTTACAAAGCATGCCCACTGCCTTCATTTCTCCTCAAACTTATCGGCAGGAAATTATTATTGACCTTTGGAGTTCGGTCGTGTGCAGTTTAGTGGAAGTGATTAAGAAAAATGCTTTTCAGTGAAAGTGCCGACATGTTGTGAGATAATAAAACATCCAA